GATAATAATAATATAGCAGTGGCTTTTTGCGAGCGAGCACTTCAACGGTGAAGTCAGAAACAGCAGGAAAAACAAACACAAACAATATATATCATTATGGCAGAAGATGGAGAGGAGGGAGCGTGGTGCGACAGCTGGAGCACGGGGCACAGAGATACATCCATCGAAGCACATGCGCGACAGACGAAGGGCGGAGTTCCTCCTCGCGACCCAGAGAAACAACAACAAAGAGAGAACAAAACTCACGATCTGCTGTGCAGCGAGCACACAGGACAAAACGTGAGCAGTTTGCCCGGAGTGTTTGCCGCAGGTTGCAACATGGGCGCTACCCCCGTATGCGCGGCGAGTTCGTTGCGTGACCAAGGCAGTGACCTGCTTCACACGACTTTTGTTTTGTGTGACAAGATGTCAGTGGTGCTGTATCGTACGTCAACGTCTCGCTACACACATCTCATTAAGAAAAGTGCAAGAGGAAAAACTCAAACACTCTAATTTACATCGAAAAACCACCGCGAAAGATAACCAAAACCACCGCCCGGCGTTTGGTAGCGCGATGACTCCGTAACTGAGTAACAGAAGAGAATGCTGCCACTACGCCTCGTCGTTTGGCATCAAACAGCAGTGGCGTGTCAGCGACAGGCGAAGTGGCAGACAAAGCGCCATGAAGGCCTCATTCGAGAGACCGGCGTAGCGCCAGCGCGTAACGGATGCGCTGGACGGATAGGGCCGCAGTTCCAACGAGCTCTTCCTAATCTGGCCATCCTTCGCAGAAGCGCTTGGGCTCGCCACGTCGGCGCCTTCCGCGACTGCCGAGGAGGCAGCGGAGCGCTGCGGCTGAGCTGCCTTGCGGACTCGATACTGTCGAAGGGCCGCCTCCTTCCCCAAAGCACGCCCGTCCCCCGACGTAAAGCCAAGAACGTCCTCCCCGTCAATTTTGCTTTCTGCAGCGCGGGCGTTGGCGTCGAAATCGAACACGGCCTGTGTCGCCACTGCATTGCCCGAGAGCAAATGGCGATCCTCCGCTTCCGGGGCCTTCATTGCCAGAGTGGGGGTTTTCGCCCGCGCGACACCCAGCAAAAACTCCCCCTCTTGCAGGAGCACGAGATGACTTGCTAGATAGGTAGAAGTGCACAGGACGGCGGAGGCGGCCGCGGCGCGCTGCGCCGCCGACGAGGCATTTTGAATGTACTGACCCAGCTCCAGCTGCACCGGCACCGAAGCGAGCAAGACGGGGTGCAGCTGCGCAAAGGCGCTCATCGGCGTCCGTTGAAGAAACTGCTGTTGCAGCCGCTGGTATGGGGCGTAGAGGTAAAAGAAGGCGACAGAGAAGGGCAGTGCCCACACCGTATTCCCGTCCTGTGCACACGTGGCGAAGCGCGCGGTGCTGTGACGCGCGAAAGGCGATGCGCCAAGAGCTTTGGTAGCCTTGGTGTTGGTGTTGACGCTTGATGATGTCTTCGTCGGTGCAGCGGCATTGGAGTAAAGTGACATACAACCCAGCACCTCCGCCTCGCCGACCCATTGACCTGGCAATACGCGATTTACCTCGCCGCCTGCGTGCAGTGTCACACATGCCTGCGACTCCGCCACGTCCGTTGGCAGGAAGTACACGTACTGGCTGTCGGCTTCTCCCTCCGTGTAGAGGACCTGGTTATGCTGCAGCTGCACCGGCTCCAAAAGCTCCGCCAGCCGCCCTGCCAAGTAGCCCCATTGTTTGTCTTGGGTTTGGCAGATCGTCACGTAGTTCTCCTCGGCCGTAGTAAGGAGGTCCGCGTCCGTGTCATGTCGCATACCGGGTGGTGCCTGCGGGGGCGGAAGGAGCTGCTGGCGAATGCTCTTGAGAAACGAGCTCGACGAAAGCGCCTCCGCGGTGGGACGACCACTTAGGCCGACGCCGTCGCCGCCGCCGCCGCCTCCTTCGGCGTCCTCCGGCAGCGGCACGTTGGCCCACACCGACCGCCCACCCAACACCCGCTGCCGCGCCACCTGCCGGTCGAGAAAGGCCGAACGAACGACCTCTGCACACTCCGGCGTCCACGACGAACTCACCCGCGCCGTGGAGGACACCGCGGCCGCCGCCTCCGCCGCGTCGTAGCACAGATAGGCCACCTCGGTGCTCGGCCGGAAGGCGGACAGCAGCCCGGACGGGGTCGAAGCCGCCGCCGCCGCAGCGCTGTCCACTGTGGCGTAGCTGGAAGCCTTTCGCAGGGCGCTCGAGCCGGTCGCCGCCGGAGTTGTGGAGGAGACTGACGTGGTGGATAAAGTCTGCGCCGTGTAGCGACGGATGTACGCGGTGCAGTTGCCGAGAAGCCACGGCACGGAAGAGACGCCGACCTCCAAAGCGCGTTGGACTTCGTTAAGGGTCTGGGCGGACCAACTGGTTTGAATCGTCGAAAGAGGCGAAGATGGCGGCCCCGTTGCAGGCGAGGATGCCGCCGCCGCCGCCGTCGGTTCCGTGTTGTGCGCTAGGCGAAGCTGATTCAGGCGACATTGCGCCAACAACATTCGCTTCTCACTCTGCTGCAAGAGCGTGTCATCAAGCACGACGGTGGTTAAGGAGGGGGTCGACTGAAGCAGGCGAGACAGCGCAGGCACGAGAGCCGAAGCGACCGGGTTGCCGGAGAGATCGAGCAGATGGAGACACGGATGACCCTGCAGTGCCTCCAGCACGTATAGTAACACCTTGTTGCCATTGCCGTGGTGCTGCTCGGAGGTCGCGTCACTGGAAAAGTCGAGGGAGAGACGAACGAGGCGCACAGTGCGGAGCCGTGGCAGCAGGGAACACATTTCCTCCGCTTCGGGTGAGCTGCCGCTGTTGGAGGACGGTGCGGCTCCCTTACTCCACAGCGGGGCTACGGCTCGCACCACCACCGCGCGCGTACGGCTACGAGAGGCCGATGGGGAGGGGTGGCGGTGTCGTTGGGCGAGGGCGACGCGGTGCACGCGGCACAAATCTGCGAAGGCGAGAAGCGTCTTGGGCCCGGCGTAACACGACGAGAAGTCCAGCGCGGTGGCACGCGAGTAGAACAGCTCGGCGTCCTCCTCCTCATCACTTTCGTCCCTCGGTGTGCACCGATCTGTTGAAACTGAAGCGTGCCGATGGGCGACGAGGGACGACCCGGCAAGCATCGAAGCCCAAAACGCCGGCACACGAGCAGCGCCGTGATACGCACACAGCAGACGAAAGTACTCGAAGAGAACGGTGGGCTGCTCCACTACGCGCCGCACTGTGGACACACTCATTTTGGATTCGACGTCGTCGGAGAACGCGGCGGTTTGGTCCCATTCGGAGTCCTTGTCATCAGCGCTGCACAGCGTGGCGGAGGCTTCGCCGAGATCGTTGTTGAGACGAGCATGCGCACCAACAGGCTCAGGAGAAGCGCGAAAGTTTGGCAGCAACGATGTAAGGACGTGCGCGTGCCGGCTGGAAGGAACTGCCTTCATCTTTTGTTTTGTTTTGCTGTTTGAGTCCGAGTGTATGCCTGCCAGCTGTCGAATCGCTTTTGTTGGCAACGCTGAAGGCAAGTCAATGCTGGTGACTTCTTGAGGACAGTTATGTGCCGGCAAACAAACAGCGCCAGTGTGCGGCTAATCTTCATCATTTGAGTGTAGTGTGAGAGGGGAGGAGAAAAAATAAAGAAAGAAGGAGCAGGTAGAGCAGCGGTCACACCTTAAAACTTAAAAAAAGAGCTCGATGTTTTTTTTTTGCCCGTTCCTCTTCTACATGGAGCACCTCCTGTGCTTCGGACGACTTGTTTTGTACCCGAATGGAGCCGCTGCAATTCGTGCGCAGGCGACGTAGGCTTACGCTGCCGCAGTGAAGATGTATTTTCGCCTTGCCAGACTCGCCCCTCGGGGTCGACGAAGACAACGCATCGCGACACTCAACATGAAGACACAAAAAAGCCGGCATTATTGGCCACAGCCACCACGAAGCCCCTCTCCGCAACGCGTGTTCAGGAAGCCGTGCTGTCACTTGCTCAGCATCATCAGTTTTTTTGTGTCTTTCAGACCCGAAGATGTCCCGCTGTATATGAGAAATTGATACGCACAGTAATGGAAAAATAAAAATACAAAGAAGAAATCCTCGTATCAATGGACACCTAGAGGAGCACATGCACTACATCCATATCAAGGAAGCATCCAACACAATGACAACGCACAGTGTCTCACACAGCCACACACAGCGACCACCATGGAACACCGACCTAAAACCAGAGAAATCATTCGTGTTCCATTAGAAAAGGAAAAATGAGAAGACAAACCAAAATATAAAGTGCAGGAACTCGCAAGTAAAAACAGGAGGCTAAAACAATTGGTCGAAAGATATGAAAATGAGAAAGTTTATCAAGCAAAAACAGAGAAAACAAACTAACTTAAATAAATAAAAAATGAGCGTTAACATGAACATCGACTCCCCCCACGCACTACCTTAAAAGTCCAGTGGGAAAAATACGATTTAAAAGGCAGATGCAGTCTCTCCCCACCGAACAACAACAAAAGAACTAACACAGCAATAATAAATGGTACCTAAGAGGGAAAAGGAGACATACAAACAACTGTCATAAGCCCAACACGTAGGAGTTCTTCATTGACCGCCTTGTGTCGATACCATCGTCCAACCCAGCGGAAAACACCGGAGTGTCAGATCATCATTCGTATCTCCTTTATTCGAGTAGAGTCAGAAGAACAGTAGAGTGTCGAAAAGCAGAACATATTGCAGCTCCGTGCTGTTCATTTGTTTTTCCCACCTTCTGGACCTCTGAGACGACGCAGACAAAGAATTCTGTTTACACACACAAATAAAAATGCAGTTGAAGTTCAAAGGGTTCCAGTATGTATTTGTATATTCAAAAATAAAAAATAGACAAAAGGATTGCGGGGTGCACAAACACGAATCTTTGCCTTCGGCTCGAGAAACGATGCGCATTAGTGTGCCAGCAACCCACGAATTTATGTTGTCGATGATGCTTGCTCGCTTGTCTTCGTCGGCGCGATCATGAAACATTTCCCTCTACCCTCCATGTAGAGTCTTTGCAGGAGAGGATAACCCTATTTCAGATAAAAGACCCGTTCTAAACAAACGCATTTACGCGGCACGACAACATTTTTCCCCTTCTCCTTTCGCCCTTCATGTGGTGTGTGTGTGTGTGTTCGTTTTCGGAGCAGACGAATACATGTAAACAAAGCTGCGAAGTTCCACCAAGCAAAACTGTCGCGGGGAACGACGGAGCGGAACAACAACAATGAGAAGAAGAACATAAAGAACGTTTTTTTTGTGTTGTGTGTTGATGTGTTCGACATAGCCTGGTCAGTACTACACCGTCTGTACGGAACACACAAACGAAAGGAAAATAATAATAATAATAAAACTAACTGTGTATTCACATTTTGAGTTTTAAAAAGAAAAGAAAAAAGACCCTTTTGGCACTGAAACAGCGACTAAGCTACACACGTTTGAAAGGCGGAGGAAGAAGGAATGGTGGAGCTGAGAGCATAGTCGCTTTCGTGACGTTGGTGCCGCAGCTCAAAGGAGGGACACCAGAGGGGGACACGCAAAGTTGGGCAAAACAAAAAGAACCAAAAGAGAACAGAAAGTCGGTAAAGGAAGCCGGGGAGAGAAAGGAAGAAAAAAGGTTAAGGGCTACGCCGATGACAACACTGTTGAGCCCTAGAAACAAGCACAAGAAAGCAAGAAAAAGAATCGATTGCTTCTCTATTCGAACACTCCTCCCTCACATGTAATACTAGTAAGCCAAAAGGAGCCAGGCTGAAATTTGCAAGGGCCTCCCCTTCGCCCAAACAGCGGAGCCCCCGCCGATCCACACAATACGCTCCTCACTTCTCTTTTTTCAGTCACACAAGGAGGGAGTCATTTAGAGGAAAGAAAGCAGCAGGAGTTCGATTCCATCAGAAGAAGAAGAAAACCCAAAAACTACCAAATGTAAATCAACATCACTTCAAAAAAAAAAAACGAGCCGGAAGCCGGGTGAACGGACATAGGCGAAACAAGGCGAGAGAGATCAATGAAGAAACCAAAGGAGAACGAAAAGAAAAAAAAAAGAAGCAACACTCTTGAAAGGCAAAGCCCCGTTGCGAGGCCGATCGCCACAAACGCTCCGATAAGAAAACAAAAGAAAAGAAGAGAGAAGAGAGAAGAGAGATTGATACCTGCGCGGCGACATCAAACGAAAGTAAAGCAAATAAATGAGCGCCAACGCTGGCTGCTGTCGGAAAAGCGGGAATGAAATAACGTTCGTGCACGGAAAGAGAAAAGGTACGGAGGTGCAGCGCTGCATCGCGGTGTAAGTTTTAAAAAAATATCTGCCGAACATTCTTCCTTCATCATCAAGAGAGAGAGAGAGAGAGGCAGAGACGAAACCATGGGTCGTGCACGAACAGTCCCATCTCTCATCTCCCCACGATGACGACGCCGCAAACAATCGCAGCTATGCATCCCCCTCCCGTACAAAGAAGCAACAGCAAAGAGAAACTGAAGCCTCGTCAAAATGAAACGAATAGAAATTACGCTCCGGACCAACAGAAAAAAATATATGAGGAAAGGGCAGAATACTACTAGTAAAAAAAAAAAATGCGGCTGTAGACATAAAGCGTTTTTGATTTTGTCAAGAGGCGATTACAGAGAAATGAACGAAATAGACAGCGGACAAAGCGGCACAGCAGGGGCGCTGTGCGGGAAAAGAAAAGAGGCAAGGCCAAACATACCTAAGCAGTTCCGTGCTGTGAAAGAATGGGACATCGTCAGCAAAACGCAGGTGGTTTAACAGAAGTGCTGAAGCCGTCTTTGTTTTCACATCATATTCACATGCAACGAAGAAGAAGCAGAGCAGGAAGAGACTAAAACAAACGAAAACAAACAAAAAAGGTTCGGAAGCAAACAGAGCGTCAACTCGGCACGATAATCATGAAATTTACAGAGGGGGACATTCCTCGCTAATACTGCCGCAACCCACGTGCCCAACCACACACAGTTCTGTCTATCCATCGTTGTCGACCTTCCCTTGGTTACCTTGTTTCGCCCAGCTTCTTCTACGATCAGGGCTTACCGAAACTCGTCTTGCACTCACTTCCGATAAAACAAAATGAAAAACAGAGAGCCTCAGTCCAGAAAGCTCACCTTCGGATGGCGCCGCATCCGTCGCACCGACGCGGACGAGCTGAACAGAGAGCCGCTGAAGGAGTCATCCCGGAAGAAAGCTTCGTCAAACGGCGCCGGCGAGACGGACGGCGTAACCGCGTCGGCCACCCTCGATGCGGTAGACGAGTTGCTGAGAGAAGCTTCGAAGTTCGGCGAAGCGGGCGAAGGTGAGACCTCCGCAGGGGCCACGAAGGTGGCGAGCGACCTCGACTGTGCAGGGGCGAAGTAGGCCGTCCGCACACGTGCCTTTTCCGTCGGTGGGTAGTCGTTGGTGTTGAAGGACCGTTCCGACTCGTACAACACATCTTCGTCCTCGTCCGAGTCGAAAGAGGAGTGGGTTGATTTGGTGTCCCCCGTCGTATCCGAGATGGGCGTCGGCGACGAGGAGCGCGAGAGGTGCACGCTGGAAGCGGCTCGAGTGGCGGCCGGGGCAAAGCACCACCAGCGGTGTTTGCGCGCACAGCATACGAGAAGGACCACACCGATGACAGCGACAATGACGATGGCGACGCCGATGCCGACCCACATGCCGACGCCCGCATGTTTCGGCTCCGACAACGAATCGTTTGGAGCTGCAGTCGGAAGATCAGGTGGTTGCATCGTGGTGGTCGTGGTCAAAGACGCGGTGGAAGACGCCGCGGAACTGGAGGAAGGCTTAGTAGAAGGTGTCGTGGTGCTGGTCGATGAGGTGCTTGGCACATCCGGGATTGGTGTGGTCGTGGTCGTGGTGGTGGTCGTCGTGCTGGTGGTCGTGGTGGTGGTGGTGGTGGTGGTGGTGGTGGTGGTGGTGGTGGTGGTGGTGGTGGTCGCCACAACGTTCAAGCACCCCACAAAAAAGCTACCGCTCGGCATCGGCACCGTATTCCTATACGGGTACATCGTCTCATAGGCGTCGATCCAGCTCGGAAAACCAGCTGTACTCAAACGCATCATCATGATGTACTGCCCGTACGCTTCACCAGGGTAGATGGCGTCACGATTGTCGTTCGTCAGCCAGTACATCATCGCGATGTCAAGCGGCCTCGACCCCTGCAGCCCACCGTAGCCCTGCACGTAGGCGTGGAAATTGCCGACGTAGAAGGGCACCGCGTTCTCGATCCCCGCGTACCGGCCGACGTCCCAATACCATACGCAGTTCGTCGATGCAACATTTTTTGGGCAGTTCGCCGACAACCGCGTTGACCCGCCGAGGTAGGTGAAGAAGCGTCCGGTGTCGACGTGCTCCATCATGATCGTTTTGATGGCGGCGTGCATTGCGTTGGTGGCGTCGGGAATCAACGTGCCGCCGAGGCTGGAACAGACATTGGCGGAGCTGGCGTAGGTGAGGTAAGCGCTGCTTGCGGTAGCCGTCAGACGCACTTCGCTCATATCGTAGCCGGCAGAATCTGCCGAGGAGGGCAACGCTAAGGAGAGGAGGAGCCAAGCGGTGAGGGCGACTACGATGTGACGTGCTGAGGCGTCTCGCAAGCTCCTACAAGGCCTCTTTCTCGAGAACGGCATTACCGGTAGTTTTTCGTGGGATTCCTCGTAACTTTTGCAGACTGTGGGCTTTCCCTCCCAGACGTGCCTGAGACCGTTCCTTCCTTGAGGGAGGGGGAAAAAAAAAGGGAGCGGCGTGCGCTAACGACCGAACGAGATCAGAACCAGAGAAGATCAGAATGAGAAAAGAAACAGTTGTATGTGTGTGTTCTTTTTGATTCTAAGTCGGTCACAACACAGACGTGTAAAGTAGCTCTGCTCTGCGACAGCCACCGCTCGTAGATTGTGGTGCGCGAGCCACAACTCCAGCAGTTGGAACACATTGAAACAGCAAAAACGAAAAAGCGCGTCCTGCCTTGCAAAAAACGCAGGCGGCATTGGAAACGACTACGGCATTTGCCATTCCACCCCTGCGTCGCCTTCTGCGAGGCCGAAACGGGCTCGTTTGCGTAAACGCTGTAGCACCGCCGGTCGCAACAAGCTTGCCGCCAGTGACCAAACGCGCAGCTTGTTTTTCTTTGTTTTTACCTGTTAGTGGAAAAGTGAATCCTTTTTTCCTTAAAGTTGCACTGCAACTGCCTTTTTACGGTGACAAAGAAGTCGTGAAAGGCGAACGGCAGACCGCGCTTCAACGAGGAAGGCCACGTATGACTGAAGTGAAAGAAATATATATGTATTAAAAAAAACCAAAACTTGGGTAGCCAAAAGATCGCAGAAGGGTGAAATTGCGCACACAAGAATATATATAAGGTGCACCAGAAAGGTGTTTTTTCTCCATACGTGGCACCTCTGCTAAAACACGGAGGTCATTGGCGTACTAAAAAAAAAGTACACAAAAACAAACAAAAAGAATACGATGAAGCACACGGCCGTTAATCATTCACTCAGGTCCACAAAGCTCACGCTCGGCGATCGCCGATGCTGCGGACGGTGTGGCGTGCGTATGGTGGACATTCTTCGTGTGCGCGTCAGTCCAGCTTGCGGGACCGGCTCCGGCGGCAGCGACGGCGTCGGCGTGTACACGTACGGATTCGCTATGCGAGTGCCTTTCGACGCAGGGGACGTGACGACGGCGGGGACGGAGGCGGGGGAGGAAAAAGAGCTTGGGTGGGGCGGCTCCAGCTGCATCGGGCGGGGGGCGGGATGACCCCCGCCGGCGAGGGCCCTCGCCACGTCGTGCATCTCCTCTACTGCTGGCACGGCGAACTGCGCAAAGGCCGTCTGCAGACTCGCCAGCGAATCGGTGCTGTCGGCGCTCCCCGAACCCGCCCGGTGCGCCGGCAGGCGTTTTCGCCACGACGCGATCGCTGACGCTGCGTGACGTGGCAGCGGAGGTCGAAGCGCTGCGCGAGGCGAAAGACGGCCGAATGTCTTCACCAGCGTTGCGACGAGAATCGGAAGACGAAGACGACGCATCCGCCGCGGCAGCATCCGCTCGAGTAGAGATGCCGAAGCAGCACCAGCCGTGGTACTTTCCCAGCACGCACACAACGCCGACTACGAACGCGGTCGCCACCACGCCGATCACCACACCAATCCCAGCCCATGCACCAGCGCTCAACGGAGTGCTGGAGTTTTTGGGCTGCGTATCGGTACCGTCGTACGTGGCGAGAGAGAGGAAGCCGTCAGGTGCAGCGCCGCCAGCTGAGGAGACGCTTTCACGGCTTTGCAGTGGACTGCTGCGGCGTGTTTGCGAAGTGGGCGCCATCCTTGTCTTCGTCGCTGCAGATGTTAGCATACACAGCGCGTACCACGTGCCCGTGTTCAGTGTGCTATAGGAGAATTTGGCAGGGCTACTGTCCTTCCACGCCGCGCTCCTACCTGCTGTTTGCATCATGACGAGATGCTGTTGATGGTGGCTCTCAGGGTACTGCTGAGTGGAGTTCGCAGAGTACCAAAATGACGGCAGGTTGTTCAAGGGTCCAACACCGAGTAGTTTTTGCGGAGGAGCGTTGCCTTTGTAGAACAAGAACACGGTTTCCACCGCTCCGTAGCGGCCGCTGTCCCACCGCCAAATGCACTTGAGTGACGGACCTGTGGTGGGGCACGCAGGGGACTGCGCCGACGACCCGCCAAGGTAGCCGATGTAGGTCGAGACGCCCACGTGATTGATCATGTGCGCTCTCAGCTTTGCATGCACCGCAGTTGACACGTCGGTGAAGAGGCTGCCACCGACACGGTCGCACTCCAGTCGCTGGCCGGCCTCCGTGTTGAACTGTGGCGTTACTCTGGCCACCACGCTCACCGCCGATGCATCGAAGATAGCTGCAGAGGCGCAGGACAGGACGCAACACTCCAGTGTCCACAGAAGGCAAATGGCAAGAAGAAGACGATGACGGGGCCGTGACAAGCGAGTCGTACCAATGCCAACCAGAAAACTCATATTTAATGGAACGCACAACAAGTCGGTACGTGTTGAGTATGAAACAAAATATGAAGTTTATAAGGAGAGGGGAAAAAACAAGAAGAGTAACGAAGGGAAAAGGATTGAAACCGATGCTCGAGTACCCTGCTAAAGAGCACTCACCGTTAAAAAACAAAAGGGCGTTAATCGAACACCCCTCACACACCCAGAGAAAAACAACAACCAAAAATTGGACTTGCGATTCTAATAGGAATAGAAATACACGTACAAATAACAAAATCTAACGTAGACCAGGGGAAAAAGGAAAAAGGCCTCGGCGGACTTAACCTGTGTTTCCTACATGCAAAGGGTAGGAGTACGGAGGGGTTTTTACGGTTAACGATGGACGAGCAGCGCAGACTCAATAAGAAACACTTGGATTCGTGGGAAGTGAACTTTATGTACACAGAAAAGAAAAGAAAAGAAAAGAAGAAGAGAGCAGCAATAGCCAGCTACGGGATAGAAACGAGGGAAACCAGCGATATTGGAGTACAGGAATCAGAAACAAAAAGAAAACTTGCGGGGAGGATTATCGGTGCTGGAGCACGTTGTATGAACAGACGCAGAAAACGAAAGAGAAACGTTATTTTCACATTACAATCAAGGAGATGGATACACCGCTTTTTTATTCTGCTTTACAGTTTGCGCAGTCTGATGAAGTCGATCTCGATCTCTCTCCTAAACGTGCACCAGCAATTACGCAGGAGTGAAGGAAAAGAGACTCTTCAGTACCTTAGATGAGGATATCCCTCAACAAAGGAAGAAACAGTATGAGGAATATTAAAAAAGAATACGTGATTTCGTGGTGTACGAGCAATGAGCTATCTGACCAGTGGATCGTTGGTGTAAATATGCATGAATGGATATCCAAGAGGGCACGATACCTCTTTTAAGAAGACTCGGTTTTACTTTTCTCGAGCGTGACAGCTTGTGTTTTCGCTTTTACTTTACTTGGGACAGTTGTCGCGGTAAAACAATTCGGAAACACAAAAGGCAACGTACAGTTGTAATTCGCAGGAAAGAATAAGTTTTTTTTTTGCTTGGTCTGTGTGGTTACTCAACCTTCGTAGACCGCCGCGCTGGGTGGGGTCTTTCGGTGCAAAGTGTCAATTCTCTTCGGCAATGGGAAGCAGGTGTTTCGACGGCGTAGTGGTTGAAAGAACGAAAAAAAAGAATAAAATTGGAAAGAGAGAGAGATCAACGAGCGAAAAGCATCCGAGACGTTGTTGTTTTTAAGGCCCGTTAGCATTCCCGAGTGAGATCAAGCTTGTCGATCGTCATCAGGAAAGAGGAGCGCGTTGAATGATGAGGTGGCTGCCCAGCATATTCCAATGCGTGCCGCAACAGTTTTTCTTTTTCAACTGTTAGAGAAACTGTGTTCTCAACATTCGTAACAACGTCTCCTCAGAGCACAGGACGCATGACTGGTTCTCTTTTTAATGTTGTAGCAATCAGTTTAGAGTGGTCTTGTAGTTTCGCTAAGGTAGACAACGAAATAAAACAGAAAGACGCACAATCCAAAAAAAAAGGGCAAGTAAACTCCCGCTCATGTGCACATGGGTAATGTATACATATATAGGTATATATATATATATATATATATGTGTGTATATATTGTACGTGTTCCTTCGTCGTACGGAAACCACCCGCACATACAACGAAAGAAGAATCAAAACAACAAAACTGGCTCTTTCCTGTAAAACACCGCGATGCACATGGAACGCGAATTCTTGCTAGTCGCCGTCACGCGAGGATCAGCTTGAACTGCTGTGACCTGTCTGCTCCTTCTCTCCCGCGGTGCGGTCCCGTTAGTTAGAGAAGCTCACACTTGACGATCGTGGGAGACGCTGCTTTGACATGCCGGAGAGCCGGCGTTGTGGGGTAGAGGGTTGCTGCTTGGACTGGGATTGCCGTGGATGGAAGTGTCCAATCGGCGGTAAGGCTGGTGGAACAGTTGGCGAAAACGTCATCGCTGGGTTTTGCCCGGTTGCACCTTTTGGGGGCACCGTTCGGAGGGCTGCGTCGCCACCCAAGTGGCCGTTGCGCTCGCCGTTCTCCACGTACACTTCATCGTCGTCGTCGGACGAGTCGTCCTCGTCACCGTTCCGACTTCCATTCGCCGCGTTGATGTCGACCAGCGAGCGGCGCGGTGCGTTCTCATCCAGGGCGGCCTCGTGAAACGCCCGCTCGCCCTCGTGCAAACCGAAGGAGTCCTCGGAGGGGCTTTTGCTGCCGAAGCCGGTGGACCCGCCGGGAGAGATCACAACCATCTCGCGCGGCTTCGGCGCAAACCAGCACTTCTCCTTTGTCTTCAGTTTACAAAGCACGAGACCGGCTATCAGCCCGGCGAGGGCGACAATGGCGACGGAAATGCCGACCCACTGCGCCACTTTGGGGGCCGGCGTCGATGCGGGGCTTGGGAAGCGACTGGAGGTGGTGGTCGTCGTCGTGATCGTCATCGGCACCGCGCCGGAGGACTTCGTCACTGACTCGCTACCCGTGACCTCCGCCGCGCCCCTCACCGGAGGTTCGGCGTTGTCAACATCGGCCAGCGGTGTGAGCCCGCCCGGGCGGAGTACACTCTCGTGTTTCTGCCGCTCTTGCTGGTCCAGCATCCACAAGAGGGAGTTCACCACCGCGTCCGCCTCGGAGCTGCGAATGTCTGTGGTTGCGGGTGGGCGGTCATGGGCCGCGGGTCCGCCTGCCGAAGAGGCAGCTGCGCCGCAAAGATGAACGGTGACAAGAATGCAGAAAAGCGCTTTGTAAAGCGCCCTTCCGCGAGATATGGGAAGCATCGACAGATCAGGCAGCGACAACGGTGGAGGGGTAATAGAAGAGGAGAAATAATTTCAAAGTGAAACGAACGTGAAAGCGACCGTACGCGACCGGTAGAACAGACAGAGAGCCAACGGGAGAGAGACGTCGGGCGCGATGAGAGGAAAGACAGCAACGATATACACAAAAGCCACTACGCAGATAAAGCAAACAACAGGATCGAATGAACGCACAGCAGCGGATAGCCAAACCCGATATAGAACTCAGGAAGGGACGGAGATGATGCAACCTGGAGAGGAAGAAGAAAAGAAGGAAAGAGAAACAGCTTCTGGCAGAGAGAGAGAGAGAATGTGTGTGTGTGTAAAGCAAAACTCTACTAACATGAAAAGCGCCAACCGTAAGGGGAAAAGAGACAGAGGCAGTGCTGTGAACAGATAGCTATGCACATATCACAAGTACTTACCAACAGGAAGAAGAAAGAGGGCACCTTAATCACACCCAAGGAAGCAAGAGAAATTTAGATGTCCCTGCAAGCGCACGTACACGCCTTCGAAAGAAACAAACAAACAGAAAAAAAGAGACGATTCTGGTGATGAAATGAACGACGAGCTTAGAGGAGAAAAGAAAAAACGATGGGTGCTAAATGAATTCGCCAGTTGAGTGGAGAACCAAAAAAAAAAGGCTTTGCCCAGCTGTTAACGTACAGAAGAATGCCTAGCACCGCGAGAAACCTAGGAGCTTCGATACGCACACAACGGTAGTTACCACGGATAACCCTGCTGAGGACAGTTATTGCGAGGCAGCGGCGGAAGTTGCAGGTGGGTGCGAGAGCGCACTTCCTTCAAAGGCAACGAGGGAAATAGGCTTACAAGGTCAATAGTCGCAAGCCAAATAGGCTAGCTGGCAGAACAAGAAGTAACGCGTTGGGCTTTCATTAGAGAGAAACGAAGAGAGAGAGGGAGGAGGGGATAAGAAAAGCTAGGGTCAAAGTAAACCAAAACCAGATTGGTGTGAACACGCGCCTAAATCATTCCGAATTGTATCTTTCACCAGATGCTCAATTACGCGCGACGCAACCGTAAGTCAGCTATGAACGAGATCACACGATACATTCTCGTTGCGTTTGTCCAATAGGAGTTTGAGCTCTACGTAATAAGGCGTACTTTCCACCATGGAAATGCGTGTCGCCTCCAGATGTGTGTCAGCACGTCTAGGTCGCTTACCGGGGCAGGAGGAAAGTGAAGCCGTACGAGCGACACTCGATCCGCTGCATGGCCGTGATCATGCCTGCGACGACAACAAAGGGAAAAGCTCGCTTGTCCTTCTAACCTCGAAGGTTTCGTTCGTTTCTAGGGATTTGTAAACAGCTTAGCACGGGTTTCCGTGAGTCCCTACAAGCTACTACTACACTACAGATAGAAGGAAAAGAGTGAAGAGAAAAAGTATAGAGAGAGAACCCCGCACAGCCCAGCTACCTGTTAGGGACGCTGAATCGAATGTAGACAGGAGGAGGACCGAGAAACACAAGGAAACACAACAACACACAGCAGAAAATAATAATAATACGGTTCCTCCACGGAACTCCGTGGCTTGCGCGTGCCATACGTCCCTTCCCCTTCCTCCTTTCGTTCTCCTCTCCCACACAGAGTTTCTGTCGAGAGCGTTAGGCAATGAAAAACTTTGGCACTTAAGAGCAAAAGAAAAACACTCCTAAGTGCCGCCGCCCCGTCATTTCCAAGCCGCCTCCACTTCTTCGTCTTTCCCCCATCTTCGCAAATCCAACCATTACACAATAGCACTTCATTCGGCTCCGCATCTTTACGCGTACAGCTGCCTCTGGTTCTGCGGCAGCGTGGCCTTAATGTTGACCGGGAGGTACTCCTCGATCTTGCCGGTCTCCACCAAGCGGCGGGCCTGCTCGCCAAAGACGGTGTTCTGAAGCACGTAGGCGCGCAGGCGACGGCGTTCCTGAATGTGCTCGGCCGTGGCAAAGACGATAAAGGTGGGCGCGCCAACTACCAAAAGACGGCCGTAGCCCTGCGGGGTGTAGCGCCAGCGCGACGTCATGAACTGCGTCACGCTTTCCTTGATACGCACATCGATGCCGATGTCGAAGAAGTGAGGGGGGCCGAACTGGCGGCGAATGGTGGCCGTACCGGCGGTGTACATCGTGAGAGCGCCCATGACTGCGGCGGACACCACGATGTTCGTGCGGCGCCACCACTGGCGGTTCTTCTCAATCTCCCAGTCGCTCTCCGTTTGGAACTTGCGCCAGCGGAGCATCCACTCGTCCAAGTACTGCATGGTCAGCTCTACCTTCATCCTGTCGGGGGGAATAGAAGCGCGGGGGAGGGCTTAAGAAAAGAAAAGAAGTGCCGGAGACAACAGCAAAGTAATACTAACTACTCGCGTTACTGGTGTGCGTGGAGCACAACGGACGCGCGTGAAAGAGAAAGTGGGAGAGGGGGTGAGAGAGACGCAGACGTGGTAGAGGGAGCAAAAGCGCAGCAAAGAACACAAAGAGCATTGCTTGACGCAGATGCCGTCACCTCAACTTGCATTTGTGTAAGTTGGCAAAAAGCGTTGCTACGCCGTCGAATACAAACCGGTTTTTATTTTTCTTTCGCTGCCAACGGTACAATGGCGGTGGGACGATGTACTCCTTTCCCTCTCTGTTGTTAAGTGTGTCTTACGGCATATTCCTTTGCCAGTAAAAGTCTTTGGAAAGGCATATGCAAGACCAGTTGAGCGGATGTTTGAAGGGCGAGGAGATCAAAGCCAAGACGACCCGATCTCCTGGCAGAGAATCCGCAGCAGAGTTACGCGACCGTTTCGAAGCTCCTTCGTTATTTGGGATCGCATCGCAGCAGCAGCCTCGGGGGCGAGACGGCCTTGGGAACCATCATTTGCTGGCAATGTTTCCCTTGCTATCTGCTGATGTACCTCGTACAATCGCCGCTTCACACAGCGCTGAAAGTCCTTTGCGCTCTTCAGCTCGGCGCGCGCCTCCTCCAGCGCAGATGCCTGCTGCTTTTGTGCCGCTGCAGCACCAGCAAAACCGTTCGTGGTGTTGTCAGCGGTGAGCAACGCCGCTTGGCATCTCGCGCGCGCCACCTCTGATGCCAGAAGACGTCGTGCATCGAGTAAACGACGCTGATAAGAAAGCGATGCGTCGGACCAATACAACAAAGGGCGCAGTTCGAATGCCGAGGGCAACGCGTCTCCTAATGCAGGTCGTCCTTCTGCAGCTACTTGTTCCTTCCGACTCCTTTCAAGGGGCTGTGTGTCTTGACAAGTGCCAGGTGCTGTGAAGGAAGCTGACAGCGTCGTTCGGCAAGCCGTGTAGCGTGCGAGCGTTGACTTTAAGCTCTCCCTCACTCCTTCACCCCTCTCTGCTGCTACGAGAACTCGCACCGCTTCCACCAGAGTGTCGGGAACATTGGCCTCCGCATGCGCCTTGTCATCTGTGGTGCTCTGCAGATCAAGAAGAGAGGCTACGCAGCGCTGAAGCTGAGACAGCGTTTCCATGTGCGACGCCATCAAACGTTGTTGCCGGACGCGCACCAGACGCGCCATCGCGTACTCTTCACGCAGTGCCCGATACCGCGACAACGCGCCGTCGCGCTGTGCGACCTCGGAGACGAGCGCCGCGTGGACGACGGTGGAATTAACCGTATACGCTGACATGCGTGATGGGCCAACAAATATCCACGCGAACGCAAGCAGTATAGAGAATCTAAAGGAATAACTCCGTGTGTGAATCTATGAATCCTTAAAAAAATAAAAAGGTGAGAATGAAAACGACGAGAGGATGCGTGCGTGACCAATAACAGTGAAGGAAAAGGCGCGCCGTTTTCGGCAGATCGAATGCCCCGCTGAACTATCGCGTGTACAACGACGACGAGTGCGAGCTCAGGTCTACCTAAAAAAAAAAAGGAAGAGTTTGGGATGACATCAACACCACGCAAGGACACGTTATGGCAGGCACCAATGGAGCAGCGAAAGGGGATGACACAAGAAAAGAAAAGTTGAAGTGAGTGATTCGGTTGCAGGTGCGGCTACCCTGACAGAGAGCACTAGAGCGTCGGTCACGTTTTCATCTCTCCGGCGGGCACAGTGGGTCCAGCGATAAGTGTGAAAGCAGCGCGCATCGCAGCCAACGCCACGCCGAAACTCCCGGTGGTGATGAGCAGAAAATGCGGCGAACGGCTGCACCACCGATTGACTCTCACCTACTTGATGAAGGGTGAAAATACCTGCTTGCAAACACCCAGTTGGTATCACAGCGCGTCAACAATAAACTAGCAAGTTTGCGTGTGTGTTTGTGTGTGTGTGTCTGAAGGCGCGACGTCCACCTGTCAAATCAACACGTATTATTCGGGTTTCAGCTAAAAAGAGAGCTTTCTGTTGTCTGTGATTCTTCAAACAGTTTCCTGTGGCCTCAACAACGGCATCAAACGTGAAAACCACACAGTACCAACAACCACACAAAGGGCCGACATTGCAAGAGCATTAACAACTCAACAACGAAAAGCTGAACACCGCAAACGCAGCGCAGAGCGGCGAGGAGGGGGGGGGGTGAGAAATAAGAGAAGAAGAACCGTTACTCCTTCCTTGCCGGTTCGTCCATCGCGTCCTGCAACGTGTCCACCGTGTAGCCCTGCGCGTCCGCCGTGTCGGCTGTCTTGCGCACCTGCATACCCTTCACATCCAGCCACATGTCCATCGGTGTGACGAACAGACTGCGCTTCTTCGCCTCGCGGTACTTCTCGTACAACTCCTTGCTCCTCGCCTCGATACGAGAATCATCCAAAACGGAGTAGTACGTCTTGCTCTGCCCAGACGGCCGCCGCACCTTCACCTCTACTGTCGGCCAGTACTCCCGGCCGAGCTGTGCCTTGCGGGCGTCGGCGAGCAGCTCGGAGACCTTGGTCGAGCCGTAGGTGATGTTGTCCGATTGGTCCTCGTACTTGTCGCTGTCCAGCTTCAGCACCCCCATGCCGACGCGATCCCCCGCGAGAATGCGCAGGCGCCGCTCCGTTTGCAGCTCCACAAACGGGTTGCCGTAGGCGTCGAGCCGCTTCAACTCGTCAAGGCGGCAGCGGATCGACACGTTGCGGTTGTGCACGTCCACCATGCGCTGGTACCAGCCCTGCCAATCGTAGCGCTTGTACTGCAGGTTGTCGTACTGCTCCACCACACCCATCTCCGCCGGCACGTTGAACTGCGTCGTTGCGAGCCCGACGGCGCCAATGCGACGGCGCGTGCGCTGCGCCATGCTGGCCGCCGCCGCCTGCGGGACGTAACACAGACGGATGTACATGCGCGCCATGCACTCCACGTACCACAGCGCAGGGTTGGCCTGCGCCACGGCAGGAGCAGCGGGGAGCAGCACCCCGCTCGACCCCCACGACGGGTGACGCTGCCTAATGGCATCTAGGAGTAAGTCGAGCACCCCGCTGTCCACCTGTGGGCGTCGTACGAGTTGTTGGCGCTCCACGGCCGTCGCCGCCGACTCCAGTTCGTCCAGCGACACGCCCGCCTTGCGCAGCACCCCCAGCGTGCGATCCACCTGCTGATAGGAGGTGAGGTGGCGCACCAACTGCCCCACCTTGGCGTTACGCACCGTGGCGCGGTCGCTGCGGCGGTTCAGCACACCCTGCAGCTCATCGGCGTACTCCTGCGTGAAGAGCCGCTTCGTCGCCCCCTTGGCACCCACCGCATTCTTCAGGATTTTCTGAGTCGCGGCGAGGGTGGCGGGATCGCTCAGCAGCGCGCGTGCGTGTTGGCGCCACCGCGTAGTCCAGTCGACGGCGGCCATCGCCGCATCCCAATCAATCAACGGCTGATTCCTACCGGCGTTGCGGCCGTCCGTGAGTTGAAAGACATGTCGGACGTGCGCCTTGGCCGCGTCGTCGAGGCCGCTCAGGAGGGAGTGCAGCAGCGACTTCACCTCTGCCGTGCTGTCGAAGCGTTCCACAGCGTCTACCACGTCCGCCTGCAGGAGCTGCTGGTCATCCAACATCGCCTCGCACAGCGCCGCCTCGCGTGCCCAGTCGTAGAGCCCCTCCGCCCGCAGTGCCTTCGCCAGACGTCCGCAGTCCTGTGCCTGATCCAGCAACGCCCGTACCGCCTTCTCCGCAAAGGTACGCTTTGCCACGGGACTGACTAGACGCATGGAGTCGGCCGGAAGCCGCTGCACGTCATCGCCGCCAACGCCGTCATCTAAGTGCGCCGACGCACCGCGCAGCTCCGGCGGCGCCCGCGTGTGGCTCTCTGAAATCGCAGCTAGCAGCAGGTACAAGGCGACGGGCGCCGTCATGGCCGGCGTGCGCACCGCATCCTCCATCATGAGGGCATCCCAAGCAAACCCCAGCGTGGCGTGACCGGGGGAAACGGTCGAAGAAAAGAGCTCCGCCCTGTGCGCGTTGACGCTGTCGAAGAAGATGCGCCACACGGCGTCACCGTAGCCGAGGTACGGACTGTTTTTCACGAGCGGCAGCACGTCTTCTTTGAGAAAGGCATTGCGCTTCTCGACCGCCTTGCGGCGCAGCACCTCCAGGGCGAGGGCACCATCCTCGCGCGGTGTCAGCGCCGTCATCTCCGCCACACAACTCGCGTGCAGCGCCGCCAACTCTCGCAGAAAGGCGTCCTTATTGAATACGTGCGTCGTGTTCAGCTTGCCATACGCCTGCACGGCGCGCGTCCACGTCTCTTCCAGCTTCTGCTGTGCGTTTGGAGCAGCGGCGTCGCTTGCTAACCTGGGGATGACCTCTGCGGCAAAGCTCTGCACCATGCGATCTGCCGCCGGCGATACCGGCGGGGCGTCCGTGACGAGGAGCTGCTCCACGAAAACGGGCAGCCGGGGGTACTGGTCGCCCAACCAGTACTGCAGCGTGCCCCATTTCCTGTCCAGGCGCAGCCGCTCCTCCAACGACGGGGCGCTGACCGCGGCGGAGCGCAGTACGGAGCTCTCTGGCGCACGCGACTCCTGGTTCGGCAGCGTACGCGAGTACGGATCTTTATCACTGGTGCCGAGGCCTTCGTGCACTTTGCTGCGGAAGAGATCGGCCGCTGGGGCGGCGTTTACGACGTTGCGCGCAAACGTGTTGCGCAAGTCTTTGGTGGCCATCGACTCGTGCTTCACGAGACCGGCGCCGTGGGAGCCGTAAATGCGGTCCTTGTGCTGCAGCTGAAGCAGCGCAGACGACGTCGCAAACATGCGGCACGACGCCGCAGTTTGCACGAGGTGCGACGCACCCGGCGAGCCCGTCGGCGCGGCGCAAGAGATGCGATACATACGAGCTAGAAATACGTGCAACCGTCTTCGTGGGTTTAACCACCGCCCCGTGCGCGGCTCGGACAAACAACCAAAAAGGCGATGTTGTGCTGTAAACACACCTAAGTGGGTGCACAACTGTTATCGTGTTTTACAGTGTGGCTTCCAGAGGAGTGAAAATACGCGGCACGTAAGACAGATCCCGCAGAGACGGCCAACAACAGACCGTTGACCACGTTCTTACCTCTAACGTTTCTTTTTCTCTCTCTCTCAAACGTATAGGGTGGTGGTGGTACGTTGACATTCCACTCAAGCGAGAGAGAGAGAGGAGAGAAGCGGCGTAGCAGAAGGACAGTCGGAGAAGTCAAACACACAAACACTTACTCGATGGCGAGTCACTGGTTTAGCAGGCCTGTTCCGGGACACGATGGGACCTCAAGACGATTGCCCGAGGCCACGTGCAATATATATACATATCCACGTATATTGGTACGAGGAGCTGTGTTCCGATCCACAGCACTTCAGTTCTAAATATCTCTGTTAAGCCTGCCGCCGGGGCTCGGTGGATGCATTACTGGAATACGATACAAAAGGGAAAAGGAGAACTCTTTAATAAGATAGAAACGGAAAGGAAAAAAGAAGTGGAGAAGAACAGAGTGCGCCGTCGAGAAGCGATGAGACGCTGCGAGTGACTCCTTGGGGAAGCTGTCTTCGGTGCATCGCCAAAGAAAACTCTTTACAAAAACAGTTGGCTCAACAGACACAGCTTTTGAAACGTGGACGCAAAATTGCTACGGTGCAAGCCCACCTGGTGTTCCTTAACGTAATGCAAGGCGCCGTCGTACGACGCGTTCTCTGCGCCTGCCAGGCCCAACAGGAACGCCGACTGCACCGTGACGAGCACCACAAAGAAGGTGAACGTCTTCAACAAAAACGCCTTCACCATCTCGCTCGTCATGCCGAAAACCGCATTGGCGTTGCGTGCGGTGGACGAGGGCGGTGCGCCGGCCCCGCGGTAGTACAGGTGGCGCACCAGCGCGTACACAAGCAACAGAGGGACGTACACCCAGCAGTACTGGGCCAGGCCTCGAACACAAAACACCAGCAGCATCGGCACCAGCACCGCGGCGAAGGCCACAAAGCTGGAGCCTTGCGTCAACACCGTCGGCAGGTCATCCAGCTCCAGGCTGCTAATGCGGAACAGCAGCTCGACAATAAAGACGGAGTCCTTCTTCCCCTCGTCCACCTTCACAGCGGCCGTCTTCGCACGGTCGCGGTCGAGCGGCAGCAGTATAACGTTGAGGTACTCCCACACAGAGGTCAGTAGTCCAGAGAAGATGTTCGCCGCGCCACACACGCAGAGGCGTCGCCACCCGCCATCAATCGAGTCAAAGTGGTATTGGATGTACAGCAGCATCGCGCATGCTTTGATGGAGCACAGAATGATGTAGTAGGGGTGAAAACGAAAGATGAGGCGCTGAATCTCAAGACGGACAGCCTCCATCGTGTTGGTCAGGGCCTCCGTGACGACAGGGGCAGGGACAGGGGGAGACGGGTTCTCGCTTTGATAGACGGCCGCCATCTCCGCCGCTGGTACGGTCACTGTCTGACTGCCCGCCATAAAAGACGCCGGCCCGGCGGTCTGCGCGCGTGCGAGGCTTTCGATGGCGAAGGAAGGATCCTCCGGGTCCGCGCCGGGCGCCGCGATGCCGCGAAAAAAAGCTGCGCTGTCGTAGAGCTCGACCGGCGACATCAGCGGCGTGTGCTGCACGGAGACTGCAACGATGTGCCGCGTGTGGGTGAGGCGGTGGGCCTCGGCGGATGACGGGGCCTCGACGATGTGGGCCGCACGGCTCATCCACAGCACGCGGCTCCACTGCCGGAAGGTGTCCGTCACGCTGCGGTCGCGCTGTGCGAAGAGGTTGAAGAGGGCGTTGGTGAGCGTGAGACTTAGGCTGGCTAGAAAGAGAACGAGTAGCGAAGGAATCATCGTTTCGTCCGGAAGCATCTCGAGGATGGAGCGCTGCGGTTGTGGTGGTTGTGGTGGCGATGGAGATGGCGGCTGGGGCGGGACGGGGCCGAGGAAGAAAGGCTGCAGAGGACTAAACTGTGATGCAGCAGCTGCTGCCCCATCCGCACGATCCATCATGTTGCCGTAGGACGGCATTTGAAGTGCACAGCCAAAACACTTTCTATGAAAACAGACAAACAAAAAAAAAATGCTTTGATTATTGTGTTTCCAGCACAGAGCGAGAGAGCCTCGTAAAAGCGCAGGTGACGCGGCACCTTTGCTGATTGTTCGACGGCAAAATGTCAAGAGAACGTGTGGCGCATCGGCTCTCGGTTGGACGATGAAACAACACACGGCGATAATGCTCCGCGGCACGGGGTTTAACTCATGTGTGAGGCACAACGTTGGAACAGGCAGTGCAGCTCGAGAAGGACAAAGGAGGTCATTGGTGGGGGGGGGGGGGAAGGCGCGAAGGGAAGCAGAGAAGAGTTCATGTAAAGGCAAACTCGCAAGCCAAAGCTGAAAGCCGACATTCTGCGTGTCGAAGCCTCGATATCACAGAGCAGACGGACAGCATCAGGACTTCAACGCAGTCATCCCAACGCGCGGAGGCGTCATCAACAACAACAAAAAAAGAGCACCATAATTGCACCTATCGCAGAAGCACGCTTACGCGGCGCAAGAGCAGCGAAGGGAAAACGTTTCTTTTCCCTGCACACAGTAGATGCTTCACGACCTCCGGCTATTAAGAGCGGTCTCTTTTGCATCTTAACGGAAACACAGCGCACTTGTTGGGGGAGTACACATGTAACTGCAACCGCAAGTGACCATTAACAAAAAAAAAACGTACACATGTACAAGATAAAATACATCTGAGATAGAGTGAAAAGAAAGATGAGGAAACAGCCACCTCCATTCACGCCACGACACACGTCTGCTGAGTTTGATCCGCATGAACACGACGTGGGAAGAAATTGGAAAGAGGAAATGCCGACTTCTCTGAAGGTGCTCGTGAAACTGTGATAAAAACGAAACAAACAAAGATGACGGCGAAGACGGCGTGTTTTTAACCTTACAACCCACTGCATATCGCTGCAAAAATAAAACGCCGTCGCTGGGTGATTGTTCAAGGAGCAGTAGGAGAAGAAGACGAAGCTGATAGATTTGCGTAAGAAAACTGCACGGGTCGCCCCGCTTATGTCGCATGTGTACTTTAGAAGGAAAGCCAAAACAGAGAACGGCAAAAATCAAACGTCGAAGTCCTCTGGCAAAGGCAGCGCAACCGCCCTTCGACTGCTTTCAGAGCCACTGTACATATCGGCTGCAGCAGCCGAATCGCGATTCGCGGCACTGACCTGCTTAGCTACCGGGCTTTCGTCTTCTTGCAATGCCTCCTGCAACTCCTCCATAATGCGTGCCGCGCGGTGGTTCCATCGGCGATAGTTTTGGACCAGTGCCGCGTTGTAGCGCTGCTCCTGCAACTCCTGGGCACGTTGTTGATGCAGCGAAATGTCCTCGTCCAGCTCTCGGCCCGCCTCCACGTACTGCGCCGCCTGCCGCTCCTTCGCCCTCTCCGCCCTCTCCTTCTTTTCGCCGGCCCCCTTCACAATTTCCGTGCCACGAGACACGCGCTGCTCGATCACCCTCCGCAGCGTCGCCTGCTGCTGCTCCTGCCGAGCGGCGTGGAACTGCGCGCGCTGACGCAGGTAGGATTCTTGCTCTGCCTTGTTTTCGGCGAAGCGCTCCTCCTGCTGCTTTTGGCGCTGGTTGAGTTCACTGACGAGCTTGTCGTGGTCCCTGCGGACCGTTTCCAGAATGGCCTCACCGTTCTCCCACACTACCTTCGACTTGGCGCGGCTCGCCGCCTTCTTAGCCGACCACTTACTCATCTTGGACTCACGGATCGTGGCGAGTTTCATTTCGATCTCCTGACTGTGGATCTCCGCCTCGCGCGCCTTCTTCGCCTGCTCCCGCGCCGTCTGCGCAGCGCGACGCTCCCGCACCTGGCGGGCGTACGTCTGCTTCATCTGTTCTCGATCGTGCAGCTCCTTCTGCTTGCGTTGGCGCTCCATCGCGAGGTTCGCCAGGTTGCGCGTGCGGCGCCCCTCATTCGTGCCGGCCCTCTCCACCGTTTCCTCCTGTGCCTTTTCGTTGTGCGTGCGGCACTGCTGCGCCTTTGCGTCGGTGCGCTCGTTGCGGTCCTTGTAGTAGGCCACCTGCATGCTGCGCATCTCCTCCACCTGCGCACGGCGCTGCTTTTCCTCGTACTGTCGCTTCCGCTCGGCCTCCTCCTCGGCCTTGATGCGGCGAGCGTAGGTGTCTAAGAAGCGCTGGTTCTGTCGCATTTCAATCCGCCAGCGCGTCTCCGCATTGCGACGCTCCACCTCGTCCAGGGCGGACTGAATGAGCGCGACGCGGTGCTCGACTTCAGCTATGCTCACGTCGCGCGGTGGCTGCCCCGTCGTCTCCTCGAGCAGACCGCGCAGCTGAGCAATGTAGCTGGCGTACTCTTGGCACAGGGCGTAGTCGTCCGTCGTGCCCTTGGCTGCTGGGTGTGGATTTGGCGACGATGCGCCATCTTTAGATCCCGAAAGAGGTGGGAGCGGTCGCTGCGTACGCATCCTATAAAAAAGGTAATAATAATACAAAAAGAAATGAAGGGAGAAGGTCAACAACCGTCCGAGTTGTAAAAAACCTCAATGTGGCCTTTTTCTTTTCGAGAACCTTTTTCAGCTGCTGCGTTCGATGAAATGAACGTTGAGATAAGAAACAGAACGGGCAAAGAGAGACAGAGACGGGCGATAGGAGTTCGTCGGCGCCGTTTCGAAGTTTCGAAGTAGCTTACCTTCTCCAACACGAAACTCACTGAAAAGCGTTCTCCGCAAATATCCACCGTGGAGCACGCACTTGTGTGATTGCTACAGTCGCAAGAAAGGTCCACGGGTTCAGCAATGCGGCAAGATCCATTTGAATCGTCTTGCAAATGAGGGGCGTTTTTAAACCAGTGTGCATTACCGCTACGCACGCATGAATGTCCAAACTTGTGACTCTCTTCCCAAAACAAAAAAATTTGAAACACAAACACACAGGATTGGAAAGCGTAACTCCGAGCACCGAGGAAACAAAAAAAAGCGCACTGATGCATGTATGTTCGTTACCAAGATGACTCTTTTCTACAATAAGGTTGATCAATCGCGTCTGCCCCACAACGCTCCACATACGTCTTTGTATGAATAAGCTGTTCTATGAGTTTCATCAACTCCCTTCTTGTTAAAATTATTCTTACATCTTTCAGGCTTTCAGATACGTGTGTGTGTGTGTGTGTGTGTGTGTGTGCGTGTGCGTGTCAGACCGCTCGCCGGCGCTGGTGTTCGCGCAGCTGGCGAAGCAGCAGCGCACGTCCAAGACGTGCCCGTTCTTCCGGGGTGCTCTGCATGATTTGCTCCACAAATGACAACGGCGGCGCAGGCAGATCTATCGGAGGTCGGCGTGTTGTCTCCGTCGGCTTTGGAGTCGTCAGCGGGTGTGCCGTGTCGCGGTGCACGGCAGGTGATGAGCTAAGAGCTCGTTGCTGCTGCTGCTGTGTCGCTAAAGAGCTCGGTAGTGGTGCCCTTGCACGGTAGGGAGCCGGCGTAGCGTTGCCTGTCTTTGCTGCGGGCAGCGCTGCCTGTTGGCCTGACTTAACAGACGTCGCTTGCGGCGGCGAGCGGGAAGGCCCGCGAGTCCCGACAGAGGCAGCCCGCGGTTGTGGCCGTGGTGCGGGTGAAGTGCTCTGCCTGGCTGCGCTGCGCTCACGATCTGACGGGCCCAGTGCCGCCGCCGCGGCTCCGCTGCGTGAGCGCGCTCTTGGAGTTGCGCCACCAGCACGACCATGCCCACTGGCGATACCCTCCGCAGTGTTGGCTAATTGCGAGAAGAGCTCCCGGGCAGTGGAAGTCTGCTCTGCGGCTGATGCACTCACCATCGAGGAACCGTTGTCGACCTTTGTGGATGGAGCATGCACAGCAGGAACGTCGGGCGCTTGTTGACGAGACGCGATGTAGGCGCGCCGCAGCGCCTCACTCTTCGTCATTTTCACCGGCACCACGACATCGGGTCTGCACTCGTACGGGATGAGACGTCGAGGTGCGGGTCGGAAAGGGTAGTCCTCGTCCGTCACGACGCCCTCCGCAATGCCGCGTCGGCGCTGATGCTCCTTCTTCCACTCCTCCAGCGCCAGCGCACGGTTCTCGCGGATTTGGGCGATGAGCGCCGGGTCCGGTTTCTCACGTTTAATTCGTGGCAGGTTGAGCGGCGAACCGGCCACGCTGCCGCCGCCAGCGGAGCGCGGGGCACTGCTCGCCCGCTTCGCATTTGCGGCCCCGCTTCCTGCGACGGCGCATGCGGGCGGGGGTCGGGTGAGCAACGCGGCCTCAGCCGGCGCCACCTGCTGCTCCGCAAAGTACCGAAAGACGACGGCGACGAACTCTGCCTCGCGCAGTTTGTGCTGCCCACAGTTCTCCACTGCACTCAGCAGCTCCTCCGTTTCGTCTGTGCTAAGCAGGTCAAAGGAGGCCCGAGCGAGGAGGGCAACGGACTGCGGCGCTGCGGCACGGTACGACATGTGTTGGGTCTCGCTCACGTACTTAGCCAAGGCCCTGTACTTCGCCGCAAGGACAGACCGGTAGTATTCCTGCTGCAGACGCCGGCGGTCCTCGGCGAAGATCAAGGCCTGCTCCGCCCGCGCGACGCGCTCCTTCTCCTCATCCAGCTGCAGCCGAAGCCGATCCTTCATCGCGTCCCGCTCGGCTTGACGGTAGAGGTGGCGCACAATGTCGGGGTCCCGCTCACCGGCGGCTACCTGCGCCGCGACAATGCGCTGCGACGCCGCGGAGAGGAGAGGTTGGTGCTGCTGATCTGCAGAGTTCGGCGCCGTCATCGCCTCGGTTCCACCTGCCGTCGAGCGAGCCGCATACGGAGCTGCCCCTGCCCCTTCCTCCCCCTCGTACGGGGCTGGGTCCGCCGTTCGGACCACACCTCGTGCACACAAGCGATCCACCACCTCCGCCAACCGCTCCGGCCGCAGCGGCGACGGCTGCACGCGGCCCTCCATCTGCCGGAGAAGCAGCGGCTTCACCTCCGCCTCGAAGGCGCGCCGATCCTCCGCTTCTGCGTACAAGTTGTGGAACACCGCCGGCCCCGCAGGGGTGAGGGCGGCGGGGTCTAACTGCGCCGCGCGCAGCGTCAGCGGGCGGAAGGTGCACTCGCGCAGCTCGCGTTCCACCTCCTGCTGCTGCCGCTTTGCGAGCGACTGCTTGCGACGGATGATCTCCGACTGGACGCGGTTCTCCGGTCGTAGAGACGGCGGCCGCTGCAGCCGTGATGCGTACGGAGAGACCTGCGGAGCGAAGGGGCAGTCTCGGCGACGCCGTGCCTCTTCTAGCACGCCCTGCCGCGCACGCTCCAACGCCATCCACTGTTGCTTCGCCACCTTGGCGCGCATCGCCTCCTCATAAATGTCGGGTGGGTAGGCGGAGCTGCTCGTGGTGCCGTGGTGGTCTTGATCGTCGGTAACGCTATAGGAGTGGGAGCGAGGCGTGGTTGAGACCCACTGGCTGGTCAGAACTGCCGCGCCCTCCTTGCGGGACAGCGCTTGCATCAGCGCCGAGGAATACGCAGTTGCATGCGGTGAGGTGTCCGTGGTGACGGTAATGTCGCGCAGCCCGCTTTCCCACGGCACCGGCGTCGGCTGCTCTGCACTGGCGGCGGGGTTGTGCCGTTCTCCAAATGGAAAGTTTTGTAAGTCAGTTGGCGCGGCGGACGTTTGCGGTGGTGCTATGGTGAGCGCCGGCGGCGGCATCAGCGGTCCACCTTGGGCAGTGATTGACCTAGCGGTTTTATTACCGATATCACCACGCGCCGTCGGATGGGGGACGTAGACAGCGGTGATGGGCCGCGGTGAGGGCGGCGATGCCGCCTGCGGGGCTGACCCGGCTGGCATTGGTGCAGGCGGAGGCGTCGTCCGGTGTTGTGGCCCCCCTCCGTTTGTTGCCGTAGGAAGGGGGTGCGCCTCGTCTGATGTGCTCGCACCGCGTGCGCCGAGGTGGGAGATGAGTTGGTTAATGTTCGCGTCGGAGTCATCCGTGTCGACCGGAATTGGGCTCCCCATCGCCGTCGCCTCCGCCGGGTATCGATTCGTGGACGGGGTGTGCTCGCCGAGGCTGGTGCTGCCGCCGCCCTGTGTGGTGTGCAGCGTCGTACTGTTGTGGTTGTCGCTGTTCGGGTTGACAGAGGCGGATGCCGTGGCGTTGGCGGCAGAGGCGGAGCGCGACTGCGAGGATTGCCCGCGGCTCACCGCGTCCAGCCATCCAGGCGAGCGGGACTGCTTCGCCGCGAGGAACTCCGCCAAGTCCACGGAGTCGCTCAGGGAGCGCGACAGCGGCTGCACCGGCGGCTTCTTTTCTGCCGGCATGAGTTGAGCGATTACTCGATATACGTTCGGGGACCAACTGAACGTGTCAACGCGCCTCGGTGCTTCTACGGCACGCCCTCACAAATACCAGGATTCAAAGAAACAACAAAGAAGTTGAAACGGTAAAAACAACCAATAAAACACCCGCTGGTGACTCTTTTCGTTCTGTTTCTCTCTTTGTATATGTATATGTGGATTCTATACAGGGTACCCAGAATGCGTGGGCGTGGGTGCGTCTATGTGGCTCTTTATTCCTCACCAACTTCTGCGTCAACGAATCGCTCACAAAGGGGGTAAGGAGTAGGTGCTCGGCGGGATCAATGCGTATCGCGCGTGTTCAACCTGACGGCTTACCCGAGTCTAATACTTTTGAGTAGATGTGTGTGAGCAGTGCAGTCGAAGCTCTAATGAGCGCCCCTGCGAGTACAAATCTATGACAGAAGAGGTCTAATTTACCTGCGACTCTGGCGCACGTAATACATGCGTAATTCACGTTTCCAACTGCGTTTCAGCTTCCGTACGCACCGCAGGAAAACAAAGCAAAGAATAACGCATACGGTCACGAGAAGTGCGAGACAACAAAGGGGGAAAGTTTGGCAGAAGCGAAGAAGCATAGGCAACGACAGGTCGTGTGCATCCTTCTTCACGTATGTGCTGTAAAAAGCTATAAATAAATAAAAACGTCGTTGGGTTTGCTTGCAATGGCTCATCGAAAGGAGCTGGTCAAGCAGAAGCGACGCCGTCTTTAAGAGCTTCTGGTCAGCGCGAGCTCCTTCGCACAGGAAATTACCATCTCCGCTTTTTTTCGTTGCTTAGAGTGTTGATTAGAATAGCTGAGGCTGAAGAGGTGAACGACGTTATCCATCTTTTTAAAGCTCGTTCGTTTCTCCGCCTTACATAGGAAAGAAGCATTAGCGCACGCCCCCTCGACACTTCTGATTGCTTCGCATGTCCACCAACTGGACGGCAGCAACGGAGTGTTGAAAAGCCACGGAAAGGGAGAACTTACTCGGAGCGAGAAGGGACGAAGGCGAGCAAGGCAGGCTGCGCGTATCGCCTCGCCGACACCCTCTGCGCCTCCGTCATGGACCCTTGCACGGGACGCGGCTCCGGTGTACCTTCGTGCAACAGCCTCGTCAGCGCCTCTTCCTTCGCCCACTCGGCGTCTTTCGCGGAGCTTTCCACCTTCGCCACGTACGCGTCCTTCGCGACATCCTCGGCATCCACGATGAACTTCGCCGTCTCCGCCACCACCACGCCGTTCTCCTCCTGCATGACCCACTGAAAGAACTCTGGCGTCATGAACTGCGTGCAAGAGGTTCCAAAGAAGGCGGCATCCATGCGAGGCACCTTTCCCTCCCTACGGTGCAGCACAAAGCGATCCCAGTCGAGACCCAAGATGTGCACTCGCACCTTCGGCAGCGACGCGGCATACTCCACTCCGCTCGGGGTACCAGGAGGAAGGTAGTTGTAGTTCTTCGCGGCGTCCCAGGCGAAGGCGTGGTCCGCCCACGGCCACGGCAGGCCGGTCATCAACGTATAAAGCCAGGCCCGGACGTTGTGCAGAGAAACGACGCCGTTGCCGTACTTGCACGTCCCATCTGTCGTGCGGTGGCGAATGTGTGCGTTGTCCGTCAACGCGCCAAAGGCGAAGAAAGGGCCGTTCTTGATGTCCCCCGCGTAGGTGCCGCGCCCGGTGCGAGAGAAGAAGCACAGCGTCTTGTTCGGCATCTTGTAGTCGTACGAAAAGCCACGGCGAGGGTTGATGTGGCTGGTGTCAAACGCTACCCCCGTGTTGCGCCACGTGCGGTATTCCGGAAACTTCAGCAGGTTCGTGTACTCGGTGAGGTGAAAAACGAAGTCCCAGTCGATGATGTTGTCGCGATTGTCGTAGCGCTCCGCCATCTCTTGCCGTACGCGCTGCGTCCACTGCGACTCGATGTCGCACACCGAGGCGTCGGAGCTCCAGTGTGACAGCTGGCTCTCCACAAAGTCGCGCTCCTTGTACTTCATCTCCGCAAACGACACAATTTTGTGAAGCGCGGAGGAATCGTTCTCCAACGCCTTGCGCAGCCGCTGCACGACGTTGCGCACCTGCGCCGCTGTGATCTCACGCATTAAGGAGTTTCCATACACATCGAGGAACATCAGCACGCGTTCCTCCAGCTCCTCCAGGGCGAACATGCTATCCAACAGCCACTGCAAAAAGAAGAGATGCCGGCAGTGCAGTCGCAGGTTCGGCTCGTAGAGGTAAAAGTGATAGGTCGGTGTCGACGAGGTCTCCGTTGTCGCTCCGTGTGCGTCAGACGCGCGCAAGGCGGAGAGGGTGCGGAGAATGTGACGGATGTCGCACGCACCTGCCAGGAGGACGTGCACGTCGTTGTCTGCGTCACTACTGGTAGCGGCGGTGGCAGCCGCCGGTGCCTCCGTGGACGCCTTGTCAGGTGCGTCGGACTTATGACTGCGCGCTTGGGCAAGAAGCGCCTCAAAGTCTAGCTCGTCTTTGCTTTTCGCGGTCGTGGTTTCCGACGACGCCGGCACCGCTTGTGGAGCGTTCGCGTTTTCGCTCGGTCTCGCGTGGGCAACGGAATTCGGCGTTTTAACTGCACGACACGGACGCTGCGCGAGCAAGGAGACGAAGTCCACCGCCGGTGACCAGCCCCAGCACACCTCCGTACCGATGGAGTTGAGCAGCTGCTGCTGCTCATTGCGCAGGTACTTGTCGCTCATCGCTCAGATAATTACGTGCGCTGCGGTTATGGACTATGACGAAACAGAAAAATTGTATTTCCCGTAACGGTGTTTCGGGGAGCACTACCCGCATGAGACGCAGGAGGTACCGTGTGAAGAGAAACGAAAGCAGGTCTTGGAAGAGAGAGCTGCCTCGGTTGCAAACAAAGACGCCATAGTAAGCCCGAGCGGGAGCGTCTGCGGGGGCTGAGAGGTCAACCACATTTGACGACATTGGAAGAATGCTGACACGTACGCATCTGCCACGTTGTTGCTACAGCCTTTCACGTGTCACGTAGTGCCTTCTGCCGTTCTGCTCTTCCAGCGAAACAGCCGAGGTGTTCTTTTTTTCTCACATTGTCCGATTTCAAAAGACTGCAACACAAACAACAGCAACTCGGCACTTTTCACCTCTCCGTTGCGTAAGTGCGGGTGCACCAGAGTCCATTCAGCACTCAGAACAACAACGAAGAAAGAAAACTCATCGCAGTTTACGCTTACCAGATGTCGTACACGGCCGACAGCGACGGCCCATAAGCGATCACGCTCGACGGCTGGTGCTGGGACGTGGGCCAGACACAGGTTACATGCAGGTCCTTCACCGCCTTGCCAACCTCCACGATCACTACGGAGCTCTGGTCCGCCGCCTCCTTCACCTTCATGCAGCCCCCAAAGTCCGCCCACTGCTCGGCGTTGCACCACTTCATTTCAATGTTGTGCAGACTGACCGTGCCCTCGCTGTCGGCAGCGTAGAGGGACAGCAGCGGCACCGGCAGCGACACCACACTGTGCACATGCGGGAAGGCAGAGCGGAGGGGACGGGCCGTCACGATGATGCAGAGCACCTGAAGCGTGGGGGAGAAGTAGTGGCTGCCTTCATCGTTCACCGACATGCGGCAGACAGCGGCGTGGCCCGCGCGGGTGAGCAGGAGCACGTCGTGCGTGGCGATCACTCTCTCCTTGAGCAGTACACCTGTCTCGTGAGGCGCGTCATTGGCGGCCGAAAAGGAGGAGGAGAGAGCACCAAGGCCGTAGAGTTGAGTGGGCACCGCGTCCCGCAGCTCGCTGTGTAGCTGGCCCAGCGGAACCGGATCCTGTACGCGGTGTACCGCCACCACCCCAACGTCGTGCTCATCGGTCGTGCGCCCGTCTTCGAGACGCCACAGCGCCACCGTGCCGTCATTTCCGCTGCTTACAAAGCAAAAGCGCGCGTTCCCGCTTCGGTCGACGTTCGTGAGCGGCAGGAGGGAGTGCACAAAGGCGCTGGCGTGGCAGTTCGCCACCGTGCAGACCGGCGCCCCCGCCGCAATGTCCAGCACACGCACGGCGCCGTCGAAGGAGCCGGAGACGAGCAGCGACTGATGCCGTGACAGCCCCTCAACCGTTCGTGGTCCCGTGAAGAAGAGCGTCGTGACACCCGCCGTGTGCGCCCTCTCAAAGCGCCGCACAAGCTTTCGAGTCTCCAGATTGTACACCTTCACCCACCCGTCCCGGTAGCCCACGGCGACCCACTCCACACCCGCGTCCGCGCCTTCGGCGGTGTCTCGTGCGAGGGACAACACCCCTTCCGTGTGGCGCAGCGAGTTGCCCGTCACCTCGCCGTTCTCCGTGTTCGCAACGTCCACCACGCCATCCGCACGCCCAACCAGCAGCAACTTCTCCTCCAGCAGCAGCGGTGCGCAGCAGCAGGCGGCCTGCTGTCCATGGTACGGAAATCGACGCCGCACCTCTTTCGGAGCGGCCAGCGGGTACTGCAGAAACGTGTCCGCCCACGCCGTGTCGCCGGGCAGCTCCGACGGCCGATCCCGCTTGCGTGACGGCTGCGTAGCCTCCGACGTCGACGCCGACACACCGTTGCGTGCAGCTCCGCCTGGTGCAGCGGCCCGTGCAAGTGCCGCGGCTAAGCGGCCCACCGGCGCGTCGGTGCTGAACCGAATCGCCGTTTTGAGCTGTTGTAACAGCGCGGTGCGTCGCTGGCGCATTTCGGCTGTCACCCGCCGCGTCCCCGCCGTGCCCTCCGCCATCGTGCGCTGCCCTTGCTCAATCATCTTCTCCAGCCGTATGTACCGGGCTGGGGTGTCGACCTTCATGAGCTGAAAGATCGGCGCGTTGAGGAGCAGCGAGCGGGCAGCCGGCACTAAGCCGTGCAGCTCCACCATTTCCTCCAGGATGACCTCGTACAGCGTCGCCTTCACCTCCTCCGGAAGCAGCAGACCGTCCACGTACACGTGTAGGACCTCCGCCCAGCTGCCTTCCATTACTGCCGCCTCCAGGCCGTGCTCAGACGGACGCGCGAACTCTTTGCCGGACATCTTCTTGCTACCAGGTAGGTTTGCCTGGCTCGCTGCCGAATGCGCCGCGGTGCCGCCGCTGCCGTCATTACGAGTATTATCGCCGCTATCCTGTGCGACGTGAATGACGTTGTAGGGAATTTTCGATTCTGCCTGGAGGGCACGCAGCGACTGTTGATAGCCGTTTTCATCGAGGAACTCGTACACGCAGCGCAGAACCCTCTCATGTGCGATTACCCTAGATGAGGATGACAACGGGGAGAAAGACGCCATTACCGTAGCGGAGCCCCCTAACGGTTCGTGAACTAACGGCGCTTGGAAATGACAATCAGTCTTTATGAAGAGCCTAAGGTGTTGCTTCTGGGCAGCTGTGTATGTGTGTGTATGTGTGTGTGTGTGTGTCGATGAGCCTTGTTTTGTGTTATGCGGTAGTTGGTGTGGGAGAATATGTTCTCGCTATCAGTTTTAAAGAATCGTCTGTTTAATTATTTTTGACCCCTTGAGAATTCCCACCTCACTTGCGATACTTCAATTTTCAGGCACCACACGCAACAACAACGAAGAAATTGGGAATTGAAAACAGCGCAAGTTCATGTACGTCGCTGTGTCGAAGAGAAACGTTCTTTTCATCGGTTCCTCTTGGGTGATCGCGTCTGCCACTCTGTGTGCTGTATGAATGGCGAGGAACCCTCCCTTGGAAGAGGATAGAGAAGCGAGAGAAGCAACTCGTGCGTTACCGCCGGTAACACGGTGATGCATTCTATTTTCTGTTGTTGTCGGTTTCTTCTGAGACCTACTTCGCCAGGCACGGAAATTGGAAGCGGTTACGGAAAAGAAAGTGTATGAGGTAAAGAGAAAGAGAATATCGCCACCAGTGGTAATAACAGCGCAAGTAGCACGTGAGCAACACAGTCCGCTGCTCTACGGCCGGGCACGTTGCGGCCGAAACGGCTGAGTCTCGCCTTAAGCGTACACTTCTGACAACACCACGCGTCGTCGTGCGATGCAGACTAAAAAGAAAAAAGAGCCTCAAAGACGCGGGTGGCCCTGCTGGTCTCGCTCACGATGCTGGGCGATGGTGCGGGCCAGCTTCGCCAAGGCGGCGGCCTCCCTGTTTGCCTGGGCACGCACGAGTTGCTCACGCCGGCGACGCAGCGCAGCGCCCTTCGCATCCAGCTTCTCGCGCACCATCTTCCGTGCCTGTGCAGTGGCCTGGCTCCACATGTCCGCTTCGGAGGTGACGGTGTCGCCTTCGACGTGGCGCCGGTGGCGCAGCACAGGGAGGATTTCCGCGGCCCAGCGACGCACCATGCGCTCCTCCAACGCGTACCGCAGCTTTGGCTCAGTGAACTCCTTCTCCATGGAATCCAATTCGACGGAGAAGTCCTCCGCGGCGGTGCGATGCGGCCGCTTGCGTCCGTCGCTGTAGTCCAGGTTGCCCCGACTGACGCGGTAGGCCGCTTCTAGCCGCTCCGCCTTGGCGCGCTCGCGCTGGCGGCGTGTTTGGGCTTCCGCGGCGTGCCCTGTCTTGAACCTTTCGAGCCCGATGGCGGCCGCCACCGCGTGGGAGGTTGGGGAGAGAAAGTAAAGCTCGTCTTCCACCTCATCTGCACTGGGGGGGTTCTCCCGGTGACTGTGTACGTGACTTGGCTGCATCGATGTTGGCGGCGGAGCAAGAAGAATGTGCGGCTTTGAGAAGTCAACGCGCGCTCGTGGCACGACAACGGATGCGGTTGCGTGCGACGACGATAATGACGATGATGATGACGATGAACTAGAGCTGCTGGTGCTGCGACTGCCTCCGTATAAGGCACGCGATTCTGGCCGCGGTTCCACAGTCCGTGCAGTAGAAGACAACAGAGGAAGAGGACTGCGAACAGATGTATTTCTTGGACGCGCAGTGGTCCGTCGTGATGCGTCAGCAGCAGTTGATGTTGCTCTTGCCGCTGAGGATGGCGCGGGCGCCAGCGATGTTGCAGCTCGTTGCGCAGGCGCCGTGCGAGTAGGTGCCGCCACCGTCTTCGCCGACGTTGCTGCCGACGTGACGGGGGAATGCACCGTCGACGGGCTGACGATCGCTTCAGCAGCGGCATCCGCTTCATTTTCCTGCTCACGCAGCTGCGTGCATCGTGGGCAGAGAAACGTAGTAGGTCGCTCCGCCAAGCCGAGACAGTCGAGATGTGCCGCATATGGGCACTGCCGTCGGTCGCAGAAGATCATCCGAGCAGCATTGTGCGATTGCTGGCAGATATCACACACGACCTGCCCTGACGAGTCAGGCGCACGACGCACTGCGTCTTCCTGCTCCTCTTCGTCCTCGCCGTCGGAGTACGACAGCTCCCACGCCTTGTAGTTGCGTTTGCGCACCTTCGTCTCCTCCTCCTGCTGCGTGGCCGGGTTCAACGTATAGATGCGGGTGAAGCGAGCCTTGCACAGCGGGCAGACGTTGGTGTTCTTCGCCCACTCTTTAATGCAGTAGGAGCAGAAGGAGTGGTCGCAGGAGTTGAGGCGACCGCGCGGGTTGTCGACGCGGTGGATTTCGGTGAGGCAAATACCGCACATGTTTTCGTACGTCGCTGCTGACTCTAGCGGCGAGGAAGCCGCTACAGGGGATTTCGGAGACGACACCGGCTTCTGCGCCGGTGCCACCTGCGTATTGTCCGCCGGCGTTATGACAGAGGCATCCATAGTCTTCGGCTATCGGTGTTGAAAGGCAGAGCAGCTACACAGCGTGATGGCTCGTCGATTCGAGGTTGTGGTGCGTATCGTGCGCTCAATATTCGATGGGCTGGTGGGAAATGTTCGTATTGTGACGAAGGTGGAGGATCAACGCAGGGGAGCGCTTTTGTCCCCGCCCGGAGCTGCGCCACCGAAGCACACGCGGTATTTTTGTCTCAAGAGATTGCTATGCCGCACGCTGGTCAAGGGTGAGAACGGATTGTAAAGGAGAGGTAGACAGGAAAAGAAAACAAACTAGGCGAGGAAGAACAGTGAAATAGGCAGACTGTAGAGGTGGGAAAGGCACCATGACACGCAGTTTCGTTTTTGTATTTTCCTTTGTCCTCACGTCATGGTGTGCTGACCTCGCTATGTGACACAACCGATGAGGCCCCTCCATACGAATTACTCCGATGAGGTACAAGACGAGTAGGCGTCCACCGCAACGATGGTTGACTGTGCTCAGCAAAAAAAAAAGACGGTGCCAGACGGTGTTGTTGTGCCTTTCGCTACGCGCGGGCTGGCTGCATGAAAGGCGCGCGGCAGTCCCCAAACGTGATGACGCGGAGTCAACAAGCGGCTCAGAGCACCGAGAAGCGAATGAAAGGGGCGCCAACACAGCATCTATTTTTTTTTTTCGTTTGACAACGCAGTCTAATAGGACGCAAACAGTAAAAAGAAAATGACCACTACAACAGTTAGAGGGAGGAGGAGGAAAAGCCGAACGCATGAGAGGCGAACGCACGCTTATTGCGGCTCGTCTCGCAGAAAAGGGTGCTCTAGAATTTCTGGAATGGTGGGCCGCAGCTTCGGATTGGTGACAAGCAGATACGCGATGAACTCCACCGCCTTCTCGTCGTAGTCACGCAGCCTCGTTGGCAGCGGTGCCACGTGGAACACCTTAAAGTTTCGATCGTATCCGGGCAGCTTCGTCACGCCCGGCCACGTCTGCTCCGTCGGCGTACCGACGACGTAGAAGATCTTGTCCAACTGATCCCGTGAGTTTTCTCCGCGAAAGAGCGAGTAGCCGAGAATCATCTCCGCCACAATGCAGCCGACGGACCAGACATCCGCCGCCGGGGTGTAATGGCGCTCGCCGAGGATGATCTCCGGCGAGCGGTACCACAGGGTCATGACCTCGTGGGTGTAGGTCTGCACCGACATCTCGAAGGTGCGGGCCAGGCCGAAGTCGGCGAGTTTCACGTAAAACTTCGTTTCCCCGGTCTTTTTGTCCTTGTAGTTGGCGACAAGGATGTTGCCCGGCTTCAGGTCACGGTGGATAATGCGGTTGTTGTGGCAGGTCCACAGCGCGTAGAGCATGTGGCGCGTAAAGTCGCGAACAAAGGAGAGAGGCACAGCCGTGCCGTTTGTCGGTTTCTCACCGTGCACGGGGCGGTAGCGCTTAATAAAGGCGCGCAGATCCTCATCGAGCAATTCAAAGACAAGATACACACGGTGCTCGCTGCACACCACATCCAAAAGGCGCACCACGTTCGGGTTGTCGCTCAGGTCGTGCAGCAGCGTCACCTCACGAATTGTGGTCGCCGGCACGCCCTCCGAGAAGCCGTCGAGACGGAGCTTCTTGATGGCATACTTCGCTCCTGTGGCTTTGTTGCGGGCGCGGAAGACGACGCCGTAGGTGCCCTCGCCGAGCAGCACCTCCGGCTCGTAGGCGGCGCTCAGGGCCATGACGTCGACGGGGTCGAGCTTGCCGCCGAGGTTTTTCGCCTCCTCACTCATGATGAAGAGAAAACTAAAGTCCTACAAAGAAAGAGAACTACGGAAAGCAAAAGCAGAGGGAGGTGTGTATGACATGAACAAACGTCGGGTGCTGTGAGATCCCAAACGCTAAACGCTCGCTGCCTCTTCCTATATTATTTTCGTCCCCGCTTGCGCAACAACGTTTCCCCGTGACGTTGAATGTAGAAAAGAAGGGGGAGAAAGTGTTTGGAGTGTATTAAATGACTGCTTCAGCAACAAGAAACAAAAAGAGAAGGAGTACAGCAGGAGAGAAAGATCCGAGTTTGTGTAAGATGCTAAAGCAGGGAAGCAAAGTGAAGACCCTGTGGAAGAAGTGGCTGCTCTGATAGGTATCTTCTCCGTGTGTGTGTGTGTGAGTGTTCTACAGTAAGACAACACATCTACTTGAAATAGCGACGAAAGGTGTACTAATAGCAGCTGCCCTTTCATGTACATTCCCGTTTTGCTCACATAAGAAAACACCATGGATCTTCTTTCCCAAATGCTGTCACCGTACCCACCCGCGGAAAGCAACAAAGGACACAAAACTACCTTCACGGGTGGGGTTTGGATGGGTGTCGGGAGCTTTACGCTTCTCGTTGTCTACTTAGCTACTTCTCGTATTTTTTTATGAGTGTATGTGTCATCTATGATTCGTTATTCTCCACCGCGGCGATCATGCGTGCCAGCATCGCCGCCAACTGCAGCGGTGTGCCCACGCCCTCCGCAATGCGCATCGTCGTCTCACCCACGACTTTCAGCACTTCCAACTGCTGCAGTTCGCTACGGAATAAGCGCGCGTTGGTTTGCACCACCTTGAAGAACGTCGCGATGACGTCCGCCGGTGCGTAGCCGCGATTGAGCAGTCGATTCATTTCCTTATGCGCCTCCTCGATGCTGCGCTTCGTTACACAGGCCGCTATGATGTTCTCCACCAGCACCGGATGTGGTTGATCGCACACCTTGAACACGTTGTCCGCGTTCACGAGACCGTAGCCGGTGTGCGTCGCCTGCAGGGAGTTCATCGCCTGACGCAGGTCACCTTCCGCGAGGTACAACAGCGCTTCCAAGCCGTCGTCTGTGTAAGACACGTTTTCCTGCTGTATCACGTACACGAGCCGCCGAAGGATATCCGCGTCGCCAAGTTTCTTGAAGCGAACCACGGCGCAGCGCGACTGGATCGGCTCGATAATTTTACTGCTGTTGTTGCACGCAAAAGCAAAACGCGTAGTGCTGCTGTGCAGCTCCATCGTCCGACGCAGCGCCTGCTGGGCAGCGGGTGTCATGCTATCCGCCTCGTCCAGCAGCACCATCTTGTGAAGGTGGACGACCTGCTCCGCCGCCTGCGCCCCCTCGCCGCTCGTAAAGAACTTCTTCGGAAGCGTCTTCTTGGTTTGCGCAAAGAGCTTGATTTTCTCCCGCACCACATCCAACCCACGGTCGTCGCTGGCGTTCAGCTCCAGCACCGCGTCCTTGAGGATGTCTTTGCCCCTGGTCTTGTCTAGTGTGGCGGTGGCGGATGCTGCGGCGCTGCTCTGTAGCAGCAAGTCCCGAGCTAAGCACAGCATGCTCGTTGTCTTGCCCGTCCCCGGGGGGCCGCAGAGAAGCAGGTTCGGCAGATTGCCCTCCTTTGCGATCACCTGCAAACGTGAGATGGCCTCGGTGTTGCCGACGATGTCGGACACCGTCTGGGGGCGATATTTTTCAACCCACGGCGTGTTGGCGGTGGACATTCCTTTCGTTCCTTCAGCGGTCGCGACGGCGAGCCGTGAGTAGGACAATTGATTGAACTAACGAGCACTACGGCAGTAAATGCATATGATGTGGAAAGAAGCTTGAACTGCGCCGCTGCTGGATAGCGTCGATTTGATTTGCCTCGCACTCGCGCAGACAATACCAGAAGAGTAGTAAAACACACAACAATGGAACATCAAGACGCGAGAGGAGGTAGTAGGGAAAAAAAGAGCTGACGAACACCAGCATGGGAAGCTACACCGCACAATGTACTGAGAGCAGACCACATACTTTTCTGTTGTGGCTGTGGCATCCCGCTCATCATCATCTCTTTTGAACAGGCGACGTACGCTGCCGTGGTCGACTGCAAAGACCTACGTCACGCCTCTCCGACAGTACTGTTATTGCTCTTTGCGTTCACTTCCGCCACAATACGAAAAGCAACAAGTGGGAATAAATAAATATATATTAGGTCAAGAAAGAAAGAGAAAGGACAGCAACAACAGCTAGTGCTCGACTCACACTCTACGTCTGCTACTTCGGAGCACAACAATAATACACAGGGCGAACAAACAGCGACAGCACCACCTTTCACATTGAGCGGATTCTGTTGTACACATTGCAAGTAAAGGACAGAGAGAAAGAGAAAAAAAGGTCGCGCTTTCGCGTGCGTCGGCAGTTCATCGCGGCACGTGAACGGGGTTTGGCCAAGAAAGGCGTAACTTGAAGTGAGAACAACAACAACAAAAACTCACCAACCAAGCAAACAACACTGCGTCATGCTGTGCACATGGCATCTCAAAAGAGAAGCATCAGAAACAATAAAAGAAGACATTGAAACGGCGCCAAAAAGAAAAAACCCGTTCGTCGGTGCAAAAGGGGATGTATTTTTCCGCATTACAAGCAGAAGAAACGGGTGAAGAAGAGGACGGGTCTCGAGGACGAAAGAAAAAAAAACAGCTATTAACGAGCCAATGAAAACACAGGCAATAAAGACGGCGTGGTACACAATGAAGGAATAAGAACCACACTTCTTAGCTCTTCCTTCGCGCGCGTAGCCAGCGCGCAGCATCTCCACAGCAGAGAGCAAAAAAAAAAGGAAGAAGAAGAAGCACGTTACTGTCCCAAAACAGTAGCACACGTCATTTAATCTATAAACATCGTCAGCACACTCGCAACGAGGGAAAGGACGCAGGAAATGACGTAGAAGGCGAAGCCCGCCGTCAGGTCCCAATACGACGACTTCATCGAGGCGTCACCGCACCACCCATGCAGGTAGAGGTTTAGCATAATACCGAATGTCACCGCCGCCGCGGCACCAGATAAGAAAAAGTACAGCGCCAGGGGGAATTTCACCACGGCAGCGAAGGTGAAAGTGAAGGCGGACAGGATGAGGTTCGCCACACCCAGCACGCACGTTACGACGGCAACGCCCTCCGCAGCTTGAATCAGCATGTTGCCCGCGTAGCACGAGAAGTACTCATCACGAAGGTCCACCGTTGTTGTGCCGTCCCTCGCGTTCCCATACTTGAGTTTCCACAGTGTCATGGTGCTTTTCGCCGGCGGCGAACCGGCGAGTTGGCTGAATTTCTGCAGCGTCGCCGCATCTTTAGAGATGTCGAAGCTGGGACTCCGCACCGTCATGTTGAGCGCGTCCAATTCGTTCTGTTTGCTGGCGGGCACCACGAGAAAAGGCACGAATACGCCGATGACTGCGAACGCGAGGGCCACGATCGACAAGATGAGCACGATAATGCGGACTACCGTGTAACACGCCATATCTAAGAATATTGCAAGTGTCTAAAGAGCAGGTTATATTTGAAGCAATAGAGAAGTCTTCGCTTCCGCCAAAAGAGGTCAACGAGGAAAAAACGTAAAGGAAAAAAAGGCAAAATAGTTTTTTTCTTAAAAGAAAGAATGATACGAGAAAACGATTGTATTTTGCGCGAACGAAAGTGGATGGGTCGAGGTAACTGAAGGCACCGTTGCTTTTTGGAAAGCAAAACACCGTTTATTCCCCCAGAGAGAAAGAGAGAGGAAGAGAGGAGATTTGGATGAAGCAGTAGAGGTTACTCAATTAAAGGTTCCTAAGCAGTTAGTGAAGATCACAAGGACTCTGGAGACGTTAGCACCAAAGGCAGGTAGCCGCGTCGATTGCATTGAGAGTTCTTGCCCAGAGAAGCAGAGAAACGAGACAACTTCATGATGTTATGGTTGTTGTTTTCCCTGCGTGGATTCAGCGTACTGCGTTCATTTTCCTCTTGACTGAACAACAGAACAACAAAACTTCAGGTGTTTCCCGCAGCAGCGACAGGAGATAAAAAGAAAAACTCAGAATCACAATAATGATAACAAAACAATACAGTTTAACGATACAAGGAGAACGGTCGAAAAGCACGGACCACGGCCATCTAACGAGGTGCTGCCGTTGCCGTTCATGGGGTTGCATGATATCCGCGAGAAGCAGAATAAGCTACCGAGCGGAAGGGGGGGGGGGGAGAAGAACAGCTGCGCATGCAACGTCGCCAGGCCCTTCGCATTGAAGCGCCGTAGGGTGGAAGACATTCGATCTTTCTTTCCACCTACATCCGTAGGCGATTCGCCGTCGTTCGTCGCAACATCGCAATACGCGCCGACACGGGAAACAGAAAAACACTTCGGTCAAAATCCTCGGTGCCCTCGATGTCGCGACGATGGATATCCTCCTCCTGCAGCACCGCACGCAGACGTGCCTGAATGCGGCGCAGCGCTAACGTCGGCGAGGCATCTGCGGGAAAAGAAGTGACCGACGGGGTGTTGGTGCCGGCGCTGCTTTTGGAGTCGCGACGGCGCGGCGTCGTACGTCCTTCCGGTCCGTCTCCCCAGCCCGGTTTCGCTTCACCGCGGTGGAAGAGCGGGTCCTGATCCCACACGGAGGCCCCTCCGCTGGTGGTACTCGTTTCTTTGATGGGTGAGATGTTCGGCGTGTCGCGCGACATACGCGGCGTGCTCTGCGCTGCAGCACTGCTAGAATGCGGCACCCGAGAGCCGCGCGGCGCCGAAGCCAGTTGAGCGCGCAAGGCCCTGCCGAGGATGGCGCCTTCCGCGGGTGTCGCCTCTTCAGCGTCGCCGGACCGCGGAGTTCTGTTGAGGGGTGTCCGGAGAAACAGCTGCGGTGGTGGTGGTGGTCGCAGTGAGTAGGCGGACAGCGAGTGAGAGTAGACCCGTGTGGGGGTGTTGCCAGCCTGATGGTTGATGCTGCTAACAGGAACGGAGGACGCTGCAGGCGCCGCAGCGGACAGTGGTAGACGGACCCGCGAGGTTTCAGGCTTGGGTGCAGTCGACGGGGCTGCCGCGGAAGCCCGCATTTCCGTTTCCTTTTCTTGTCTTGTGCTGTTCTGTGCTTTTGCTTCTCCTCCCACTGTCGTTTCATCGTCACCGCTGAAAGTGCCGTTGGGGTGCTTCTCACCCAATAGCGTTGCGTCGGCCCAGCACTGCACCCGTCCCAGCATCTCCGCCCGGTACAGCCGCGCACGACCGTCCACCTCCACATCCTCCACCCTCCGTCGCGTAGCTTTTTCTTCCCGCTCCACCTCCTCATAGGCCTGTTGCCGCAAGGTGCGCATCGCCTGCATCCACGGCGAGGAACCCTCTGCCATCACACGCTGCAGGCCACTGTCGCGCGCCGTGTCCATCGCGTACCGAATGGTCGGGTAGGCCTCTGACCCCACGCCGGAGTTGCGCGGTACTGCGTGGGCCAGCGGTGTACCGGCGCGCCGTCCGCCCTCTGTCATTCGACGGCTGGCACTGCTCGTTATCGTCGTGCCTGCATCATACGGTGCTGCGCTTCGTGGGGGCCCGTTGACCGGCGACGTCCCTGCGTCCTCCAGTTCGTAGCGGCCCATGTCCTCTAAGGGGTCACGGCGGCCTCGTTGGGCACTGCCGCCCATCCCGCGGGAAGCGCTGCGCAGAGGCGTCATGCGACCTGCCTGTCGGCGCTTCTCTTCGCGCAACAGGTCCTCGCGCCTCTGCACCAACACCAAGATGGTGCGATCTTCTAGAAAAGGGGAGCAATCGGAGAGGAAGTTGTCGATGTCGTCGGAGCTCGTGGCGTCCAGCAGCTGCACGGCCACCTTTTGCGCCTCGACAAGTTCGTGCCGCAGTGTCTCCGCGTTGCACAGGTCGGTGTACATGCACAGCTGCACCTCATCGGGCGCACCGCGGGCCTGCACGAGGGCTTCGAAAATGCCACGCTCGTTCAGCTCCTTGCACGCCTTCCGCAGCGGCTTCACGTAGCGTCGGCAGGCTTCCATGTGCACCAGGTACATGTCCTTGGCGCGCGCGATCAGGTTTCCGAGCGACGATGATGCCTTGCGCGCGTGTGGTGAGGCGTGCATTGCGTCCTCGGCCGCCACAAGCGCCTGCTCGAGCTCTATCACATCACCTTTCTCGAGTGCGTCGCGCAGTGCAGCAGACACAGCTGTTACGGACATCAGCGGATTAAACAATTATCGTGCGATTGGAAAAAAAGGAAACGAATAAAAAGGCCGTGGTAGCAAGAATATGGCTTTCATCGAAACAAGACCGACTATATGTATGTATATACAAAATTTGACAAGTACGCCACAACACAGAGAACCTCCCGAACCGCTAGGCAACAACAGAGGCGAGCAAAAACGGTGGCGTTGACCACAGCTACCGCTTGGTTGCCCCAACTAGAGTGTCCCCGGCAAATACTAATAATAGAATGCTTCAATCGCTAGGCCGCGAAAAGCCGTTCTTTTGCTTTTGAAACACCAGCACACTCGTGTAGTGCGCGCACATTCGGACTGCAAACCGCACGAGGGAGAGAGAAGGAGAAATGCGAATGTTGAAGTAGAGAGCGATGAAACCTACGTTGGTACAAAGATTCGAATATACCGCGAACAGCACACTACAAGTGTTCAAAAGAGCAACTACGTTCGCGCCACGTTCTTGCGGTTGTGAAGCAGCAGCTCGGAGCTCTTCCCAGGGACCAACACCCAACCCAGCGAATACAGACAACACGAACAACTGAAAACAAAAACAAAGCCACCGTCGCCAACTCCGCTACAATCGACTATCCCATCGACTTCGCATGCGCTGCGTTGGTTTCCTGTCTGCTTTCATTTTCCTTTCTTTCCCGCAAGACAATAAAGTCATGTCAGCATGAACAGCAAGATCAAAACGGTACATAATTAGAACTATTGTTCTCAACAAACAAACAAACAACACGGGAAAAGAACTACATCGATGAAGCACACAACCTGACGTACATCTCCACTCCTCCCCCTTCCCTCCCCGTTTGTTTGGCAGCGGTCCTTGAAGAAACAGAAGAAACGGAGTGGTGTTTGACAAGGATTGGAAAAAGCAACTCCAGTTCGCCAACGACTGCTACATCAAGGGAGCTCTCTTCTGTTTTCAACGAGGGAGAGGGTAGAAGACACGACGGAAAATGTGAAGGCAATTGGTGTCTACTATACATGTGGGGCAACAACGCAACTACACATTGCTGCAAACAAAAAGGGAAAAGAACAACAACAAAAAAGAAGCATCAAGCGGTGCTGCAGAGAGAAAATGCCGTCTACCGCGCCTTTCTAATTAAAAAGGAGGTCTTACTTGTACTCCTTCTCCGCTACGCTGATTCCGCTTGCTGTGCGGCGCGACTCTCCTCTAACTGCAGCGCGTTCATGCGCACGACCTCACGAATAAGATCGTCTACAAGCGAGCGAGCCTTCTTCTTCTTCTCTAGCTCCTTGTCCACCTCACCCATCAGCCACGGGAAGAAGTCGAGCTCCACTTCGTTCAGCACACGATCGGCAAACCAGCCCTCGTCTTGCAAGCGTGAGATGACGCGGTTTTCCATGTTTGTCATGTAGGCCTTCGCAAACTGGCGGGCTTGCAGCTTCTCGCGCGTTTCCTTCTCCCGCTGGATGCGCTCCATCTCCTGCTTCTTGCGGCGCTCCTTCTCCTCAAACTTTCGACGCTCTGCTGACTCCAGCTTCTGCGCCTCCAGCAACTCCTCCTTGCGGCGCTGCTCAAACTCGATTTGTTGCTGCCGCAGCAGTTCCAGTTCCTCCTCCTGCATCACCTCTAGCATCGCCTGCTCGAGCGTCTTGCCGACCAGCACCTCCAAAATCGGCTCCACCGCCTCGTCGAAGCGGAACAGCTCGCCTTCGTAGATTTGCGTCTCGGCGTCGCGGCCAGACTTGGTCGGGATGTACTTCGGCGTCGCCGGCCGGTCCATCAGCGGGTCCGTCTGCGTCTCCTGCACTACCTGCTCCACCTTGTCGGTGAGCTCCTCGAGGTACTCCTCAGTCTGAATCGGGATGTTCTCGCGGCCCTCGCCGGGGTCAGGAGTGGCCATGTGGCGACGCGCCGACTCCAGCTGCTTGCGCCGCTTGATCGAGGCAGCGCGCTGCGAGGCCTGCTTGCGCCGCTGCGTGTCCACCATCTCCCGCTTCTCCATCTCAGCTCGGGCGGCGGTAGACATGATGGGGTTCGCGTAAGTGTTGCCGCGGTACACACGGCGGTCGTTCATGACGTTGCCATACCGCTGTGAGCCGCTATTTTGCTTCTCGCTGTCTTTGAGTCCTGATGGATCGCGGAACTTCGGCTTTTGGAAGCCCTGCGGAGGCTGGCGGAAGGTGTAAGCCGCCGTCGTCCCCTCCGTGTCCGCTGGTGGTCGCTGCATTGTGATGGCGGAGAAAAATTTCGAGCAGGGAGAAGGCTCTGTGTCTGCTATGCTTCTTAGAGGTGAATGTATGTGCCGGTCGCAACGTTCTCTTCACCGTGAATGCTATTGTGTCTGTGCGCCAGCAGTGTTTGCCACGCTTGCGATGATGACAAAATAGAAAAGAAAAGGGCTGCGTGCTTTCCCGTTTTTTCTTCTACTGTACAGCAGAATAACACAAGCGAACGTGACTTCCCAGAGGACGTTCAAATCAATGAAAGAGGCATGAGAAAGGGGCGCGTTTTGGAGTAGGTCACGAAGCCAAGGGAGAAGTCAACGGGTGTACAAGCGTAGAAGCACAACACAAGGGGGTGGGGAGCAAGAAGAAAGGCACATTAACATAAAATGAGAAAAACAGCGAGGGGAGGCGGCAGACAAGTGCGGTGAACAAAAGCGCGGTCAGCGCGCAACGACGGCGAGCACCTCGCAAAGCCCAACGCAATCACCCGGGCATCAGCAAGAGGAGGTGAAAGCACGAACACAGTGGTGGCTCTGTGCACATAGCTTCGGACCATGTGCCTTGTTACCCAACAGCGAGAGCGACAGACAGAAACCGCAAGAAAGGAGCTCAGAAGCTCTTCACCACGACGGTGCGGTGAGGTGCAATCCCTGTTCTGCACCACGCACTTCGTCGAGAAACGTTCGTGGTTCTTTGATTTTGTATGTGTAGTTGACTTGTCATACGGCTCACACAGCGCATGAGCTTGGGTGCGTTAAATACAAAAGTACATCAATCACAGGTAGAGATCCAATATACGAACAAATAATGAGAAGGAAGGCGACAGCCGCACATGGATGGAAGGACGGACAGGGGGGTCGAAAAAGGAAAAGGAAGAAGTGGAAATGAACATCCAATGCGAAAAAAGAAACGCGCAAAAGGAAAAACAAAAACCAAAAATGCAGGATCGTGTGCTCGTAAGAAAGTTGAAGACAGAAAGAAAGGAAACACATCGGACGGCGTGGCTCTGCGCTTTATCACATACGAAAAGGATGAAAGAAGAACAAAAGTAAACGGTGTTGTACATTTTTCTTTTTTTTTGGACATCGGACCTGCGCAGCGTACCGCACGTCCCAGCAGGTTCGAACGCTATTGCGGGAAAGAAAAGGCAAAGGAAGGGGAGATGACGATGGAGTTCCCTCAAACTCCACTTAACACGTATTTCTACGGTATGTGTAATCGCGGACCTTGCCACTCTGCTATCCAACTGCTTTAATATATATAAATATTTCCCCACGAATTGATGCCGAGTTGCCATCTTCCATTGATGCGGCACGAGCTGCAGGACAGCAACGATCTGTGCTTGAGCTTTCAACAACCATGACGTTTTCTTATTTTTTCCGGTTGACAGCCTCTGTCCGCTTTGCGGTGGTGGCGCAACAAAAATGACCCCCCCCCTCCGTCTCGAGCGATTTCGATTCCCTCAAACCGAAACGACGAGGGAAGGAGCGAAGAAGGCACACAGAATCGTGTGAAGAAGAAAAGGGGGAAAAAAACACGCAATTGCAATTACATCAAATGCATCCCCTAAAACGAAAAAAAGAAAATGCCACAGCTGCAGCTACTTCACTACCAGTTGCCGTTGGAGCGAGGCAGGCGTGCTCCGCGACGCGGCGGCTGGCTCTCCCGGACTGCTGCAGGCATTGCGCAACGGTGGCAGGCTCTCGCCGCGCCGAGGGGAGCGGCTTGACGACGGTGCTTGCAAACGCCGCGCTGGAATACCTTGCTTCTTGCCGTTCTTGGACAGCGTGGGGAAGCGGGACTGCTGCAGGGGCCGTGCACCGACAGGGGGTGCCACGAACTTGACCGTAACGCGCTTCGGTGTAAAAATGCTGATGGTGCACGGACAGTCGCCCGACACCGGTGGGTTCGGCGAGGTCAGCAGCAGGGAGTAGTATCCGGGCTTGTCGGCCCGGAAGGCCAGCGAGTGCTCCCGCGCGTTCGTGGCGTCGCCCGAAGACGTTATCTTCATCGCCTGGTCGTTAAAGGCGACCATCACGACGTCGTCGTCCGCCACAACATCGCCCTTGCCAGTCGGATGTGAGTCGGAGACCTTCTCCTGATGCAGCAGCACGTGGACCTCGCAGGCAGCGCTCACCGTGAAGTCCACACGGCGCCCCTCCTCCCCGGGCGACAGCGTCACCGTGGCGTTCGTCGGCGTGCGGGAGAGGCCGCAGAAGTGCATCGGCGTCAGCGAGACCTTCGCAAAGCCCGGGTAGACGGACAGGTGGAAACTGCCGTGCTGCCCGGCCTTCGCCGTGTACGGGATCAGCCAGCAGGTGGTGCTGGGCGGCACTTCCATTATACTGCACATCTCACGCGAGTCGAGCATGATGCCCTTCTGCAGGAACTTCGCCGTGCTGTTTGTCACGAGCGGCGTGGGCGGGCTGGCCGTCAACGTCGGCTCCATCAAGACGATGCCGCTTTGCGGGTAGTGGTGCAGGCCGTCGGGGTCGATGAATTGCGGTGCGTCGTGTCGCAGTTCCACAAGCACCGTCGCCGGTCGACTACTGCTGTTCTGCAGTAAGTAGATCGGGTTGTTGCGGAAACTGGTGTACTTGGGGTTGCCGCCGCTCGTGCGACTGTCCCAGCAGCCGCCGGCGGTGAGGCGGTCGCCGCAGTTAATGTGACACGTCTGAATACTGGAGAAGTTACGCAGAAACGTTGGCAGCGGCAGGTAGAGCACATCTGTCCTCTCCGGGTCGTAGCGACAGACCTGCTGCAACTCCACGTTCCAGTTGATGTCACCGTGACACAGCGGGCCGCTGTAATAGGGCTCATCGCAGCAGTAGGAGTTCTCCAACTTGATCACCACATCAGACGGGTTCGTGCTGCCGGCGAGGGTGACGATGACGCCGAGCAAGGCGTAGCTGCAGCGCGGGTGGATGCCATCCGGCGCGGTGTCGCTCGACGTACACACGATCACGTCACCGCGACCGAGGTCATCCGACACGCCCTGCCAGAACTCGACGGAGCCGCTGTCGCCTAGGTTGGCCGCCTCTGCAAGCTTAACGTCGAAAGGCGTGTGGGTCACCGGCCGCCCCGTCAAGTCGCGTAACGTCTCTAGCGGCGTGCAGTTGTCCAGCTGCTCGTAGCCGCCGACGAACTTGGCGTAGGCCTTCTCCACCAGCAGCGGGTACCACGAATGCGACGGCGATTGCACAAACTTCGGCGCGCGGTTTGCCGTGCACGGTATGCGGTCGTCGATGTCGACGTACACTGGGTTGCTGTTCGGGTCGAAAAAGACGAAGGTGTACGGCGCGTTCACCGGCGGCTCCTTGGTCGCGATGAGGCGCTTAATCAGCACAGAGTGGCGCGCCATGGCGGAGAGGAAGGGCGCGATGTAGCCGGCGTCCTGCGGGGCGGATACGACGTCGCTGGGGTCGTAGGTAGTCACCTCAATCGATTCGCCGCGGCTTTCAGGGTACAGCTCACACACCCGCGGCCACGCCTCGGCGACGTGCCTGTTGGCCTCGTGGAACTCGTTGTCCTGCCACCCGCGTATCTCCAGTGCCAACTCGTGTATGCGGCTGTTCATCCGCTGCTCAATCTCGCGCACGCTCTTCGCGTTATCGTCGCCTCGACGCAGCTGACGACGGTCCAGCTCCAAGGAATGAAAGACAGGATCGGTGTCGAGCGGCAGCCGTTCGAGCGGGATGCCCTCCGGCTCCTGATCAAGGAAGGCGCGGTCCTTCTTGATAAAGTTCGCCGCCAACTCCATCAGCCGCTCGTTCAGTTTCCCCTCCAGCGGAGCGAGATTCACCTTGCCCTTCTTCTTGCCACGGAAGTGTTCCAGCTCCATGTGGTGGAAATCCTGGTCGGCGTGCAGTGGCAGGTCACGCAGCGGTACACCGCACGGCTCCGGGTGCAAGTAGTCGCGGTCGTTCGCCAGCAGCTCGTCGGCCAGCTCGTACGCGCGGCCATCCATACCGCACTCCAACACGGAGATGTCGGCCGCGTTGCGCTCTGCGTCCTCCTTGCGCAGCTGCCGGCGCGTGCGCTCAATCGTGCGCAGACGAGCGTCGTTGTTCAGTGGCAGGTCACGCAGCGGAATACCCAGCGGGGCGGGGTCCATGAAGGCACGCTCGGTGTCCAGTAGCTTCTGCGCCAGCATCTCCGCGCGCTCGTTCAGCTTGTCCTCGATGGACTTGATGTGGGCCGGGTTGCGGCCCGCCTCCTTCAGCGCACGCCGCTGCTCCTCCATCTTACGGAAGTCCTCATCGCCGTTGAGGGGGACGTCGGCGATCGGCACACCAAGCGGCTCGGGGTTGAGGAAGGCGCGGCCCTTCAGCACGAGTTCCTTCGCCATGGCGTGCACGCGGTCATTCATCTTCTTCTGAAGCTCGGCGAGCTCTGCCTTGTTCTTCTCTGGACGCTGCAGCATCTTGCGCAAAAGCAGCTCCTTCTCATGGAAATCGCGGTCGGAGCCCAGCGGCAGGTAACGCAATGGGACACCTTCAGGCACTTGGTCCAAAAAGGAGCGCTGCTTCTCCACGAAGGCAGTCGCGATCTCGCCGATGCGGTCGGCCATCTGCTCCTCACAGGCGCGAATGCCTTCGTGGTTGCGCTTCGGGTTCTCACGCAAGGCACGGCGTTTGCGCTCCACCTGGTTCAGAATCGGATCGCGGTTGAGCGGGAGTTCCTCTAGTGGCACGCCCATCGGTTCGGGCTCGAGAAAAGCGCGCTCCTTGCGCAGCAGCTCGCGTGCAATCACCTCCGCCCGGTTCTCCAGCTCCGCCTCCTTTGCTGAAATGGGGCTGGCGTTCACCACCGGCTCGCGCTTCAGCCGCAGTCGCTCCTTCTCCATCGCGCGAAAGGGGGCATCAGAGTTCAGCGGCAGGTCCTCCAGCGGGACGCCCTCCGGCTCGCGAGTCAGGAACGCCCGTTCCGCCTCCAAAAAGTCCTTGGCCATTTCGTGCGTGCGGGTGTTCATGCGCTCCTCCACCGCCCTCACCTCCGGCTCCCCCGCGCCGCTCTTCAGCGCCTTCTTGTGGCGGCGTCGCTCGCGTGCGAGGTCGCTGAAGGCCTTGTCAGAGTCCAGCGGCAGCAACTCGAGCGCCACGCCTTCCGGTTCGGGGTCGAGGAAGGCGCGGTCGGCGGCCAGTAGGGTGCGCGCCAACTCGCCGGCCCGCTCGTCCATCCGCTTCGCCGTCTCAGCCCGCACGTTCTCATCCGGCGTGGCGGTGCGCGTGTTGCGGTAGCGCGTGATTTCCGCCTGCTTGAACTCCGGATCCTCGTCGAGGCCGAGCTCCCACAGCGGGATGCCCTCGGGCTCCTGCTTCATGAACTCGCGACGCCGCGCAAACTCCTCGCGGGCCAGCGTGTGGGAGCGGCGGTTCATCTCCTCGCCTAGCTCACGCAACACTTCCTTGTTCAGCTTCGTAGTACGCGGGTCCTTGGAGCGGCGACGATACTCTAGTTCGAGTTGCTGGAAGACGGTGTCGCTGTCGAGCGGGACGTCGCCCAGGAACATTCCTTCCGGCTCCGCGTCCAGGAAAGCGCGCTCGTTCTCAATCACGTCGTCGGCGATCTCGCACGCACGGCGGTCCATGTCGTCCTCAATCGCAGCCATCTGCGTCGCCTCCACGCGACCCTTGCCTCGGCAGCGACGTCGCTTTTTCGCCAGCTCACGGAACTCCTCGTCGGCGTGCAAACCCAGCTCCTCCTTCGGGATGCCGCGGTACGTGGCCTTGAGCGTCTCCAGGTCCTGCCCGATCACCTCGTTGGCCAGCTCATTTGCACGAACTCGCAGCTCCTCCTCGTCTGCCAGCACCTCCTTCTTCATCGTCGGCGTCCGCTTGTGTGCGCGCCGCTGGCGTTCCAGCTTCTTGAACTTGCTGTCCGTGTCCAGCGGCAGTTCATCGATCGGGATCCCGTAGATCTCGGGCGGGAGAAAGCTGCGCCCGCTAACTGCGATCTGCCTCCCCAGCTCGTTTGCACGTGCGTTCAGCTTCTCCTCCAGAGCGGCCACCTCGTCCTTTTTGTCCTGCGGGTTCGTGGCGAGCAGCACGGCGCGCTTCACCTCCGTCGTGTGAAATACCGCGTCCTCCTCGAGGGGGATGTCGCATAGATCGACACCTGCGGGCTGCGCATCGAGGTACTTGCCGCGGCCGCCCTTCAGCTGCGCCTCGCCGACCTCGTCTGCGCGAATCTGCAGCTCGCGGCACAGCGCCGGCGCGCTGGTCGGGCCTGCTACGCCGCCGTTGCTGCGCAACACACTCCGCAGCTCCTTCTCCTTGGCCACGAAAGCCCTGTCGTCGTCGAGCGCCAGCAGCTCCCGCGGAATGTCAGAGGACGTGTCGCGCAGGAAGCTGCGTCCCTTCGCCTTCTCCTCCTTCGCCAGCTCATGCGCCCGCTCGTTCAATCGATCGCAGATTGCCTGCACCTCGGAGGAGGACGGCGACGCCCCGCCGGCCAGCAGTCGCAGTCGCGCGCCTTCCATGTTGCGGAACGTCGCATCGTGGCCCAGCGGTACATCGGATAGCGGTATCCCCTCGGGCTCCTGATCGAGAAAGTCGCGACTCTGCCGCAAGTAGTCCTTGGCCAGCACACGTGCCCGCTCGTTCATGCGGGCGATGGCCTCCTCGGCGGCCGCCGCGTTTCGCTTGTCAGCGGCCGCCTCCTGCGCACGCATCTCCTTCTCGGCCTGCCGGAACTTGGCATCTTCCTCCAGCGGCAGCAGCGCGAGCGGCACCCCCTGCGGCTCGGGGTCCATCTTGGCACGATCGGCAGCAATGCGTTCGCGAGCCATGGCGTGCGCACGCGCGTTCAGCGTTGCCTGCACCTCGCGCACCTTTGCGGGGTTGGCCGCCGCCTTGCGCTTCGCCGCTCGCAGAGACGGCACGGCAGCGGCAAAGGCGGCGTCGTGGTGCGGACGGAGGTACTTCAGTGGGTAGCCCTCCGGCTCGCGGTCCAGTCCTTGGAGGTCTTCCTCGAGCTGCTTCCTTGCCAGGTCCACCGCGCGGACGTTCAAGCTGCCCTCCAGCTCTTCGATGCGAGCCGCGTTGACGACCGGGTCGCGCGCCTTCAGCTTCGCCCGTTCGATCTCCATCACGTGAAACTTGCTGTCCGTGTCGAGCGGCAACTCCGCCAACAACACGCCCTCCGGCTGCGGGTCAAGGTAGGACTGGCGGTCCCTTGCGAGAATAACGCTGGCCAGCTCATGCGCACGCGCGTTCAGCTGGTCTTCGATGTCGCTGATGGTGGACGCATTCTGCTCGGGATCCTTCGCCTTCAACACCGCACGTTGCACCTCAAACTCGTTAAAGGTGCTGTCTTTGTCCAGCGGCAGCTGGCTCAGCGGGACACCTTCGGGTTCGCGGTCGAGGTATCCGCGGTCACCTTGCAGCAGCTTCTCCGCTGCCTCCTCGGCGCACGCATTCAGCGACTGCACAACAGGGGCAACCGCCTCTGCGCTACGCGTCTTGGCGACGTGCTCCTTCTCCTCCAGAAGGGAGCTGAACTTGGGGTCGTTATGCAGGTTCAGCAGCTGAATCGGAATGCCACGCGGTGCCTGCAATAGCCCCTGGTAGTCCGTCGCCTTCACCTGGCTGGCGAGGGCGTGGGAGCGGTTGTTCAACTGATCCTCCAGCTCGCCGATACGGTGCTGGTTCTTCTTCGGATCCGCTAGCTTCAGCGTCGCCCGCTCCACCTCCAGCGCGTGGAAAGCGGCGTCGGTGTCGAGCGGCACGCGGTGCAGCGGCACGTTCTCCGGCCGCGGGTGAAGGTAGCGGCGGTCGTTCTTCGTCACCATCTCCGCCATTTCCCTCGCGCGGTCGTTCATCTGTTGCTGCACCGCAGCGATGGCGGCCCTGTTGCTGCTGCCGCTCCCATCGCCTGCGCTTGCCTTCAGTCCGCGCAGGTCATCCACCAGCTGGGCATACCGGGCGTCTTGGTGCGGCTCCAACGCGGTCAGGGGAATGCCGCACGGGTTCTGCTCGAGGCCACGCAGGTCCTCTTGCTTCTGCGCAACGGCGAGCTCGTGTGCGCGGGCGTTCAATTGGTCCTCGAGGTCGCTGGCCGCCGTGTTGGCGTTGAGGGCTTTGGCCTCGGCGCGCTTCGCCTCCAGCTGGTGGAAAGTGCGGTCGGTCTCGAGCGGCAGGACGTCGAGCGGGACGCCCTCCGGAAACGGATCAAGGTAGCCGCGGTCTTTGCGCAGCTGCTGCCGTGCCACCTCGTGTGCCCGCTCTCGCAGCTGCTCCTCCAGCTTCGCTAAGTCCCTCGCATCCAAACCGGCTCCCTCCGCCTCCGCCGCTTGAAGGAAGAGCTTCTTCGCCTCTAGCTGCTTGAACTCTTCATCGGACGACAGCGGCAGCAGGTGTAGCGGCAGCCCCTCCGGCGCCGCCTCGATGTAGGTTGGCCGATCCTTCGCCAGGAAGGCTTCGGCCAGTTCGTAGTTGCGCTCGTTCGCTGCAGCCCGCAGCTGCTTGAGCTTCGCCGCGTTGGCGCTCGGGTCCTTCGCCAGTCGCCGCAGCTCCGGCAGCATCGCCTCTATCGTGCTATCCTTATGCGGCTTTAGCAGCGTCAGCGGGACACCCAGCGGGGCCTGGTCCAGCCCTTCCACGTCGCGCTTCAGCTGCGCGGCAGCCAACTCCTCCGAGCGAGTCTTCAGTTTGTCCTCCAGCTGCGCCATCGCACGCGGGTCGGGGTACGCGGAGCGTTTGCCCACCGCCCGCGCCACTTCCATGTCGTGAAAAGCTGGGTCGGTGTCCAGCGGCAAAACATACAGCGGCACACCTCCCGGGTTGGGATCGAGGTAGCCGCGGTCGCCGTCGAGCGCGGCGGTCGCCAGTTCCAGCGCGCGGTCGTTCATCAGTCGCTGCTGTGCCGTGATCTTGGCTGCGTTGCGCACCGAGTCCTTCTTCAGCACGCGAACGTCCTTGATGAGGCCGGCCATCCTGACGTCGTCGTGCGGCTCCAGCAGCATGATCGGGATGCCACGCGGAGTCGGGTCGACGCCCTCCAAGTCCGATTGCTGTTGAGCCTCGGCCAACTCACGTACACGCTGGTTCAGCTGCGCCTCGAGCTGGCCAATCGCCGAAGCGTTCTTCGCAACATCCTTCAGGCGCAACGTAGCGCGCTCCGCCTCTTTGTCGTGGAACTGCTCATCCGTGCGCAGCGGCAACAGGGCGAGCGGCACACCGTTCGGCTCGGGGTCGAGGTAGTCGTCGCGGCCCTGCTCCAGCGCCGTCCCCGCCAGTTCCAGCACGCGCTCGTTTAGCTTTCCCTTCAGCTCTACCGCCTTGTTCTTCAGCTGCGGCAGGCGCTTCGTGCGGCGCAGCTCGGGAATCATGCTGGCGACCGTCTTGTCTTGGCGCGGATTCAACAGCTCCAGCGCGATGCCGAGGGGCTTTGGGTCGATGCCGTCGAAGTCGCTCTTCAGCACATCTAGCGCCAACTTCGAAACGCGCGCGTTCATGTTGTCTTCCAGCTGGCAGATGGCCTTGCGGTTGCCCATGGGATCGCTCTCGCTCAACTTCCGTCGCTGCTCACGCATTTCGGCGAAGGCGCTGTCCGAGCTCAGCGCCAGGTCCGCCAGTGGCACGCCGTTCGGGTTCGGGTCCAGGAAGTACAGATCGCCGCCCTTCGCCTCCCGTGCGAGCTCACTCAGGCGGTCGCTCATCAACTGATCCAGATCCTCCTTGAAAGAGACGGATGGGTTACGTTTGCGGCTACGTCGCTTCTCGGCCGCTTCTCCGAAGAGGCGGTCGTTGTGCGGCTTGAGGTCCTTCACTAGGATGCCCTCGTAGTGCGGCGGGAAGGCGGCGAGATCCTCGTCCTTCACGACCTCGGCGAGCTCGCAGGCGCGGTCGTTCAGCAGGCCCTCCGTGTTGCTCACGGCGTCTGCGTTGCGAACCGGGTTGGATGCCTTCAGTGTCGCCCGCTCCACCTCCAAGGCGCGGAAGGCGGGATCGGTGTTGAGGGGCAAGTCCTCCAGTGGAATACCGCGCGGACGCGCTTCTAGATAGCTCGCGCGGTCGCCCGTCAGCATGCGCTCGGCCAGCTCGTGGGCGCGGGCGTTGAGGGCCTTGCTCTTCGCCGCAATCGCATTGGCGTTCTGCGTTGGGCTGTGGTTCAGTTCGCGGAGCTCGTCAATCAGCGCGCATGCCGCGGCGTCCTCGTGCAGGTTCAGCAGATCCTTTGGAATACCGCATGGTTTGGAGTCTACCGCCTCAACGTCCTTCGTACGCTGCTGCTTCGCCAACTCCAAGGCACGCTCGTTCAACTCCGCCTCTAGAGCGCTGATCTTGTCTGCCTGTCGGCGAGGGTCTGTGAGCTTCAGCTTCGCCCGCTCCACCTCCATCGTGTGGAATTTCTTGTCCTTGTCCAGCGGAAGAAACTCTAGCGGGACCTTGTCCGGCGCCGGGTCCAAGTAGGCGCGGTCCATCACCTTCTGCGCCAACTCATCTGCACGGGCATTCATATCCGCCACGTGTGACTTCGTCTCATTCACGTCCCGCGGTGGGTTGCGCTTCAGGTCTCGCAGCTTCTGCACCTGCTTCGCAAAAACGGCGTCCTCGTGCGGCTTCAGCAGCTCGAGCGGCACCCCGCGTGGAGCGGAATTAATCCCCTCCAAGTCAGCTGCCTTCTGCATCTTGGCCAGCTCGTGGGCTCGGTCGTTCAGCTTTCCCTCAAGCTCCTTTATTTTGCTCGCGTTGTGCGCCGCCTTCTGGGCCTTCAGCGCCTTGCGTTCGACTTCCATCGCACGGAAAGACTCATCGGTATCGAGAGGCAGCTCCTCCAGCGGCACGCCTTCCGGGTTGCGGTCTAGGTAGTCGCGGTCGCCCTGTAGCATGCCGCGTGCAAGCTCGTGCGCGCGATCGTTCATCTCACGAATCAGCGCCGGCAGCTGTTCCTTGGCGGCTGCCGGGTCCTTCGCTTTTAGCTCCAGTGCACGGCGCTGCTCCACGAGCTGCGCGAACTGTGCGTCGCTGTGCGGGTCGACCACCGCCAGCGGCAGCCCCTCCGGTGCGATGTCCAGCCCCTCCAAGTCCGCCGCACGCCGCCGCTCAGCCAGCTCCATTGCACGCAGGTTCAGCTGGTTCTCCATTTCGGTGATCTTCTCGGCGTTGCGGCGCGGATTGTCTGCTTTGAGCACGGCGCGCCGCACCTCGGCCGCGTGAAAGGTCGGGTCAGAGCTCAGCGCCAACAACGACAGTGGCACCTCCTTGGGGTATTTATGCAGGTACCCGCGGTCGTTCTCGAGCAAGGCGTGCGCCATCGTCTGACAGCGCTCGTTCATGGCGGCCTTGAGCCGCGCCACCTGGGGATCGCGTCCGTCAAGCGTCGGCAGCTGACGCAACTGGGAAACGAGCTCCTTAAACTCCGGATCCTCATAGGGTTGGAGCACCCCCAGGGGCACCCCAAAAGGCGTACGGTCAACGCCCTCCAGCTCCTTCGCGATGCGCTCGTTGGCCAGTTCACTCGCGCGGTCGTTCAGCTTTCCTTCCAATTCCTGAATGGCAGACGCGTTGCTGTGGGGGTCGAGCGACTTGAGGTTCGCTCGTCTCGCCTGCAGCTGCTGGAAAGCGGCGTCGGTATCCAACGGCAGGAGCGACAGCGGCACCCCATTGGGATTTTCGGCAAGGTAGTCGCGGTCGTCCTCCACACGGGACTTGGCCAGCGCACGGCACTGCTCGTTCATCTGCGCCTCTAGCGCCTCAATGGCGCTTTTGTTGTCAGCGGGCTTCTTCTTCAGCTTGCGGAGCTCGTCCGCCATCGCGGCGAACGTCGGATCCGTGTGCGGCTGCAGCACGCTCAGCGGAACCCCAAACGGGGCTGCCTCAAGCCCATTGAGGTCCTCCTCTTTCTGCGCCAGCGCCAACTCGTGTGCCCGCTCGTTTAGTTTGTCCTCCAGCGCTTTCACCTTCGACGCGGCGGCTGCGGAGTTCTGCGCCTTCAACCGCGCCCGCTCCACTTCCAACGCGTGGAACTTGGGGTCGGCGCTGAGCGGGAGGACCTCCAAAGCAACACCCTCGGGTTCCGCGTCGAGGTAGCCGCGATCGCCCTCGAGACGCCGGCGGGCAATGCTGTGCGCCATGTCGTTCAACGCCCGGTTGCACGCTTGCATTCCCTCGCCAGCAGGGCCGTTGGACGCGAGCAGTTTCCGTCGCTCCGCTTCCTTCTTCAAAAAAGCATCCTCACGCGCTAGCCCGAGCGTTTCGAGCGGGAGGCCCTCCGGCTCCGCATCACAGTACGCCTTTCGCTCTTCATAAACCATGGCGCACGCCCGCTGATTCAGTTGGTCCTGCAAGGCGGCGAGCTTCGCTGTGTCGCTGTTGCGCGGACGCTGACCCGCCGCTGCCAACGATGATACGATGCCACGCACCGCCCCTTCGAGCGCGAGGAACTCCAAGTCGATGTTGATGGGCAGCGACCGCAGCGGCACGCCCTCCGGCGTCTGCTCCAGCACCCCACGCTCCTCCTTGTGCATGTGCTCCGCCAATTCCAGCGCGCGTTGATTCAGCTCTGCCTTTACACTCGCCGTCGCGTTGCCGTCTTGCTGCGCCTCGGCATCGCGCAGGCGCTCTTCCAGCTGGTTAAACGTGGCGTCGGAGTCCAGTGGGAGGTCCGTCAGCGGAATGCCCAGCACGTCCTGCTCCAGCTTGCTGCGCAGACGGTTCTTTGCCTCCGTGGCCAGCTCGTGTGCCCGCGCGTTCATCTGCTCCTCTGTGTCCTTAACCGTAGCCGAATCGGCCGCCGACGCGGAAGTGCGAAGCTGCGCGCGCTGCTCCTCGAGTTGGCTGAAGATGCGATCGGCGTCCACCGGCACCTGGCGCAGCGGCACCCCTTCCGGGCGAGGGTCGAGGAAGTTGCGATCGTTCCTCAAGTAGTTCTCCGCCATCGCCAACGCCCGATTCCGCAGAGCGTCCTCCGTCTCCTTCACGGTAGCCTTCTGCTTCGGGTCATGCAAGGCAGCCGCGCGCCGGATCTCCAAGGCGCGGAACTCGTCATCGTCGTCCAGTGGTAGAGCGTTCTGGGCCACGCCACGCATCGCGGGGGGCAGGTAAGAAGAGCGGTCCTTGCGGTTCGCTTCCCGCGCCAGCGCCAGCACACGCTCGTTCATCTTGTCCTCCAGCGAGCGCAGTAGAGCGGCGTCAGCGTTGGGGTCCTTCGCAGCCGTGCGGTGTCGCGTCTCTGCCGCCATGAACGCGCGGTCCGCATCGAGCGGCAGACTGGTGAGCGGGCGCCCTTCGGGGTTGGGCTGCAGGAAAGCTGCCCGCTCCTTACAGCACTGTTGCTCAGCCAACTCGTAGGCCCGCTTGTCCAGATCGACAACCAAGTCCTGCATCACTTGTGAATCCGGCTTTGGCTTCCGCAGCTCCTGGATGGCCTCCACCTCGAGGGCTTTAAAAGCCTCGTCCTCATCGAGGGGCAGGTCCGCCAGGGGAATCTGCAGCTCTGCCTGCGCCATGCGAGAACGCACGCCGTCGATGGCTGCTGCCGCAAGCGCTTTTGCACGAGCCTTCAACGCCCCCGCCTGCGTGGCGGAGTCGGTGGCGGCCTGACTCGTCGCCCTGGCGACCATAATCTGCGTCGCCGCCTCGTCCTCCATCAGCGGAAGAAGTTCGCGAGGGATGCCGCGCAGCTTCGACGGCACGCACTCCGCAATTTCCGTTTGCTTGAGCTTCTTCGCCATGTCGTGCACCTGCTGGTTCATGCTCTCCTCGAGTGCCACGATCGCCCCGCGGTTGGCCGCCGCGTTTCCGCTCGCCAACATGGCCGCACGTTGCTCCTCCTTGACACGGAAGTGCTCGTGATCGTCGATGTGGAGGCAGTCCAGAGGAACGCCTTCTGGGTGCGTGTCGAGGAAGGCGCGGTCACTGGCCAGCCGCGCCCGTGCGAGCTCATCGGCACGAGCACGCAGCTGTTCCTCCAGCGCCGCCACCTCCGCAGCCTTGCGGGGGTCAGCCATGGCACGAGCGCGCTCCGCCTCCAAGCCGCAGAACTCGTCATCGTCGTCTAACGGCAACGCCTTCACCGGAAGGCCGCGCACGGCCTTCGGCAGGTACTTGGAGCGGTCGTCCGCGTTCATCTCGTGCGCCACCGCCGCCGCGCGTTCGTTCATGGCATCCAGCAGCCTCTGCAGCTCGCTCGGGCTGGCCGTGCCGGCGTCACGAGCCTCCAAATACGCCGCCTCCGCTTCACGGAACGCAGCATCGTCGTTCAACGGGAGCCTCGCCCACGGCCGGCCCTCGTACTCCGCCTTCAAGTATCCCTGACGCGCCTCCGCGAGGTACTCTTCTTCAATGGACTGTGCGAGTTGCCGCATTTCGTTCTCTTGCGCCTTTATCGAAGCTGCGTTCTCTTTCGGCTTCTTGTGCAACTCCCGCAGTCGCTTCTCCATCACAGCGAAACGCGAGTCCTTGTCGAGCAGGTGCTGCAGTTTCTCTGCGGAGATGTGCGTTTCGCTGGCGCCGGCGCCGAGAAAGCCGCGCTCTTTGGACTTCTTCGACGCCGCCAGCTCGCTCGCCCGCTCAATCATTGCGTTCTTCAGCCTCTCCATCTCCTGTGCGTTCGCGTGTGGGTCCTCGTTCTTTAAACGCAGGCGCTCCACCTCATACTGGCCAAACACATCGTCAGCGTCCAGCGGCAGCTCGATGATCGAAATGTCCTCGTACGACGGTTCCAGCACCTCGGCACGTTGGCTCTCCTTCAGCTGCTGCGCTACCTCCGCAGCCCGCTGGTTCAAATCTGCTTCAATGTTCACCAACGCCGCGGAGTTTGGCGCCGCCGACGCCTTCAGCCGTGCACGCTCGCCCTCCTTGCTGCAGAACTCCTCGTCTGAGTCAATCGGCACCAAGCTGAGCGGCACACCGGCCGGTTTCGGATGCAGGTAGGCTCGATCACTGGCCAGCCGCGCCCGTGCGAGCTCATCGGCACGAGCACGCAGCTGTTCCTCCAGCGCCGCCACCTCCGCAGCCTTGCGGGGGTCAGCCATGGCACGAGCGCGCGCCGCCTCCAAGCCGCAGAACTCGTCATCGTCGTCTAACGGCAACGCCTTCACCGGAAGGCCGCGCACGGCCTTCGGCAGGTACTTGGAGCGGTCGTCCGCGTTCATCTCGTGCGCCACCGCCGCCGCGCGTTCGTTCATGGCATCCAGCAGCCTCTGCAGCTCCTCTGGCGTCGCAACACCGGAGGCGCGAGCCTTCAAATAGGCTGCTTCGGCCTCGCAAAACGCAGCATCGTCGTTCAACGGGAGGGCCGCCGATGGATGTCCTTCGTATTCGTCCTGTAGGGTCTTCGCACGCTCCCCGTCCCTGTACTGCGTGTCCATCTCGAGCGCGAGGTTCGCCATTTCCTTCTCCAGTGCTTTGATAGCGGCTGCGTTTTGTAACGGATTCTTGCGCAGCTCTCTCAGGCGCTCCTCCATCTCGGTAAAGCGGGGATCGCTGCCGAGGACGTCGCGCAGCACATCCGCGTCGACGCCGTACGCGGCGAGAAATGCACGCTCGTTGGTCTTCTGCGCTTCGGCGAGTTCAGCGGCCCGCGTGTTCAGTGACTCTTCGAGGCTGCGAATGGCCTTTGCGTTGCCTTCGGGGTCATCGTGGAGCAGACGAAGTCTCATCGTCTCCTTCGCCTTGAAGTCCTCATCCGAATCGAGGACCCCCGCGTCCAGCACGGCGAACTCGGAGCCCATGAACTTCTCCCGCTCCGCGTTCTTCAACTCGCGTGCCAGCTCGTGGGCCCGCTCGTTCAGCTGTGCCTGCAGCTTGCGCACCGCCAGCGGGTCAACCGGTGGTGTGCGGAGCAACGCGCGCAGCTCGTCCTCCATCTCGCAAAACTCCTCATCCGAGTTCAGCGGGAGGAACTCGAGCGGAACGTCCTCCGGTGTGGGGTCGAGGAACCCCCGCTCCACCTGGTGCATCATGTGCGCAATCTCACGTGCACGTTGGGCCAGCGCCGCCTCATTGTCAGCCACCTCCTGCGGGTGTTCATCGGCGTGGAGGAGCAATCTCGCGCGCTGCTTCATCAGCTCCGCAAACGCCTCGTGCGACATCAGCTGAAGGTCGTCACGCGAGATGCCGTCGACGCGTGCATCGATAAAGTCGACGTTTGCAGCCGCTGCCTCATCCGCCACGACATCGGCAAGCGCACGCAACTTCTCCTCCAGTGCGGGAATCTTGTAGTCGTTGCGAGGGTCCTTCTTCAATTCGTATCGCTCCTTCTCCACCGCCATGTATTCTTTGCTTTCGTCGAGGAACGGGTTCAGCGCTTCGAGATCGCGATCCGGCAGGTAGGTGGGACGTTCCTGTCCGAGCTTCGCTTTTGCCAGCTCGCGTGCGCGGGAGTTGAGGCGATTTTTTAACCGCTGTATTTCCGCATCGCTGGCGGACGGGTCGTCCAGCAGCCGCCTCAAGGTCGTGAGATCTTGTTGAAACTTCCGGTCCACGTTCAAGTTCAGCTCCGCAAGCGGGATGCCCTCCGGGCACTGCTCCAGAAACGCCATGTCGAGCTCATCCAACTCCTTCGTATCATCTGGGGGGTCCGTGATGCGCACATGGGCCTCCTCCACGGCGCAGATCTCCACCTTGCACGGCACCTCGCCGTAACCGCGAGGACAGGTGCAGAAGATGACGTAGTGGCCGGGTTTGTCGAGGTGCGTCACGACGCTGAGTTCGCGATAGTTCATGGCGGACTGTGATCCCTTGATGCGCCGGTTCTGCAGGTCGTACAGGTACACACCCAGATAATCCTCCGCAATGATGTCGCCTCCCGTGGGAGAAGGCGACAGTTTTTCTTGCCGCACCACCGCATGGACGTCTGTGGGGGAGTCTACCAAGAAATCCACCCGCTCCTTGCCGCGGTTCTGCAGGTCGACGTGGGCGAGCGCCGGGGCGTGCTTCGCGACGGTTGGCTGGTAGCGCACCACCTCCAGTTTTTCTTTGTCACCCGTGTGCTCGAACCAGTAGGACAGCAAAAATTTACTGTTCTCCTGTCCGTCGAGGTGACCCACCACGTAGCACAGCGACCGGGGCGGAAATGTGAGTACGTTCGTCACCTCCCGCTGCGGTAGTAGCGGCAGTGAATGCACCAGACGATGGTTGTCCAGGGTGACGAGGTGCGTCGGGATGTCCTGCGAGTTCGGGTTCGCCAAGGCTACCGTGAGACCCTTCCTTGGGTATTTCAGCTCCTGGTTGTCGAGGGTGTGCATCAGGTGGCGCTGATCGGGCTGCCGGAGCATCGCCACAACCTGTACTGGGTCCTCGCTCTCGTTGCGGAAGACGTAGAGAGGGTTGTCGCGCCACGAGATGAGCGTCGCGTTGCCGCCGTTGGTGCCCTGCGACCACTCACTGTTGAAGTGCCACGAGGGATCGTCCAGACTCCGCACATAGCCCATCTGCACACTCGAGAAGACTTTCGTAAAATGGTTGGCTGGGACGAAGAAGTTGCGCTTGGCTTCCCCGGGATGCAGTTTGTTGACAAGCTCGGACGTCCATGCGTCGTCCTCTGGGTTCATAGGGCCGTAGTAGGGGGAGTCCTCGAATGGGTTAAACATCTTCACCAAAATGTCAGACACTTTATTGCCGCCGAAGAGTGGGATAATGTCCAGGATGGCGTAGTATTGCTCATCCACTAAGCCGGCGGCCTCTGCGTCGTCGCCGCTCGCCTGCGCCGTCATGCACAAGTTCGGCAGCGTTGTTGCCAAATTGAGCCAGTACTCCGCCTCGTCAAAGTAAGACATGTTCACCTTCGCGTCGCGAGGGTTGGTGGAGACGGTGAGGCACGGCTGTCCGGTAAAGTCGTGAAACACCTCCTCTTGCGTGATGTGCTCCAAGTTGTCGTAGAGGGTGTAGAACTTCGCATAGGCCTTCTCCAGCAGCAGCGGCCACCAGTGGTGCGTCGGGGAGCGGCAGAAGAGGGTGTCACCCTTGATCACCGGAATGCGGTCGTCGATCTCCACCTTCACCCACTGGCCGTAGCGGTGGAACTGGAAGGTGTAGCGGCCGTCCTTGCGCGGCTTCTTCGAGATGAAGCAGTTGCGAATTACGTCGGCGTTGTTGCCCAGCAGACCAGCAAGGGCCGTCATGCCACTGCAATTGTAGTGTTCGCCCTGCTCAAACTGGCCGTGGTTCAGCACATCCGGCAGCAGCGGCTTCGTCTTGCCTTCGGGGTAGAGGTCGCCGATGTGCACCCACGGCTCCGTCGTGACGCCGCGGTTGTCGGTGAAGAAGCGCTTGTCCTCGAACGGGGAGGCGCTGTCGGCAGGCTCCGTGTGGCGCGCAGTGTCAAAGATAAAGGGGACGTAGTCGATGGGGTTGCGCTCCTGGTCCGCTTCGTCGCCCTCGTCGATGAGGTCCTCGTCGTCGAACATGGTGGCGTCCTCCGGTGGGTCAACGATGCGGACGTGCGAGGCGGGAGTGGCGACGATCGTCACGTACGCCGGCACGTCGCCCTTGGCACGCGGACAGGTCAGCGAGAGGGCATACCGACCACTGCGGGGAAGGTGGTGGATGATGCTGATCTCGCGAAAGTTCGTGGCGGCGTGCACACCGCCGATCTTGCGGTCCGTGTCGTCGTAGAGGTACATGCCCATGTAGTCCTCCGTCATGGCGTCACCGCCAGATTTGCTGACGAAGGGCTTCTGCTGGTGCAGGAGCACGTGCACATCGCTGGCCTCGTCGACGTAGAAGTCGACGCGTTCCTTTTCCTTTTCGCGTAATTCAAAATCCGCCTTGGCGGGGTCGGCCCAGTTCAGTCCGGGCACCTGTAACTTCTCCACAGAAAAGTTTGTGTAGTTCTCATTCTTGAAGCGGTACACGGCGAGACGAAACGACGCCTCAAGCGATGGTTGCAGGGTTGAGGGAAGCATGAAACACATCGAGTTGGGGGGAATCGTGACAACGTTCGCCACCTCACGCGAGTTGAGGAAGAGACTCTTGTAAATGGGCCTGTGGTTGTTGCCGGTGATCCACAAGGTGGGAGCTGGGTTCGGGTAGCTGGGCTTCACCACGACGAGACCGCATTGACGGTAGGAGGAACCCTCCTCTATGTGTGCAGTGCGGCGCTGATCCTCTTGCTTGATCACCACCACAATCTTCACCGGCGTCGCGCCGTCGTTGCGCACGAGGAAGGCGGGGTTCTTGCGCCACGTGACGAAGGTGGGGTTGCCGCCGGCGCTCTCGCCCTCCCACGCGCTGTTAAAGTACTGCGCCTCGTCTTCGATGGTGCGCATGAAGCAAAACTGGATCGAGTTGGCCAACTGAAGGAAGTTGTTGAGGGGAATGAAGATGGAGTGGCGGTCGTCTACCGGGTACTGCTTGCGCTGCTTCGCCGTCCATTTGGAGTCGTTCTTGTTCAGCGGCCCGTTGTACTCGAACTCCGCGTCCTCGAAGGGGTTGTGCAGGTGGACAACAATGTCGTCAAGCGTGGAAGATCCTGTGAGGGAAAAGATCTCCAGAATGGCGTACTGCTGCTCGGACTGCATCCCGACCGCCTCTAAGTCGCTCGCCTTCGTCAAAGTGGACGCTACGAAGTCGCCACGCTGTAGGCTTTCACCCAAAGACAGCCAGTACTGCCCATCCGCAATGTCGACACCGGCTGATTTCGCCAGTTTTGCCGTCATGGGGATGTTGAGAACCGGGCTGCCAGTCAAGTCGTGAAACGTCTCTAGCAGCGTGCATCCGTCGAGCTGCCCGTAGCTGTTGTAGAACTTCGCGTAGGCCTTCTCCAGCAGTAGCGGCCACCAGTGCTCCGTGGGTGATTGCATGTACAACACGTCGTCGTCCTCGAGCGCGATGGAGTCGTCGATTTCCACCTTAACCCACTGCTGTCCGCGGAAGAACTGAAAGGTGTAGCGGCCGTCCTCGCGCACCTGCTTCGTGACAAAGCAATTCCGAACGACATCAGGAAACCGCACGAGTGCTGCTAGTGCGGACAGCATGAAACACTCGTAGTGGTTACCCTGCGCAAACTGCCCGCGAGACAACTTCTCCGGCAGCAGTGGCTCTTCCGCGCCTCTGGGGTACAGATCGCGAATCGACACCCATTGGTCGGAGACTTCACGGTTGTTGTTGATAAACTCCGTGTCCTTGAAGAGCGTGTGGCTGTCTGGCACTTCCGCGAAAGAGGCGGTCATTTTTGGCTTGCTATCGGCAACAAACAACAAAACTTGCTAGACCTCTGCTGCCGTTGAAAGCAACACGGCTTTAACAAGGCAAGCAGAAATGAAAGAGCAAGAAAGGGAAAGGTTTCCAGGTTGAGTTGGGAGGGGAGGGAAGGAAAGCTGACAAGAAGAAAAAACTCAATAACACAACGATGACAACGAAAAAACGGCGGAAGATGCAATGTAACGCGCACACGTCCGCCGTGCACAAGTGGCAGATAACACCCGAAAGCAAAGACGAAACTGAAAAGGAAAAGAAAGTGAACACTCACATACGCACAAAGGGGAAGTGGTAAAAACGAAAACAGGGCTATGTACAAAAGCAGAAAAGATGTATTTAAAAAAAAATTTGCTTGGGGAGTTCGCAGCGGGAAGATACGTGGGTTTCTTGCGGCAGTGTGATGTATCCCGGCGTGTGCGGCTGAAACACACAGAAGAAAACTGGCCAGAAAAAAAAATAGAAGAGAGCAAATGACTGAGGTAACGAGCTTCTAGAAAATGGTACACTCCCACACACGCAGACTCCGAAAACAAAATAAAAGGACTAAGTGGTACTCCTAGAGTTGTCCTGCACTACAACGAAATGCACAACTGCTCTAAAAGTAAAGAGTCTCCGAGGTCAGAAAAGAGTCGTTTGTGCAGGGTTGGGGTACTCTTGTGTTGTCGCCGTTGTGTTCTTTGGTCCAGTGCCTCCAGTGTAAGAAGAGACGACAAAAAAAGAGAGCGGCGGGAGAAAAAAGAATGAATGCAGTGTTCGCTTTTGCAAACCTCTGATCTAACGTGTTGTGTATCGGTTTGTCGTAACGGTTACCGTCTTTGCACCTCAAATTAGGATCGTTGCTGATGCGTTGTTCGAGAACCGTGGATGCGATGCGGACGACAGTGAGGATGTTGTTCGAGTTGAAAGCGAGGTGAGAATGAGAGACAAGAAGAACAGAGGAAATGGAGGGAACAACGAAAAAGAAGGTAATTGTGTTGAGCGAAAGTGTCTGTGGAAGGCAGGAGTAGCTCGATGCGATGTGCGCCACATGTGAAGATGCACCGCGGCGTTGATGAGAGCATTTTCTTCTTTCTTTTTCCGGCGGAAGGTCCACTCTACGTGGATGTGCTCTCGATAATACCGTGAAGTTTTGCTACACGAGGGCAAAGAATGTCCTTCTCCGAAAGTTCTTCACTTGACTCTTGATGTTGAACAGAGCAAGAGGAGGCGCGCGTCTAGCTTGAGGGAGCTCGAAACACCCAAACTAGCAGCCCTCCCAGCGCCCCCTTGCAAGCACCGTCCAGTTCATTTGCCGTCGCTGGCTTACAGTATATATATCCGTGTTTTCGGACGTTGTTGTTGGGTTTCAGTGCGATTGTCGTGCCAGCTACATCAGCTTTCGAACAGCGTAGAAAAAGGACGGACGAGAAGAAAAACAAGAAGAAAAACAAGAAGAAAAAAAAAACGCTGAAAAGAAAACGCAAGTCTCGCCTTCTCTTCTACCGATCGTCGCAGTCGACTGACACGCGAGGAACTAAAAAAAAAAACGCTCTCTCCCTCATCTTGCCTCGTTTCGATCGTTCATCCGGCGTCTTCTCGAGAGGTGAAATTGTGTTGGGTTTTTGTTTGAAAGAGTGCTGGAAAGAACGTGTGCAGGTGAAATGGTGTTTTTTGCCAACGTAGTTTTGAAATAAATAAAGAAATAACACAATGAAAGATACGACGACGACGACGTGGAGCACGGAATAGCAATAGCTATAATAAAACGCTAAAAGAACCACATGTGATCCTTTCGCGGCGTGCTATGCGATGTCTCCGACCTTTCCGCCACGCTTTCATCGTGGTAGAAGGTGCGGCTCGGGAAAAAGGTTCCTGGCCTGCCTTTACAGAAACGTGCAGGCGCGAGGCGATTTTCTTCGCCCTTCTTCCTCACCTCGGTGCGAAAGGGCAGCTTCCAGATTTTCAAAAGGGGAAAAAAGGAGAACGAAGTAAAACAACCAATTCTCCACACAAATCAAAAACATAAATGAAGGGAGAGTACTTGCAATAGTCGCTGGTTTGATTCAAAAACACGCAGAACACACACACACACATTGAACGCTAAATAATAATAATAATAATAATAACAGATATAAAAGCGCATCATCGTAGATCATCCTTTCTACTATGTAAAATCACGCGATTCAACGCTGATGGTTGTGGCGTGAGGTTGCCGGCCAAATACTCTTATTTCGCTTTTCTGTGTCGGTCTGTGAAGTGTTGTACGGGGTGCAAAGAGGACTATTTCGTTTTGCGTAAAACTAAGGACAGGCGCCCGTTCAGCCGCGTACATCAGCCCCCAACGGACGCACACGCAGATTCATCCTCGATGAAAGACGCAGAGACAACAGGCTCGATAGGTCCCCCAAAGTGCTGCCTGTCCCTCATTCTCATGAATGCCACAGATGGAGCGCCTTCCTCGCGACCCGTACAGCACCAACACACACGCACACACACCAAAGAAGAAAACGAAAACCACAGAAAGGGTGCTTCAGTGCACTTTCATGACAGCACAGCGCTAGAGTGAAGAATGGAGAAACAAACAAACAATAAAATGCCAGCGAGAGAAACAGAGAGCAAAGAGAGCACAGCTTAGAGCACCGATGCCAGAAGCCGAGAGAAAAAGAAGAAAAAGAAAAAGATGTTAGCCTTCACATATATATACCGGTCAACGGCAGCCACCACTCTCCCACCCGGTGGACCCGCCGTTTCCTCCACTTTCCTATTTCACTTTTTAGTTCTGCAACTCGCCTTAAAGAGTTCAACCAGAAGAGGAAAGGAAAATGATAAATCCAACAGGAAAACATCGCTCACGGTAACAAAGCACGTGATGACAAACAAAAGCATGGCCCCATCAAGAACGGCCGTTAAGGACGTGGATGGGACTGCGGCATCTGATTCACTCTCACAAAGTAATCTATCCCCTCTACGACTGCCAGTGACCCTTTTTATGGTTCGAGTGCCAAAATTCTAAAACAAATATTCACCTCCGCACACACGCGCACACAGAAGTAACGATGCTGCTGTAAGAGAGTTTGGCGCGTAGTAGATTACTTTCTGAATATGTCTCTCGTGCTCCTTTTTTTTTGTTGTTGTTACTTGACGTGGAGATAAGGCGCATGCTGCTGCTTCAGCTGCGCTAATGAGCGTTGACGATTCTTTTCTTTTTACATTCTTTTCTGTGTACAGTTGACAAGAACAAGTAAAAGTGCGGCGACACGTGGTTGTGAAGAAACATCGAGAGTATGAAAACAGCGCAGTTAGTGCTGTTCAACACAGCGAGACGAGTAACCATTATATTCCGTCGTCCTCAGAAAGAAAACAGAACCTCACGTGTATCAAAGGTCAAAGAGCGGTGTAGTTGGCAGAGAGCGTTGCCTTCCCCAAAGCAGCGTTCATACACGTCTGAGAAGAGAGAGAAAAGATGTCTTTTTGACCTCCGTTGTGCTTGTCGCGGATTCTTTCGAAGTACAATGAAACAACTAACGAGAAACAGACAAACAAACAAACAAAAAATGCTTCTATAGCAACAAATAATAATGATAAAAACGGTGCATCCAGAATGAAGAAAAAGGATGAAGAAAGCGACGAGGTACCGTTGGTCAGTATGAACCACAAATTTCCCCAAACTTGTCGATCATCACAACGCCAGCGACGGCTCTCCGTAACCCTCCTTTTGTTTCTTTTCGCTGCGACACCGGTAAACCAGGAAAACATAATATATATATATATATATCAATCAAACAAACAATAGAAGATCGGGGTTTTCAACGAAAAAATGCGTATGTGTGTTTAAACACATTTATGAGAAAACTCTCTTTCGAAAAAACCAGCGAGGTTTAGGCTTCCTTCTCCACGTGCTCTTTTCCATCCCTTTGAGGGGGCTAGCAGCAGTACAAAGTCCGCTGACTTCCTTAGAGAGAAGAACTTCGACACGTCCTCTTTTTCTCGTTCTTAAGTGGCCTAATGAAGTTCCCCACAAGCAGTCTGTGCCGCCGCATCCGAGGTTTGAGGAGTGCATTGCCTCGAGCGGAGCGGGAGGAGACGGCTCGCCTTCACAGGTTTTTTAAAAACAAACGAAAAAGAAGAGGAGAAGCAGGACAGAGAAACAACGGAGAATTATAATTGCACAGAATCGACAGGCTAGCACGAGAAGTTCACATCAAGAGTTAAAAAAAAAACAGCGAAAGAATAAAACGATTTGGCGACTATGAAGAAAAAAGTGAAAAGGGGAAGAAGACACGGAAAGGGAAAAGAAGGTCACGTCCGCTCCGTTCCCCGCTCAGACTTCTGCGATGCTCTCAGCGACTGCAAAACTCCCTGTCTTTAAGTTGGCGATAGGTACCACGCGAGTAACGGAAGCCTCAGTTCAGGTCTTCACATTTTAACCTCCATGGAAAAGGCAAGCGGATGAAAGTAGCAAATATATATATTCACTTTACCTGCCTTTTTGTAGACACGGTGTTCCACCGAGCTCAACCGCGCCTGCAAAAAGAGAGAGGGAGGAAAGGAACGAATAGGCAATACAACGGAAGACCACCAACCATCACGCAACACTCACACCTCAGCATCAACAACAAATACAAAAGCGGGACAAGGGAGAGTATAAAACAGAGCACAGAGAGAACGATGTGTTTCATATATGCGTGTGCGGAGGCAGAACACGGAGAAGACCACACGCACACCACAACCATAAATGAGAAGACGTCCTCTACGTTCTTTACAGGGAGAGAAATAAATAAACAAAATACGAGGAACCAAAACAATAAAAGGGCCCCTTCGCCTTTTCATCATCTCGTGCTCACTAATTGGCTATTTATGCAGAGCAACATATATGATTGCGAAAGCAAAAAAAAAAAAAACTCCTTCGCAGAGGAAATGGCTCTCACGGCACGTGTCTGCGATGAAGCTCTCCTCCCTCGGTCGTCGTGAGAAGAGAAAAGAGGAAAGTGCAGGGAGCGGAACAAGAAAAAAAAACGGCGAGAAAACGAAGTGGGAGCATCTTCAACACCGCGAAACTCTGCATCTTTAACGGCGACCGCGGCTACCATGGCGACCGCTCTCCTCACGGCTACCACGACGGCCGCTAACAGAACGCTGATTTACAGGCGGCAGGGAGTCGGTGCGGCGCACGTCCTTGCCGCGGCTCGCCGCACGCGACGCGCTCGGTGCCGTCGCCGTGCGTGACAGCGTCGGGAAGCGCGACTGCGACTGAAGACTCAGCGGCTTCGCGTCTGGTGCGACGGGGACGAAGTCGGCGCTGACGTCCGCCGGGGTGTAGATCTCCAGGTTGGCTGTGCATGGCCCGCTCGTCGAGGTCGCTGTGCAGTTCAGCAGCAACGAATACCGCCCGCCCTGCGGCGCCTTGAAGACCAGCGCGTGCTCGCGTGCGGTGCTCGCCTCACCCGTCGTGCCAATCTTAATGCCGTACTCGTTGAACACCGTCATGAACACGGCGTCTTCCGCGACGGCGTCGCCCTTGCGAATGGTGCTCGGGTCCGACACTTTCGTTTGGTGGAGGAGGATGTGCACGTCGCTCGCGTCGTTCACCATAAAGTCGAGACGCTGGCCGTCCTCGTCACCGGGCGTCAGGCTAACGGCGTGGCGGAGCGGCTTCAGCGTGAGGCCGGCGTGGCGCAGCGGCGTCAGTGTGACCTTTGCCATGTCGGGGTAGATGGAAACGTGGAACTCGCCCATAGTGCCGCGGTCCTTCGTGTATGGGATGAGGTAGCAGGTTGAGCTCGGCGGCAGTTCCATTTCCGCACAGACCTCGCGCGAGTCGAGCATCATGCCCTTCTGCAGAAACTTGTGCGTCCCGTTCGTGATGAATGGTGTCGGCGGCAGCTTCGAGTTGATCGGCTGCATCAGCGTCAGCCCCGTGTACGGGTACTGCTTGCAGTTCGTCTCGTCCACGTAAAGCGGGTTCGTGTGGCGCACCTCCGCCAGGATGGTGGCCGGGCGCGATGTCGTGTTCGCCACGAGGAAGATCGGGTTGCTGCGGAAGGTCGTGTACTTGGACGTGCCGCCTGCGGTGAAGTCGTCCCACTGCCCCGGTGCGCTAAGACGGTCACCGCAGTTGATGTGGCAGCGCTGCATGCAGCTGAAGTTCTGCAGGAAGGTGGGCAGCGGCATGTAGATCATGTCGTTCTCGTCCGCCGTGTAGTCGCACGCGCGTTTGACGTCGGCCGTCCAGTTGCTGTCGCCCTTGCGCAGCGGGCCGTTGTAGTACGGCGCATCCATGTAGCAGTTGTGCACCTTCACGACGATGTCGGACGAGTCGGACGTGCCGGGCTTCACCTCAAAGACGTCCATCAGCGCGTAGCTGCACTGCGGGTGCAGGCCGCTCGGCACGCTGCCGTTCGCCACGCACACGAAGACGTCACCGCGCTCAAGGTCCTCGATAACGCGGCGCCAGAAGGCCGGTGTGGTGTAGTCGCCCATGTTCGTCGCCACCGCGTGCTTCGGGTCCTCGAGGGAGATGTGCAGCACCGGCCGGCCCGTCAAGTCGCGCAGCGTGTCGTGGGCGTTGCAGTTGTTAAAGTTCTCGTAGCCGCCCACGAACTTGGCGTAGGCCTTTTCCAGCAGCAGTGGGTACCACATGCGGGACGGGACCTGGGTGAACTTCGGCTCACGCTTGTCGTCGCACGGCACGCGGTCATCGATCTCGACCGTCACTGGCGAGCTGTCGGGGTTGAAGAGGGTGATGCGGTAGGGCTGCTGCTGCGGGTGAGCCTTGTCCTGGAACAGGCGCGAGATGAGCACCGTGTGGCGGGCCAGAGCCGCGATGAACGGTGCCAGAAATCCCATGTCTTGCGGCGCCGACGAGACGTCCGACGGCAGCGTCGTGTCCGGCGTCACCGGGTCGTAGACGCCCTCCGGGTACAACTCACGGATGCGCGGCCATTGCTCCGCAATGTCCTCGTTCGCGTCGTGAAATTCGGGGTCCTGGTAGCCCTTCTTGTCCTTCGCCAGCTCGTGCGCCCGGTCGTTGAGCTGCGCCTCCAGATCCTTTACAGTCTTCGCGTTCTTCACGGGGTCCTTGTTCAGCTTGCGGCGGTCCACCTCCATGCCGTGGAAGTCCGGGTCGCTGTCCAGCGGCAGCTCCTCGAGCGGCACACCCTCCGGCTCCGGGTCGAGGTAGGCCCGGTCCTTCTTGAGGAAGTCGCTGGCGACGCGATCAGCGTGCTTGTTCATCTGCTCCTCCAAGTCGCGCACCTTGTCGGACGCCTTCGGGTCTTTCTTCGCCTCCCGGCGGGCTAGCTCCGTCGCGCGGAAGTCCGGGTCCTCGTCGAGCGCGAGGTCGGCCAGCGGCACACCGCGCGGCTCCGGGTTCATGAAGTTGCGGTCGTCGGCCAGCTGGCGCTTGGCCAGCGTGCGCGCGCGGTCGTTCATGTCGGCCTCAATGTCCTTGATCGCGTCCGCGTTCTTGCGCGGGTCCTTCCGGAGATCGCGCAGCTGCCTCTCCAGGTCCTTGAACGGCTTGTCTTTGCCCAGGTTGAGGTCTTTGAGTAGGATGCCCTCCGGCTTGGGATCGAGGAAGGCGCGCTCCTTCGCCAGCTTGTCCTTCGCCAGCTGCTCGGCGCGGTCGTTCAGCTTGTCCTCAAGGTCCTTGATGGCCTTGGCGTTGTTGCGCGGGTTCTTCTTCAGCTCGCGGCGCTGGTTCTCCAGGTCGTGGAAGGTGGGGTCCTCGTTCAGCGGCAGCTCCGCCACCGGCACGCCTTCCGGCTCGGGGTTGAGGTAATCGCGATCCTTCGCGAGGAAGTCCTTCGCAAGGTCGTGCACGCGGTCGTTCATCCGCTCCTCCAAATCCTCGATGGCGTCCTTGTTCTTCGCCGGCTGCTTCTTCAGCGCGCGCAGCTCCTTCTCCATGTCGTGGAACTCCTTGTCGTCTGCAAGCGGCAGGCGCTCCAGCGGAACGCCCTCCGGCTCCTGGTCAAGGAATGCGCGCTCCTTCGCCAGAAAGTCGCGTGCGATGTCGTTCACGCGCGCGGCAATCTCCGGCTCAAGGTTGCGCAGCGCATCCGCGTTCTTCCGTGGGTCCTTCTTCAAGTCGCGCCGCTTGCGCTCCAGCGGGTTCAGAATCGGGTCGTAGTTCAGCGGTAGCTCATCCAGCGGCACGCCCATCGGCTCCTGCTCCTGGCCCGCACGCTCCTTCTGGAGCAGCTCCTTGGCGAGGTCGTCTGCGCGGGTGTTGAGGTCGTCCTGCAACTGTGCAATCTTGTCCGCGTTGCTGCGCGGGTCCTTCTTCGCCTTCATGAGTTCGCCCTCCATCTCGCGGAAGAGCGGGTCGCGGTTCAGCGGCAGGTCGGAGAAGGGAACGTTCTGCGGCTCCGGTTTCAGGTAAGCGCGATTCTTGCTGAGCTGGTCCTTCGCAATCGCATGCGCGCGGTCGTTCATCTTCTCCTCCAGCTCCTTCACCTTCGGGTCGCGGGCCTTGCCGGCGTTCTTCAGCGCCTGACGCTGCCTCGCCAGCTCGTTGAACTCGGGGTCCTCGCTGAGCGGCAGGTCCGCCAGCGGTACCCCCTCCGGCTCAGGGTCGAGGAAGGCGCGGTCCTTCGCCATCTCCTTCTTGGCCAGCTCGTGCGCGCGGTCGTTCATGCGCTTCGTGAGCGCCGCCACCTTCTTCGGGTCCGCCTTGGGGTCCTTCTTCGCCTTGTAGTGCGCGATTTCGGCATCCTTGAACTCCGGATCCGTGTCGAGTGCCAGACGGTCCAGCGGGACGCCCTCTGGCTCCTGGTCCATGAAGCCGCGCTGCTTCGCGAACTCCGCCCTCGCCAGCTCGTGCGCACGGTCGTTCATCTTGTCCTCCAGGTCCTTGATGACGTCCTTGTTGCGCTTCGCCGCGCGGGGGTCCTTGGCGCGGCGGCGGCGCTCCGCCTCGAGGGCGACGAACTCCTTGTCGTTGTCGAGCGGGATATCCTCCAGCGCCATGCCCCCCGGCTCCTTGTCGAGGAACGCGCGCTCTGCCGCGATCACGTCGTCTGCGATCTCCTTCGCCAGCTTGTCCATCTCCTCCTCAATCGCCTTCACATCTGGGGTGCGGGCACCGCGCCTGATGGCGTCGCGGCGGCGGTTGGCGGCGTTGCGGAACTTGGGGTAGGAATGCAGGTTGAGGTCTTCCTTCGGGATGCCGCGGTAGGCAGGCACTGGCAGACAGGCGAGGTCGTCCGCCACGACCTCAGCGGCCAGCTCGTGGGCGCGGTCATTCATCTTGAGCTGCGTGTCCGCAATTGCGTCTGCGTTGCGCTTCGGGTCCTTCTTCAGTTTGCGCAGGTAGTCCTCCAGACGCAGGAAGTTCGGGTCCTTGTCGAGCGGCACATCCTTGATCGGGATGCCTTCCGGCTCCGGGTCCAGGAAGCTGCGGTCCTTCTGCCGCTGCTCCTTCGCCAGCTCGTGAGCGCGGTCGTTGAGGGCCTTCTCCAGCTCGTTGATCTTCTTCGCGTTTGCCTTCGGGTCCTGCGCCTTCAAGATGGCCCGCTGCAGCTCCGCCTCGCTGTACTGCGGATCCGTGTCGAGCGGGAGGTGCTCCAGTGGCACGCCCTCGGGGTTGGGGTCGAGGTATTTGTCGCGGTCGCCGCGCAGCATGTCGCCGCCCAGCTCGTCCGCGCGGTCCTGCATCATGCCTTTCAGGTTGTCGATCGCACCGGCATTGCGGCGAGGATCACGGTTGAGACGGCGAAGCTGCTGCTCCATCTTCTGGAATGGAGCGTCCTCGTCCAGTGGCAGCAGCGCCTTCGGGATGCGCGCGGAGGTTGAGTTGAGGAAGGCACGGCCGGCCTCCTTCGCCGCCTTCGCCAACTCGTGCGCACGGTCGTTCAGCTTTTGCTCCAGGTCCTTGATTTTCGCCGCGTTCTTCTTCGGGTCCTCCTTCAGCTTCGCCCGCTGCGCCTCCAGCTCGCGGAACTTCGGATCGACGTCGATGCCGACGTCAGCGATCGGCACGCCCTCCGGCTCGGGGTCGAGGTAGCCGCGGTCGCCCTGCAGCAAGTCGCGCGCCAGCTCGTGGGCGCGGTCGTTCATCTCCTCCTGCAAGCCGGCGATGCGGTCGGCGTTGCGCTTCGGGTCTTGCTTGGCCTGGCGCAGCTGCTTCTCCAAGTTCGTGAAGGTCTTGTCGTTGTCCAGCGGGAGTTGGGCCAGCGGAATGCCCTCTGGCTCCGGGTCGAGGAAGGCGCGGTCGCGCGCGATCTGCGCCTTGGCGAGCTCGTCGGCGCGGTTGTCCAGTTTGCCCTGAATCTCGCGCGTCTTGGGGTGGTTCGGCTGCTCCTTCTTCAGCCGGCGCAGCTCGGGCAGGTAGGAGGCGAACTCCTCATCGTCGTGCGGGTTCAGCGACTCGAGCGCGACGCCGCGTGGCTTGGGGTCCAGGTTGCGCAGGTCCTCCTTCTTCTGCGCCAGCGCTAGCTCGTCGGCGCGCAGGTTCAGCTGGTCTTCCAGCGCGTTAATTCGGTCCGCGTTCTTCTTCGGGTCCTGCGCCTTCAGCTTCGCACGCTCCACCTCTAGCTGGTGGAAAGCGGGATCGCTATTCAGCGGCAGGGCCGATAGCGGCACACCCTCCGGCTCGGGGTCGAGGTAGTTCCGATCGCCGCTCAGCGCGTCCTTCGCCAGCTGGTTCGCGCGGTCGTTCAGCTTGTCCTCCAAGTCGCGGATCGCCTTCGCGTTGCCGCGCGGGTCCTTCGCCTTCAGCTTCGCACGCTCCACCTCCATGTCGTGGAACTGGGGGTCGTCGTTGAGCGGAAGAACGCGCAGCGGCACCCCCTCCGGGTTCGCGTCGAGGTAGTCGCGGTCACCCTCCAGCATCTGCCGCGCCATCTCGTCCAGGCGCTCGTTGAGTATATCGCGTGTTGGGTCTTTGTTGGCGCCGCCGATATCACGCGACTTGTTCGCCGCACTGTTGGGGTCACGGCGCTGCGCGGCGAGGTTCGCGAAGGTGTCGTCGTCGTGCGGCTTCAGCAGCTCCACCGGAATGCCGCGCGGCGCATCCTTCAGGTCGGCCAGATCGCGCGCCCGCTGCTCCTTCGCCAGTTCGTGAGCGCGGTCGTTGAGGCGCTCCTCCAGCTCCGCGATCTTCGCCTGCTTCTTCTTCGGGTCCTGCAGGACCAGCTTAGCACGCTCCACCTCCAGCTGATGGTACAGGGGGTCCGAGTCCAGCGGTAGCGTCTCCACTGAAATGCCCTCCGGTTTGGGATCGAGATAGGTCGGGCGGTCGCCGGAAAGCACGTCGTTCGCCAGCTCGTGCACGCGGTCGTTCATGTCCTGCTCCAGGTCGGAAATCTTCTTGGGGTCCGCCGAGGGGTCCGCCTTCAGCGCGCGCAGCGCGTTCACCATCCGCGCAAACTCGGGATCCTGGTGCGGGTTCAGCATGCGCACCGGGATGTCCTCAGGCGTTGGCGACACAGCGCGCAGATCCTCCTCGATCTGGTCCTCCGCCAGCTGATGTGCGCGGTCGTTCAGCTGATCCTCGAGGTCGTGAATGGCGGCGGCGTTCTTGTTGGGGTCCTGCGCCTTCAACGCGGCGCGCCTGGCCTCCAGATCGGTGAACTGGCGGTCTGTGTCGAGGGGCAGCACATCGAGCGGGATGCCCTCCGGTTCGGGGTCCAGGTAGCCGCGGTCACCCTTGCGTTGTTGACGGGCCAGCTCGTGCGCGCGCTCGTTCAGCGCGTCCTCGAGATCGCGGATGGCGTCCTTGTTCGCGCGTGCGTTTTTGTTGATCAGGTCAAGGCGCTCCGTTTCCAGTTGGTGGAACTCCGGGTCGTTGTCCAGCGGAAGCGCTGCAATGGGGATGCCTTCAGGATTAGGGTCCAAGTACGAGGCGCGATCCTTCTCCAGATATTCCGCGGCGAGGGCGTCGAGAACGTCGTCCAGCTTACCCTGCGTCTCGTTCAGACGGGCCTGGCCACGTGCGGAGGAGTCCTTCTTTTCCGCACGCAGCTCTGGCAGCTTCGCCGTGAAGTGCGGGTCCTCGTGCGGGTTCAGCAGCGCCACCGGCACGCCGAGCGGAGAGCTGTTCAGCCCTCTCAGGTCCTCCTTCTTCTGCTCCTCGGCCAGCTCATGTGCGCGGTCGTTGAGCTTGTCCTCTAGGTCGGCGATGGCCTGCTTGTTCTTCATCGGATCCTGCGCGATCAGAACGGCGCGCTGCACCTCCATCTCGTGGAACTCCGGGTCCTCGTTGAGCGGCAGCTCCGCCACCGGCACCCCCTCCGGCTCAGGGTCGAGGTACTTGCGATCGTTGTCCAGCATCTCAGCCGCCATCTGGTTCGCCAGCTCGTTCATCTGCCCTTCGACGTTGGACAGCTTGTCGGCGTTGCGGCGCGGGTCCTTGCGGAGCTCACGCGCCTGCGTCGCCAGTTTGTGGAAGTCGGCGTTGTTGTGCGGCTTGACGGCGTCGATCGGGATACCCTGCGGCTCACGGTCGATGTTCCGCAGGTCGTCCTCCAGCACCTGCTGCGCCAGCTCGTGTGCGCGCTCGTTCAACCGCTCCTCCAGGTCCTCGATCTGCTTCGCGTTCTTGACCGGCTCCGCCAGCACCAGCTTCGCGCGCTCCACCTCGAGACCGTTGTAGATGCCGTCCGTGTCGAGCGGGAGATCCGACAGCAGCACGCCTTCGGGGTCGCGATCCAGGTACGCTGGCCGCGCCGCCCTCAATGCGTCGTTGGCCAGCTCCTTCACGCGGTCGTCTAGTTGCTGCTGCAGGTCCCTCGCCTTCTGCGCGTCGCGCGGGTTCCTCTTGGCGCGGCGCAGCTCCGGAAGGATCTTCGCCACCTGCGGGCCCTCGCGCGGCTTCAGCAGCTCCAGCGGGATGCCCATTGGGTTCGGGTCGACGCCGTCGAAGTCGCTGGCGAGGATGTCCTTCGCCATGTCGTGCGCACGATCGTTCATCTGCTCCTCCAATTCCTTGATCTTGTCCGCGTTGCGCAGCGGGTCCTTTGCCTTGAGACTCGCCCGCTCCTGGCGCAGCTTGTTGAACTGCGGATCGGCCTCTACGCCGACGTCCTCCAACGGGATGCCCTCCGGCTCCTTGTCCAAAAACCATAGATCACCCTGCACCTTCTCCTTCGCCAGCTCAGTCAAGCGGGCGTCCATGTCGTTCAGTGTCCTTTGCATCTCAGGCGAGTTGGCCTTGCCAGCCTTCTCAAGCGCGCGCAGCTGCTCCGCCAGCGCGGCAAACTTGGGGTCGTCGTGCGGCTTCATGGCGGCCGTGTCGATGCCCTCGTACTGCGGCGGGAAGTGCGACAGTTCGTCGGCCTTCTTTGCCTCCGCCAACTCCGCGGCGCGATCGCTCAGCCTATCCTCCAGGTCGGCGATGCGGCGCGGGTTGCGGCGCGGGTTCTGCGCCTTCAGCTTCGCGCGCTCCACCTCCATCTCTGCAAACTCGGGGTCCTTGTCTAGCGGCAGGTACTCCAGTTTCACGCCCTCCGGCTTCGGGTCCAGGTAGCCGCGGTCGCCCTCCAGCAGCGCGTCCGCCAGTTCGTAGGCACGGTTGTTCATCCGGTTCTCCAGGTCCTGAATGGCGTCGGCGTTCTTCTTCGGGCTTTTCTTCAGCTCGCGGAGCTGCGGGATCATGCTGGAAATCTGCGGATCCTCCGTCGGCTTCAGCAGCGCCAGCGGGATGCCTTCCGGCTCGGCGTCGCACCCGGAAAGGTCGTCGTCGAGCTGCTTCTTCGCCAGCTCGTGGGCGCGGTCGTTGAGACGCTGCTCCAGGTCCTTGATGGCGCGGGCGTTGCGCTTCGGGTCCTTCAGCTTCAGCTTCGCCCGCTCCACCTCCATCGTGTGGAAGTCGGGGTCGGTGTCCAGTGGCAGTTCCGCGATCGGCACGCCCTCCGGATCACGGTCAAGGTAGTCGCGGTCCATTACCTGGTCGGCCAGCGAACGCACGCGGTTGTTCATCTCGTCGAGCACCGCCTGGACATCCGCCTTTGCCTTCGGGTCCTTCTTCGCCTCGCGCACGCGCTGCACCGCCTCGGCAAACTTCGGATCGGCGTGCGGGTTCAGCAGCTCCACAGGCAAGTCGCGCGGAGCCGCCTCGACGCCACGCAAGTCCTCGGCGAGCTGCGCACGGGCCAATTCGTGGGCGCGGTTGTTCAGCTGCTCTTCGAGGTCCTTAATCTTGGCGGCATTGCGGCGCGGGTCCTGCTGCTTCAGAACGGCGCGCTGGACCTCCAGCTTGCGGAACTCCGGGTCGGTGTCGAGCGGCAGCTCCTCAATCGGCACACCTTGCGGGGTCCGGTCAAGGTAGGCGTTGTCCTTGGACAGCAAGTCCTTGGCCAGCTGGTGCGCGCGGTCGTTCATTTGCTCCTCCAGTGCCGCCAGCTTGGCGTCGTTCTTCATCGGCTCCTTCGCCAACTCACGGTGCTGGTCCACCATCTGCGCAAACCGAGGGTCATCGTGCACGTTCAACAGCGCGATCGGAATGCCCTCGGGGGCCTGATCCAGGTTTTCGATGTCCTTCATACGCTGCTGATCCGCCAGTTCGTTCGCGCGGTCGCGCAGGCGGTCTTCGAGGTCTTTGATCTTAGCGGCATTGCGGCGCGGATCCTGCTCCTTCAGAACAGCGCGCTGAACTTCCAAGTCGTGGAACTGCTGGTCCGCGTCCAGCGGCAGCAGCTCAAGCGGCACGCCCTTCGGCTCCCCCTCCAGGTAGGACGGGCGGTCGCCACGCAGCTTCTCGTTCGCCAGCTGGTGCGCGCGGTCGTTCATGGCGGCCAGCACCTCCTGCAGCTGCGGCGTCGTCGTCCTTGGATCGGCCTTCATGGCGCGCAGTTGAGGCAGGTAAGAGGAGAATTGCTTGTCCGAGTGGGGGTCGAGCACCGAGAGCGGGATACCCTCCGGCTTGGGGTCAAGTCCGCGCAGGTCTTCCTGCTGCTGCGCCTCTGCAAGTTGCCTCGCGCGGTCGTTCAGCTGGTCCTCAAGGCCCTCGATCTTCTTTGCGTTCTTGACCGGGTCACGTGCCTTCAGCTTCGCACGCTCCACCTCCATACGGTTGAACTGCGGATCCGTGTCCAGCGGGAGGTACGTAAGCGGCACCCCCTCCGGCTCCGGCTCCAGGTAGCCGCGGTCGTTCTTCAGCATGCCCTCCGCCAGCTCCACGCCGCGCTCGTTCATCTTCTCCTTTACCTCGCGGATGCCTTGCGCGTTGCGCTTCGGGTCTTGCTTCAGCTCACGCAGCTGAGTGGCCAGCTCCTTGAATTGGTCGTCGTGGTGCGGAACGATAGCGTTGTACGGCACGCCAAGCGGGTCGGGTTCGAGAGCGCGGACTTCGTTGTCTTTCACTTCTTTGGCCAGCTGGTGCGCGCGGTCATTCAACTGCTGCTCGAGCGCTGCGATCGCCTTCGCGTTGCCACGCGGGTCCTTCGCCTTGAGCGCTGCGCGCTGCGCCTCGATGTCGCGGAAGGTCGAGTCGGTGTCGAGCGGGACGTGGCGCAGCTCCACGTCCTCCGGCTCCGGGTCGAGGTAGCCGCGGTCCTGCTGCAACATCTTCTTGGCCTTCTCGTGCGCCATCATGTTCAGGTCGTCCTTCATGTCCTTGATGCCCTTGCGGTTGGCGACGGGGTTGCGCTCAAGACGGCGCAGCTGCGTCTCCGCATCCGTGAAGGCCGGATCGTCGCCGAGGTTCAGCAGCTCCATCGGGATGCCCTCCGGCGCCTTGTCGACGTACCGCTTACGTGCCTCGTCCGCCAGTTCAGCAGCGCGGGCGTTCAGTCCATCCTCAATCTCGCCGAGGCGGTTGGCGTTCTTCTTCTCGCCGTTCGGCTCGTTGCGCAGTGCGCGGGCCTCGTTTTCCAGTGCGTTGAACTCCGCGTCGTCGTTCAGCGGCAGCGTCTCGAGCGGGATGCCACTCGGGTCAGGGTTCAGCGGGCGACGCTCCATGTCGTGCACCGCCTGCGCAACCTCCTTCGCGCGCTCGTTCATCTGATCCAGCAGCTGCTGCGCCGCCTTCGCCTTGGCCGGGTTCTGCTTCGCGTCGCGGTACATCTCCTCTAGCTCGTGGAAGTGCTGATCCTCATCGAGGTAGGGATCCAAATCCTCCAGCGGGATGCCAAGCGGGTCGGGGTCCATATCACGACGGTTGTTTTGCTTCACCTCCCTGGCCATGTCGTGCAGGTGTTGGTTCATCTGCTCCTCCACGGCACGGATGGCGTCGCCGTCCCGCGACGGCGCGCTCTTCAATGCGGCGCGCTTCATCTCCAGGCTGCGGAAGGTTGGGTCCTCGTCCAGCGGCAGGTGACGCTGCGCGACGCCCTCCGGCTCGTCATCGAGGAAGATGCGGTCGTTCTTGAGCGCCTCAGCGGCCAGCTCGTCAGCGCGGTCGTTGAGGGCGTCCTCAGTCTGCTTGATGGCCTGCGCGTTGCGGCGCGGGTCCTGGCACAGCTTCGCCCGCTGTGCTTCCAAGCGGCCGAACTCGTCATCTGTGTCGAGTGGCAGCTCCGAAAGCGGCACGTTGCGCGGGGACTGGTCCATGTATTTGGTGCGGTCCTCCGCGTTCTTCGCCTTAGCGAGATCGTGCGCGCGATCGTTCATCATCTGCTCCAAGTCGTGCAGGCGATCGTCGTCCGCGTAAGGGTCCTTTTTGGACTTGCGGTACTGCTCCTCGATGCCGAGGAAGGTCGGGTCGTCGTCCAGGCCTAGGTCGCTCTGCTTGCGGCCCTCCAGCTCCGGGTCGATGTAGTCCTTTCGCTCCTCCGCGGCCTGTTGCTTCGCCATCTCGAGCGCCATGTCCCGCAGCACATCCTCGCCAGCCTTGATAACCGCAGCGTTGCGCTTCGGGTCGGCGCGCTGCTCGAGCACCTCCGCCTCCTTCTTGAGGTACTCGGGGCTCCGGTCGAGAGGGAGGTCCTCCGGTGAGAACCCGAGCGGGTGGCCCAGGATCGCCCGTTCCTCGCCGCGCATCTTCGCCGCCACGTCGACGGCGCGCTTCTGCATCGCGTCGCCCAAATCGCGCGCCTTCTCCGGCTCGCCGTCGCCTGTGGCGGCGATGTGCGCCACCTCCAAATCGGCAAACGGGACATCGTCGTCGAGCTGCAGCGCCTCGCGTGCGATGCCGCCGACGCGCGTCGGCAGCACGTTGGAGCGCACCTGCTGCTTCATCGCCTTGGCCATCTCGTTCGCGTGTTCGTTCATCGCCGACTCCAGCTCGCGAATCTTCGGGTCAACGCCGCGCGTGCTCTGGTTGTTGGCGCGCAACGCCGTCCGCTGCGCCTCCATCTTGGCGAAATCCTTATCCTTGTCGAGCGGGATGTACTTGAGCGGCACGTTCTGCGGCGCCTCCTCCATAAAGGCGCGGTCGGCCTGAATCTTCTCCTGCGCCAGCTCTTCGGCGCGGAGGTTGAGGGCGTCCTCGATGTCCACGATCGCCTTGCGGTTCTTGGCCGGCTGACGCATCAGGCGCGCACGCTGTGCCTCCAGGTTGCTGAACTCCTCATCCGTGTCGAGCGGCAGCTCCGACAGCGGGACGCCCTTCGGCGCGGGGCTCATGAAGTTGGGGCGCTCCTTGCGGTTCATGTCCTTCGCCAGCTCGTGCGCGCGGTCATTCATCAGCTCCTCCAGGTCCGCCACCTCCTGCGGATTCGCCTTCGGGCTTTTCTTGAGATCGCGGTAGCGCGTCTCGAGTTTGTGGAAGGTCGGGTCCTCGTTGAGCGGCAGGTTGTCGAGCAGGCGACCCTCCGGCTCAGGGTCGAGGAAGCCGCGCATCTTGCCCAGCTCCTCGGCCGCCAGCGCGTGCACCATCTCGTTCATCTCCTTCTGGAGGGCGTCGATGGCAGCCGCGTTGCGCCGCGGGTCCCTCCGCAGCGCGCGCAGCTTCTCCTCCTTGGCGACAAAGGCCGGCGTGCTGTCCAGCGGCAGCTCCTCCAGCGGTACGCCGAGCGGGCACTGGTCGAGGAAAGCGCGGTCCTGCGCCAGCTGCTCCTTCGCCAGCTCTCCGGCACGGTCGTTGAGGGCCTCCTCGAGGTCCTGGATGGCCGTCGCGTTCTTCTGGGGCTGCTCCTTCAGCAAGAGCCGCTGCACCTCCATGTCACGGAAGGGCTGGTCGGAGTTGAGGGGGAGTTCCGCGTACGGGATGCCGTTGAACTTCGCGTCGAGGAACTTCGGACGCTCCTTCTCCTTCAGCTCTTTGGCCAGCTCGTGCGCGCGATCGTTCAGCTGCCCCTCGAGGTCGGCGATCGCCTTGGCATTCTTGCGCGGGTCCTTCTTCAGCTTCGCCCGCTGCGCCTCCATCGCCGCGAACGTTGCATCCTTGTCCAGCGGCACGAGGCGGAGCGGCACCCCTTCGGGCTCGGGGTCGAGGTAGTTGCGGTCACCCTTCAGCTTCTCCTCGGCGAGCTCCATGGCGCGGTCGTTGAGGCCCTGCTCAGCGTCCGCGATGCCGCGGGCGTTGCGACGTGGGTCCTGCTTCAACTGCTGCCGCTTCACCTCCCCCGCATGAAACGGCTGATCCTGGTCTAGCGGCAGGTCCTCCGCCGGGATGCCCTTGTACGTGGCGTCCATGTAGTCCGGGCGTTCCGCCACGTTCATGCCGTGCGCGACCTCGTGGGCGATGTCATTCAGGCGCTCCTCCATGTCCGGCACCTTGCTGGCATCACCGCCGCGGTTGAGTGTACGGCGGCGCTTCGTGTCGAGGTCTTTGAACTCGGGATTCTCCAGCAGGGGCAGCGTCTGCACGAGACGGCCTTCCGGCTCGGGGTCAAGGAAGTTACGGTCACGTGCGGCCTCTGCAGCAGCCAGGCGGTCCGCCAACGCACGCATGTCGTCCTTCAGGTCCTCGATTGCCTTGGCGTTCTTGCGCGGGTCCTTCTGCAGCGCCCGCAGTTCCTCCTCCTTCTTGAGGAATTCGTCGTTGCAATCGAGGCCCAGCTTCTCCAGCGGGACGCCATAGGGGTCCGGCTCGAGGAAGGAGCGCTGGTTCGCCTGCTGGTTCTTTGCCAGCTCACGCGCGCGGTCGTTCAGCTCGTCCTCCAGGCCGCGGATATCGTCGCGGTTGCCGAGCGGGTCCTCCTTGCGCAGCTGCAGACGATCGATCTCCTTTGGGTGGAAGACGGCGTCCGTGTCCAGGGGCAGTTCCGCGACCGGGATGCCGTACGGCTGAGGGTCGAGGAAGAGCTCACGCTCGTCGTGCTTCAACTTGGCGGCCAGCTCGTGCGCACGGTCGTTGAGGGCCTTCTGCAGGTCTTTGATGGCCTTCATATCCTTCTTCGGTTTGCGATTCAGCGCGCGCAGCTCATCTTCCATCTTGCTGAACGGCTCATCCTCGTTCAGTGGGAGCAGGTCCAGCGGCACGCCCTCTGGCTCTCGATCGAGGTAGGTACGCTCCTTCTCGTGCATCGCCTTAGCCAGATCCGCAGCACGCTCGTGCATCTGGTCCTCCACATCGTCGATCTTGCGGGCGTTAGCGGCGGGGTTGCGCAGCAGGTTTGCCCGCGTCTGCGCCATCTCCGCAAAGGTCGGATCGTTCAGCAGTTCGATGTCGTCACGCGGAATGCCCTCGTACTCGGGGTCCATGAAGTTGAGGTCCACACCGGACGTCGCATCGGCCAGAGCTGCCGCCCGCTCACGCAGGTCGCCTTCAATCTCGCGCACCTTGGCCGCGTTGCGGGGGTCGCCCTTCAGGAGGTGGCGCATGCGCTCCGCGTTCGTGTACTCGGGGTCCTCGTCGAGTAGCGGGGCCAGCTTGCTGAGGTCGTTGCCGCTCAGGTACTTCGGCCGTTCCTTTGCAAGCACCGCCTTGGCCAGCTCGTGCGCGCGGTCGTTCATCTGCTTTTCCAGTGCGAGAATGGAGTCCTCCTTGCCCTCGGGGTTGTTGTGCAGCCGCTTCAGTGCGTCGAGCTGCTCTTGGAACTTCGGATCGGTGTCGAGCGGAACGTCGGCAAGCGGCACGCCCTCGGGCTCCTGGTCAAGGAAGGACAAATCCACCTCGCCCAGCTCGCGCGCGTTCTCGGGGGCCTCGGTGATGCGCACCTGCGCCCGCTCCACCGCGACCACCTCGACCTTGCACGGCACCTCACCCACACCCGCAGTGCAGTTCACGCCCAGAGCGTAGCGGCCCGGCTTGTCGAGGTGTTGCACAAGGCCAATCTCGCGGTTGTTGGTGGCCTGCGCGCTGGGGCTAATGCGCTTGTCGTTGCCGTCGTACAAATACATAGAGACAAAGTCCTGCGCAATCGCGTCACCGCCGCTTTGGTGCTTAAACGGCTTCTCCTGCTTCAACAGAATGTGCACGTCGGTGGGCACATCCACGACAAAGTCCACGCGACCGTGTCCCTTGTTCTTGAGGTCGACGTGCGCGATGGCAGGCAGCTGGCGCGCCACATCGATGTTGAGGCGGCGGATGTCCACCTTCTTCTCATCACCGTTACGGAGGAACCAGTAGGAGAAGATGAATTTGCTCTTGTCGCGCTGCATCCCAGTCGGCACCACGTAACACAACGAGTTCGGCGGGATCGTGATGACGTCGGTCACCTCGCGGTTGTGCAGATACAAGCCAGAACGGAGACGGCGATGGTTGTTGCCCGTGACGAGGTAGGTGGGGATACGCTCCGCGCTGGTGCTCTGCGTCACCACCAAGGCACACTGGACGTAGTTCACCTCGTGGTTCGTCTGGCGGTGCAACAGATGGCGCTGGTCGGGCTGCCGGATCATGCCGATGATCTGCACAGGGTCCTCGCTGTCGTTGCGCACGGTGTAGAGCGGGTTGTCGCGCCACGTGACAAGCGACGGGTTGCCGCCAGCCGTGCTCTCGCCCCACTCACTGTTAAAGTTGCGGCACGGGTCCAGCGGGCCTTTCACCCACGCCTGCTGAATGTTCGCGAAGACATCGAGGAAGACGTCGGCGGGGACGTAGAAGATGTTGCGCTGCGCCGGGTTGCAGATAGAGCGCATCTCCGCCGTCCAGCGGGGGTCGTCCTTGTGCATCGGGCCGCGGTAGGGGGAGTCCTCGAAGGGGTTGTAGAACTTCACCAAAATATCCGCCGGCTCCAGGTCGACGGCGTTGCGGGTCTCTAAGAGGCCCAGCAGGGCGTAGCTGTCCTCGTGGTGCAGGCCGTACTGCTCCGCCTGCTCGCCAAGCGCTAGGGCAGCGACGGCGGTTTGCTCCAGGTCACGATTCAGGGTACGCCAGAACTGCGCGCTGCCGATGTCGTAGTCCACGGTTCTGGCCTTCTCCGCCTCCATGGGGATAAAGAGAACGGGACGACCCGAAAAGTCGTGAAAAACCTCGCCTTGAGAGATGCCCTCGAGGTTTTGGTAGAGGGTGTAGAACTTCGCATAGGCCTTCTCCAGCAGCAGCGGCCACCAGTGGTGCGTCGGGGAGCGGCAGAACACGGTGTCACCCTTGATCATCGGAATGCGGTCGTCGATCTCCACCTTCACCCACTGGCCGTAGCGGTGGAACTGGAAGGTGTAGCGGCCGTCCTTGCGCGGCTGCTTCGAGATGAAGCAGTTGCGAATTACGTCGGCGTTCCGCTCAGCTAGCGCGGCAAAGCCGGTTAGCGCGCTGCAGTCGTAGTGGTCGCCCTGCTCAAACTGGCCGTGGTTCAGCACATCCGGCAGCAGCGGCTTCGTCTTGCCTTCGGGGTAGAGGTCGCCGATGTGCACCCACGGCTCCGTCGTGACGCCGCGGTTGTCGGTGAAGAAGCGCTTGTCCTCGAACGGGGAGGCGCTGTCGGCAGGCTCCGTGTGGCGCGCAGTGTCAAAGATAAAGGGGACGTAGTCGATGGGGTTGCGCTCCTGGTCCGCTTCGTCGCCCTCGTCGATGAGGTCCTCGTCGTCGAACATGGTGGCGTCCTCCGGTGGGTCAACGATGCGGACGTGCGAGGCGGGAGTGGCGACGATCGTCACGTACGCCGGCACGTCGCCCTTGGCACGCGGACAGGTCAGCGAGAGGGCATACCGACCACTGCGGGGAAGGTGGTGGATGATGCTGATCTCGCGAAAGTTCGTGGCGGCGTGCACACCGCCGATCTTGCGGTCCGTGTCGTCGTAGAGGTACATGCCCATGTAGTCCTCCGTCATGGCGTCACCGCCAGATTTGCTGACGAAGGGCTTCTGCTGGTGCAGGAGCACGTGCACATCGCTGGCCTCGTCGACGTAGAAGTCGACGCGGTCCTTCTCCTTCTGGTGCAGTTCCACGTTCTTGGTGGCGGGGTTCGCCCACGCAATGCCGGGCACCGCCAGTTTCTTGATCGTCAGGTCGCTGTAATCCGCGCCCTTCATGCGGTACAGCGCAACGGAGAAGCCACCCTCGGCACCCTTCAGCATGCACGAGGGGACGAGGTAGCACAACGAGTTGGGGGGAATCGTCATGGAATTCGCCACCTCACGCGAGTTGAGGAAGAGACTCTTGTGAATGGGCTTGTGGTTGTTGCCGGTGACCCAGAAGGTGGGGATGGGGTTGGCGTATGAGTAATTGATCAACACCATACCGCACTGGAGGTACTTCGTCATTTCATCTGGGGACGTGAAACGACGCTGGTCCTCCTGCTTGATCACCACCACAATCTCCGAAGCGGTGCTGCCGGTGTTGCGCACGTAGTACAATGGGTTCTTGCGCCACGTGACGAAGGTGGGGTTGCCGCCTGCGCTCTCGCCCTTCCACTCATCGTGAAAGTACGTCGCGTCTACCTCTACCGGGGTCATGTAGCACAGTTGAATCGAATTCATGATCTTTAGAAAGGTGTTGAGCGGCAGGAAGATGGACCGCTCGTCGTCGACATCGTGCTTCGCGCGCTGCTTCGCGTCCCAGGTGGTGTCTTTGGAGTTGAGTGGGCCCTTGTACACGTACTCCTCGTCCTCGAAGGGGTTGTGCAGGTGGATCACAATGTCGTTGATGGAGGACGTGCCGGTCAGCGAGAAGATCTCCAGCACGCCGTACTGCTGCTCCCGCTGCAGGCCCATGTTCTCCAACTCTATATCCTTGGTGAGCACAGAGGCGACGAACTGTCCAGACTGGATGCGCTGGGCGAGGTCCAGCCAGTAGAAGCCCTCCGTCACCTCCGCGCCTGCTGCCTTGGCCAGCTTCGCGTCCATGGGGATGTTGAGAACCGGGTTGCCGGTCAAATCATGGAAAGTTTCTTGTAGCGTGCAGCCTTCAAGGTGATCGTAGGCGGTGTAGAACTTCGCGTAGGCCTTCTCCAGCAGCAACGGCCACCAGTGCTCCGTGGGGGAGCGGCAGTAGAGCACCTCGCCTTCCTCCATCGCGATTTTGTCATCGATTTCCACCTTTACCCACTCCTCGCCGCGGAAGAACTGGAAGGTGTAGCGGCCGTCCTCGCGCACCTTCTTCGACACAAAGCAGCTACGAATCACATCGGGGAAACGGATCAGCGTCGACAACGCCGAGAGCATGAAGCACTCATAGTGGTTACCCTGACCGAACTGTTCGCGCGAGAAGGTCTCAGGCAGCAGCGGCTGGTTGACCCCGCTCGGGTAGATGTCCTTGATGCGCTTCCACTCCTGAGAAATGTGGGAGTTGTTCCGATCGAACACCGCATCGGCGAACAGCTTGTTGCTGTCGGGAACTTCCTGAATGGACATCTTGCACTACGGTAAAGCGGGGACAAGACGAAAAGAGAATGTGGTAGATGAAAGAAGGAAAACGTAGAAAGAAAGAAAAAAAAAAGAATGAAGGGGTCCCACGCCTGCTGTGCGACGACGCTGCCGGTGTTGCTCCTTCCTTTCCGTGGGGAGCCGAAAAGAAAAGCGTCAGGGGCAGGTGAGGCCGTAAATCGCTGCGAGGGCAAGGAGGGGGGTGCGTCACGATGACAAATAAGGAGAGAAGAAGGGAAAAAAATGAACGGGTAATAATAACAGCGTGGCACAGCAACAACAACAAAAACACGGCAGAAAAGAAAGCAAAAATAAAACAATGAAAATGCAGGAGTAATAAGAGCAGCGTTGAAAGGGCAGCGAAGCAGAAACAAAATCAACACAGACGGTGTACGATGATGTATATGCCGAAGCGAAATGGTATTTTGTTTTTTGGGGGGTGCTTGTGTCTCTCACGGGGAACTGCGTTCGACTGCGCTAGTCTTAATCTACTGTTGAGTGGAGTGTTATCTTTCACTAGATAAAGAAAACAACACACTCTGCAAGTCAGACAAGAGAATGAACAGTAATCGAGAGTACGAGGGAAGGATGGAGATGGCTGGGCGAGAAGTCGCTCGTTTATTGGGAACGCCCACGTACACACACACACACACACACGCACGCACGCGCACACAGCGACAGGGGTGCGTCAGTAATACGTGATCGGCTTTTTTTTACACAACTGTTCACCTTCGCGGTATTCTCCGAGTACAAACTCTCTCGATCTATTTCTTCAACTTCTCTACGCTTTTAGAGTTCTTCTTTACTACTTTTTCGAACTGTTCTTCGCTTTCCCTCTCCGCCGCTAGGGTTTTTTGTTGTTGTTATCGTGTTACCTCGAGCTGAAATAGTGGGGAGCTATGTAGCCAGAGATTGAACGACAGCACAAAGAAGATCAAAAGGTAAAACTGAGTTGGGCAAAGGCGATTTATAGGTGGAATGATGTAGAAGAAACAGTAAATGTGTTGATGTTCCCGTTGATCAGGCGCCAACGTAACGGCGTTCATCGTCGCGCGCAAAATACAAAAGAGAAAGAGGAAAGGAAGAGGTGAAACAATGGATGTAGCCAGCCGGAAGGCTCCTCATTAGCAGTCGATTGCCGATGCGCTTGCTCGAAAGCAATCAGCTAGGACAGTGCGGTGCTAGCCGCTATAACTCTTCGATGACGATGCAGCATCAACGAAGTCAGCGCTCACTACCTGTTGTTCTGAAAGGAGGTTGCCCGGTAACAGCAGAAGAGAAGCAACACGCACGCAAGTAGCTCCTCGCAACAGCGTGCGGCACGGTAATACTCGTTGCGCTCCCTCCTCGAAAACCGGTGTTCTTTGGTACAAATATGTTTTTCTGTACTCTCGCCAGTGCGGTGTAAACGGAATAGTTTTAAAACGCACATGGATTCAACGAAAACGGCACGATGAAAGAAGAAAGGGAGCATTCTCTGATGACTCATGCGCAAGCAAAAAGCTTCGTATTTTCATGACTGCCAGCTTGCCGCCTCTTTCTTCCTCAAGGAAAGAGGAGACAAGAAGATGAATCGAAAACAAAAACTCACATCAGGGAAAGCACCGAAAAGAAGAGAGTACGCAGAGTCAGAATACAGCTCCGCAAAAGAGGTACGCATTACACATCCACAAACACACTGCAAGAATGGTTCTCAACTTTACTCAACACGTCACGCACACGCCGCACGAGCGAAAAAAGGCGGCACCAACCTACAAAACAAAACAATAGCACATTTAAAACTTCAAAACGAGACGATGTTGCACGAGAGAAAGAAGCGATATATATGACCTCAGAAATAAGAAAAACACTCGACCGGACGTAGAGAAATAAAAATGTTTGCAATCGGTAAACACGGCGTACGAGCAAACGAAAGAAAGCACGACAAGAACGAACTCAATACTCTCCTCGTCGTGTGTGCATCGCTGCCCACACAACGCACGTTCTTCTCATAAACCGCACTTGTTTATCCCTTCTAAAACGCACTCCTTTGCTCCGTTCACTCCTGCGGCCCCATGCCTCTCTCGTCTCCTTCACCAACGACGTCAACGATAACGAATGTAAAAGCGCAGAAAAATTCTCCACAGAAGTTGTCTTTCCGCTTGAATCGCAGACACGCGAAGACGATGCAGAGTGCAATGCGATGCGAGTGTATCCCTCAATACCCTCCCATGTGACTCGGCAGAAAAGTTCCGAATGCGCTTCCACGGCGTCGGCGTCGGCGATGCTATCATCGCAGGTTAGAAAGCTGAATAAGTCCTTCTTCACCTTCGTTGTGGAGCTTCGCCAGGCAACAGGAAATAGTTAAAAACTACAAAAAGAAACGTGCATCCTCCCTCAAGGATGCGTGTTTCAATTGTCTCGTTGTCGCGCTGTTGCACCGGCGTCTCCTCACGCTGCGTGGATTTCGTCTCGCGAACCGAGTGAAACTTGGGTTCTCCAAAGCTCATCGCGCCAAACTCAAAACCAAGGATTCCGAATGGAAATCTACTCATGCGGCTGTGTCCAAGCCTAGGGCAGTGCTTCAATGTGTAGGCCTGGCTGCATCATAAAATGTTGGAGAAAAGAACATCTTCCCTCAAAGATCTTCTTCCCTATGACGCCACACCTGTTTCGCTTCGTCCGTTGGAAACAAGAAACGTTGCTCCGTGCTGTGCACTGTTCGCCGGAGTGGGCCCGACCACACTTCCTGCCAAAGCGGCCGGCAGAAGCATTCGGAAACAAAGGCAGCGCGAGCTCTTGAAGGCAACCAAAAACAACTACGAAGCGACAACGTGCGTTTCCCGTTTAAAAAAGAAAGCGCGCAAAACGCAGCGGAAGGAAAACAAAGCCTTCGTACTCACGCTTCATCTCGTGTTGAAAAGGAGAAGAGAGAGGCTTCTACAGTGAATGAGCAAACACCAAAACGGAAGAGATAAAAGTGGAGGATTTCTCGATGATGAAAAACGGAAGTGAAAAGACAAGAAAAAGCTGAAGACACAAGTAAAACAGTTGAAGCTTACCTTTCCCCAAACCTCGCCAAAGGTACGGCTGCGAGGCGGCAAAAAGGTGAAGGGCAATGAAACCGGTTTCATCCACGGCAGCTCAGCCGACAACAGCTCACTCTTCGTCAAGCCAGCCGCTAAAAAAAAAGGAACGAGTGCACTTGCGAAAAAAAAGAGCACGTGGAAAAAACCCGCTGCCGTTGTGTTTTGAGGCGCTGATCGCGTGATAAATAAAAAACACAAACGCGCCTTTCATTTTGCTGTATGTGCCATCGGTGCCGCCAACTCTCGTTGCTGCAGCGCAGACACCAGCAGCGCAAGTCTAGCCCTACAGACTCACTTCGCAAAGCCGCAACGATACGAGAGAAACCAAACACGTCTAAAACCCACCAAAACAATGGGACACGTCAGAAAAGTCAAATAGTCGGCGAAAGAAGAGATAAATAATAAAGCGGTAAGTAGTTTCTCAAAACATGAACTCACACGTCATCCAAACGGGACCAACGGCACGCAACGGCCGTAAACAAGTAAAAGCACACGTGCGTCAGGAATAGGAAACACTTGCCGCTGTGCAGCGTCGCCACGCATCCTGGTCGCACACCAAACTCACTTCCGCACGCAAGTAGTTTGCAGAATGAGCGCAGCCGCTTGCTAAACCACGAAAAGAAACTCTGCGTAAAGGCTTTCCCCCCCCCCCATTGAGTGCAGGCGTCACAAAATGAGGCTTTACTGCGAGTAGCCGCGGCTGCGTGGGTTGCGCGAGCCGTTCCCGGCACCGTTGGACGCCGAGGAGGGTCGCTGCGGCTGACGCGTAGTGTGCCGCCCGTTCGTCGGCGTGGATGCGACACTGTCTGTCGAGTTCAGCCGCCCAGGGATGCTTGGCCGTGCCGTCCCGCGCACCGCCAGGAAGCTCGCCTGGATATACTTGGGGGTGTAGATGGACAAGGTGCACGGGGCACTGCCGGTGACGGGCCTGGACGGGCAGCCGACCAGGAACGTGTATCGGCCAGCTTTGGCAGCCTGGAATGCAATCGCGTGCTCGCGCGCGTTGGACGCGTCGCCGGAAGAACTCACCAGGACGGCGTTGTCCTCGTAGGCTGCCATGAAGATCTCATCCTCTGCTAAGTGGTCGCCGCGCTTCGCCGAAGCGGGGTCGGTCACCTTGTTCTGATGCAGCAAAACATGAATGTCGCACGGCTCACTGACGGTGATGTCCACGCGCGCCGTCGTGCCGGACCCCGGCTGCACCACAACGTCCTTCGACATGCAGTTGTGCGTCTCCGCGATGGGGCGGAGCGTGGTGAGGGTCACCGGGTACTCTTGCGGGTACACCGAGAGCTGGTACTTGCCGATGCAGTTCTTCTTCTTCGTGTAGGGAACTAAGTAGCACGTGCTGTTCGCCGGCAGCTCCACTTCGGCGCACACCTCGCGCGCGTCCGTGAGCAGGCCCTTCTGTACAAAGCGATGCGTGTTGTGCGCCAGCAGCGGGGCCACCAGCTGGGCAGCGCCGTCGGGCTGCAAGAGAGCCAACGCCGATTGGTGGTACACGCCCATGTCGTGCGCATCGTAGAAGACAGGGGCCGAGTGGCGCAGCTCCGCCAGCACCGTGGCGCTGCGACCGCCCGTGTTCTGCACGAGGTAAATGGGGTTACTGCGGAAAGTCGTGTACTTGGGGTTGCCTCCGCTGCACGACTCGTTCCACTCGCCCGACACCGTCAGGCGGTCGCCGCAGTTGATGTGGCAGCGCTGCATGCTCGAAAAGTTGCGCAGGAAGATCGGCTGCGGCAGGTAGAGAAACTCCGGCTCATTTTCTGGGTCCGCCTTGCACACCGACCGCAGCGTCGGCGTCCAGTCTTGGTCGCCAGCGCACAGCGGACCCATGTACTCCGGGGCATCGTGGTAGCAGTTGTGGATCTTCACCACAATGTCCGAAGGGTCGTTCGAGCCCGGCACTGTCTCGATCACGTCGAATACGGCGTAGTAGCAGTGCGGGTGGATGCCGTCTGGCACCACCTCGTTCGACACCGCCATGAACACATCGCCCTTCTCCAGCTGGTTGTGGGTGCGGCGCCAGAAGGCGACGTCGCGGTAGTTGCAGTTCGCCACCTCGCTCGCCAGCTTCGTGTCGAACGGCAGGTGCGTGACGGGGCGCCCCGTCAGGTCGCGCAGCGTCTCGTGCGACGTGCAGTCGTCGAAGCGCTCATAGCCGCCCACGTACTTGGCGTACGCCTTCTCCAGCAGCAGCGGCCACCACGCCCCCGTCGGTGACACCGTAAAGCGCGGCACGCCCTTCTCGTCGCACGGAACGCGGTCGTCGATCTCGACCGCCACCGGGATGCTGTTCGGGTCAAAGAAGATGAAGCTGTAGGGTGCCCGCACGGGGTGCGTCTTGGTTTGGAACAGGCGGTGGAGCAGCGGGGGCTGGCGGCTCAGCGCGGCGAGGAACGGGGCCAGGTAGGTCAGATCCCCCGCCGGCGAGGCCACATCGGATGTCCGTGGGTGGTCCGGTATGAGGGGCTCGTGCAGGCCCTCCGGGTAGATGTCGGCAATCCGCGGCCACAGGTTCGCCACCTGCTCGTTGGCGCTGTGGAAGGAGGGGTCGACGAACGGTGCAGCCTCCTCCACTGTCTCCAGGCGATGCTCCTCCGTGCGCTCCTCCACCTCCCGCACCACCTTCTTATCGCGCGGACGGCGGGAGCCGCTGCTGCCTCCCTGCGGTGCCTCACTCGGCTTCATCGGGCTCTCTTTGTCGACAGCGGGGACGCGCTTCGGGTGGTCGCGCTTGTACTGATCCGCCAGCTCGCCCACCCGCCGTCGCATCGCCTCCTCAACTTCCGCCTTGTAGCCGGGCGGGTAGTCCTCCGGGAAGTACATCGCCCTGCGACGCTCATCTGCGAGGTCCATGAAGGCTTGGTCCTTGCGGAACGGAATCTTGTTGATGGGCACGCCGTGCACCTTGTCGCCCAGGAAGGGATACGACTCCTGCTCAATCATCTGCTCCGCCAGCCTCCTCGCCTCAGCGTCAAGCTCCGGGTCAATGGGCTCCAGCTCCCCCTCCGGATTGCTGCCACGACGGTTGCCGCCCGGGTGCTTGTGAAACAGCTCCCCGCCGGAAAACTCGTTCAGCTTCTCGACTGGGACGCCGCGGTACTCGCTGTGCACGCGCGGTTTGGCCAACTCGCGTGCGCGCTGCCGCATCGCCTCCTCCAAGAACTGGATGCGATCCTTGTTGCCCTTCGCATCAGCCGCCTCCAGGTGGTAGCGCTCGTGCTCCAGTGCCTGGAACATCTCATCTCGGTCCAGCTCAGCACCGTGTTCGAGCATCTCGTCCATTTCCGCTCCACAAATGCGACGGCGATCCGCATCCTTTCGGCGCCGCGCAAGCGCCTCGGCGCGGTCGCGCATCTCCTTTTCCAGCTGCTGGACTTCCTGCGGGTTCACCTGCGGGTTCAACTTCTTCCGGGCGTACTCATCCGCCAACCTCCGGAAGGCGGCGTCGTCTTCGAGAGGGAGGAGAGACACGGCCACACCGTCCGCCTCGTTGAACGGCAGCTTCGCCGTCTTCTTCAGCTCTTCGCGAGCCAACGCATGGACACGATCATCCATTTTCTTCTCCACGTCCGCGATGCGGCGGGCGTTACGCTTCGGGTCCAACTTCAGATCGCGCCACTGGTCCTCCATCGCAACGTACGCAGCGTCCTCGTCCAGCGGCACATCGTGCAGCGGCACGCCGTTCACGTCCTTGCCAAGCAGGTCCTCGCGCTCAGCCCACTTCACATCGTCCGCGATCTCGTGCGCGCGGGCGTTCATGTTCTTCTCCAGCTCCGCGATGCGCCGCGCGTTGGCGCGCGGGTCCCGCATCAGCTCACGCCACTCGTCCTCCGTCGCCAAGAACTCGGCGTCGTCGTCGAGCGGCACATGCGCCAGCTTCACGCCCTCCGGCTTCGGGTCCAGGATGCGGTTGCGGTCCGCCCACTTCCTCGCGTCGGCAAGCCTGTGTGCGCTGTCGTTCATGTTCTTCTCCAGTTCCGCGATGCGACGCGCGTTGGCGCGCGGGTCCCGCATCAGCTCACGCCACTCGTCCTCCGTCGCCAAGAACTCGGCGTCGTCGTCGAGCGGCACATGCGCCAGCTTCACGCCCTCCGGCTTCGGGTCCAGGATGCGGTTGCGGTCCGCCCACTTCCTCGCGTCGGCAAGCCTGTGTGCGCTGTCGTTCATGTTCTTCTCCAGTTCCGCGATGCGACGCGCGTTGGCGCGCGGGTCCCGCATCAGCTTCCGCCACTCGCTCTCCATGGCGGTGAAGTCCGGGTCGTCGTCGAGGTTCACGTGCCGCAGCTCCACGTTCTCCGGCTTCGGGTCGAGGATGCGGCCGCGGTCGGCGTTCTTCTTCGCCGCAGCAAGCTCCTCCGCACGCGCACGCAGCGCGTCCTCCACCTGCGCGACCGCAGCGGCGTTGCGCTTCGGATCATCCGCGAGCAGCTTGCGACGCCGCTCCTCCATGTCCCTGAACGGCTTGTCGTCGTCAAGCTCCAGCGCATCGCGCTCGACGCCGCCCACAACGCGCGGCAGGAACTCGTCGCGCTCCTCCTCCTTCGCCTTCTTCGCAAGCTCGTGCGCGCGCTCCTTCATCCGCTCCTCAAGGTCCGCGAGGCGGTGGGCGTTGCGCTCCGGGTCCGCCTTCAGCTTCCGCTGCTCGTCCTCCATCGCAACGTACGCCGGGTCGTCGTCCAGGCCAATGGCGCGCAGCGGCATGTCCTCCACGCTCTCGCCCAGCAGGGCCTCGCGATCCGCCCACTTCTTGTCGTCCGCAAGCTGCCGCGCACGCTCCTTCATCTTCCTCTCCACGTCCGCAATCGCGGCAGCGTTGCGCTTCGGGTCCAACTTCAGATCGCGCCACTGGTCCTCCATCGCAACGTACGCAGCGTCCTCGTCCAGCGGCACATCGTGCAGCGGCACGCCGTTCACGTCCTTGCCAAGCAGGTCCTCGCGCTCAGCCCACTTCACATCGTCCGCGATCTCGTGCGCGCGGGCGTTCATGTTCTTCTCCAGCTCCGCGATGCGCCGCGCGTTGGCGCGCGGGTCCCGCATCAGCTCACGCCACTCGTCCTCCGTCGCCAAGAACTCGGCGTCGTCGTCGAGCGGCACATGCGCCAGCTTCACGCCCTCCGGCTTCGGGTCCAGGATGCGGTTGCGGTCCGCCCACTTCCTCGCGTCGGCAAGCCTGTGTGCGCTGTCGTTCATGTTCTTCTCCAGTTCCGCGATGCGACGCGCGTTGGCGCGCGGGTCCCGCATCAGCTCACGCCACTCGTCCTCCGTCGCCAAGAACTCGGCGTCGTCGTCGAGCGGCACATGCGCCAGCTTCACGCCCTCCGGCTTCGGGTCCAGGATGCGGTTGCGGTCCGCCCACTTCCTCGCGTCGGCAAGCCTGTGTGCGCTGTCGTTCATGTTCTTCTCCAGTTCCGCGATGCGACGCGCGTTGGCGCGCGGGTCCCGCATCAGCTTCCGCCACTCGCTCTCCATGGCGGTGAAGTCCGGGTCGTCGTCGAGGTTCACGTGCCGCAGCTCCACGTTCTCCGGCTTCGGGTCGAGGATGCGGCCGCGGTCGGCGTTCTTCTTCGCCGCAGCAAGCTCCTCCGCACGCGCACGCAGCGCGTCCTCCACCTGCGCGACCGCAGCGGCGTTGCGCTTCGGATCATCCGCGAGCAGCTTGCGACGCCGCTCCTCCATGTCCCTGAACGGCTTGTCGTCGTCAAGCTCCAGCGCATCGCGCTCGACGCCGCCCACAACGCGCGGCAGGAACTCGTCGCGCTCCTCCTCCTTCGCCTTCTTCGCAAGCTCGTGCGCGCGCTCCTTCATCCGCTCCTCAAGGTCCGCGAGGCGGTGGGCGTTGCGCTCCGGGTCCGCCTTCAGCTTCCGCTGCTCGTCCTCCATCGCAACGTACGCCGGGTCGTCGTCCAGGCCAATGGCGCGCAGCGGCATGTCCTCCACGCTCTCGCCCAGCAGGGCCTCGCGATCCGCCCACTTCTTGTCGTCCGCAAGCTGCCGCGCACGCTCCTTCATCTTCCTCTCCACGTCCGCAATCGCGGCAGCGTTGCGCTTCGGGTCCAACTTCAGATCGCGCCACTGGTCCTCCATCGCAACGTACGCAGCGTCCTCGTCCAGCGGCACATCGTGCAGCGGCACGCCGTTCACGTCCTTGCCAAGCAGGTCCTCGCGCTCAGCCCACTTCACATCGTCCGCGATCTCGTGCGCGCGGGCGTTCATGTTCTTCTCCAGCTCCGCGATGCGCCGCGCGTTGGCGCGCGGGTCCCGCATCAGCTCACGCCACTCGTCCTCCGTCGCCAAGAACTCGGCGTCGTCGTCGAGCGGCACATGCGCCAGCTTCACGCCCTCCGGCTTCGGGTCCAGGATGCGGTTGCGGTCCGCCCACTTCCTCGCGTCGGCAAGCCTGTGTGCGCTGTCGTTCATGTTCTTCTCCAGTTCCGCGATGCGACGCGCGTTGGCGCGCGGGTCCCGCATCAGCTCACGCCACTCGTCCTCCGTCGCCAAGAACTCGGCGTCGTCGTCGAGCGGCACATGCGCCAGCTTCACGCCCTCCGGCTTCGGGTCCAGGATGCGGTTGCGGTCCGCCCACTTCCTCGCGTCGGCAAGCCTGTGTGCGCTGTCGTTCATGTTCTTCTCCAGTTCCGCGATGCGACGCGCGTTGGCGCGCGGGTCCCGCATCAGCTTCCGCCACTCGCTCTCCATGGCGGTGAAGTCCGGGTCGTCGTCGAGGTTCACGTGCCGCAGCTCCACGTTCTCCGGCTTCGGGTCGAGGATGCGGCCGCGGTCGGCGTTCTTCTTCGCCGCAGCAAGCTCCTCCGCACGCGCACGCAGCGCGTCCTCCACCTGCGCGACCGCAGCGGCGTTGCGCTTCGGATCATCCGCGAGCAGCTTGCGACGCCGCTCCTCCATGTCCCTGAACGGCTTGTCGTCGTCAAGCTCCAGCGCATCGCGCTCGACGCCGCCCACAACGCGCGGCAGGAACTCGTCGCGCTCCTCCTCCTTCGCCTTCTTCGCAAGCTCGTGCGCGCGCTCCTTCATCCGCTCCTCAAGGTCCGCGAGGCGGTGGGCGTTGCGCTCCGGGTCCGCCTTCAGCTTCCGCTGCTCGTCCTCCATCGCAACGTACGCCGGGTCGTCGTCCAGGCCAATGGCGCGCAGCGGCATGTCCTCCACGCTCTCGCCCAGCAGGGCCTCGCGATCCGCCCACTTCTTGTCGTCCGCAAGCTGCCGCGCACGCTCCTTCATCTTCCTCTCCACGTCCGCAATCGCGGCAGCGTTGCGCTTCGGGTCCAACTTCAGATCGCGCCACTGGTCCTCCATCGCAACGTACGCAGCGTCCTCGTCCAGCGGCACATCGTGCAGCGGCACGCCGCTAACGTCTTTGCCGAGTAGGGCCTCGCGATCCGCCCATTTCTTTTCGGTTGCGAGCTGGAAGGCTATCGCGTTGAGCTGGTCCTCCAGTTCGTGAAGGCGTTTGGTGTGTGAGGAGTCCTCGGAAAGGAGGCGGCGACGCTCGCGTTCCTTGAGTCGGAACTCGTCGTTGATGTCCAGCGGGACTTGGCGGACGTAGACGCCGTCGGGGTGCTGCTGGAGGTAGTCCTCGCGCTCTTTCCACTTCTTGTCCTCCGCGATTTGGCGCAGCCGATCGTTTACGGCGGTCTCTAGCGCGTGCTGCTGTGGCGCCCCTCGGCTTTTCGCTCTCTCTGCTGCGCGAATTGCCTCCCAGAAGGGTTCGTCTTTGCCGACGGCGGGGAGGGTTTCCAACGGCATGCTCGCCGGGTTGGTGTCGAGGTAAGGATAGCGGCGCGCCAGCTCGTGGGCTGCCAGCACGTTGACGCGCTCCTGCATCTCGTCTTGAAGGGCCTCGATGGCAGCCGGCGAGGCATGCGCCGCCATGACCTTCTTCAATTCGGCCTCCTTTTGCAAGAACGGCGTGTCGCCATCCACGTTGAGCTCTTCGATCGGAATGCCAAACGGCTTGGGGTCCAGGAAGGAGCGAAGTGCCTGCGCGCGCTGCCGCTTAAGCTCGGCGTTTCGCTTGGACAGCGCCTCCTTTAAATCATCAATCTGGTCCTTCTTGCCTTGTGGGTCTTCGGACATGAGCGCAATGAGCTTGTCCTCCATGTCGCGGTAAGGGGCGTCGCTCATCAACGACGGACTGCCCGCTCGGTCGCCAGTGATGTCGGCACGCAGGTTCTCTAAGAAATCCTTCGCAAGCTGCTCCACGCGCGCGTTCAGCTTTACCTCGTTCGCTGCGATCGCCCTGGGGTCGGGTTTAGGCATGCTCAGCAGATCCATGTGCTCCGCCTCAAGGCGCCGCATGGTGGGGTCGCCGTCGAGGTCGAGAAGTTCTACCGGAATGCCGCGGGGCGAACCGTAGCGCGCCTTCCGGTCCCGGTTCACTATTTCCTTGGCGAGCTCCGCCGCGCGGGCGTTGATCTTGTCCTCAACGGCGCGGATCGCAGCGGCATTTTTGCCGGGGTCATGGCGGAGTCGTGCGCGCTGCGCCTCCCACTCGGCGATCTGAGCATCGTCGTCCAGCGGCAGCTCCTCCGTCGGCTTCCCGTAGTAGCTCGGCTTCAGGTACCGCGGCCGCTCGTCGCGGTTCATCTGCTTTGCCATCTCGTCTGCCTGCACGTTGAGTTTGTCCTCGATGTCGGCGATCTTGGCCATGTCTGGCTTCGGCACTTTCAGCAGGTCGCGACGATCGCGCTCCAGCTGCAGAAAGCCGTCATTATTGTTGAGGGGCAAGTCGTCGATGAGGCGGCCGTTGTGGTCACGTGCGAGGTAGCCGGGGCGCTGCTTTGCGAGCAGCTCGGCCGCCATCTTCTCTGCCATATCGTTCAACTCGTCCTCCAGCGCAGCGATGACGCGGGCATTTGGACGCGGGCTCTTCATCTGCTCCTGCCGCGCCGCCTCCTTCAACACAAAGCCGCGGTTGGCGTCCAGCGGCAGCTCGTCGTTGGCGACGTGGAGGTGTTCCGGCTTAAGGTAGTCACGGTTTTCGGCGAGTTTCTGGCGGGCTAGCTCCTCCGCGCGTGCGTTCATCGCGTCCTCCAGCTTGCGGGTCTTGGCGGCGTCCGGTGCGTCCTTCGCCCGCTCGCGCAGCCGCTCCACCTCCAGCGCGTGGAACCGCGGGTCCTCGTCCAGTGGAAGGTCACCGACGGGGATGCCGAGGGGCATGGGATTCAGGAAGCGCTCCCGCTCGTCATCCTTCAACTCCCTAGCCATCTCGCGCGCACGGTCGTTCAGCTTGTCCTGTAGCTTGACGATCTCGTTGTGATTCTTTCGAGGGTCCTTCATCGCCGTCCGAAGGTCGTGTTCAAGCTTTGTGAAGGGTACGTCCTCGTTCAGGGGTAGCAGCTCCAGCGGCACGCCCTCCGGTTGGGGGTCCAAGAAAGCGCGCTCGCGCTTGTGCATGTCGTCGGCCATTTTGGCTGCCAAGTCGTGCATCGAGTTCTCCAGACCGAGAATGCGCGACGCGTTCTCGGACGGGTGCCGCTTGAGGGCTTCGCGCTCCTGTGCCTTGTGCATCAACGCCGGGTTCTCCTTGAGCGGGATGTCCTCCTTCGGCACGCCTTCGTAGAAGGAGTTGAGGAACGACAGACTCGGTGTTTTGGTGCTCGGCGCCTCCGCCTCCCGCAATGCGGGTGCAGCACGGGGCGCCTTGGCCGGCTGCTGGACTGTGTTGACGGCCGGCTTCGCTGCCACGACCGGCTCGACGGCGCGGATGTGCCGATCGGGGTTCATGACGTCGTCCATGTTCACCGGCTGCACGGGCGGCTCCTCCGCAAAGTCGTCGAAACTCGGCGCGTTCTCGCTGGCGTCGGTGATGCGCACCCGCGCCGCCTCCACGCCCACAATTTCCACCCGGCACTTCACCTCGTCGTCCTTCGCCACCGGGCAGGTCAGCGACAGCACGTAGTGGCCTGCGGCGGGGAGGTGCGTCACCAGGCCAATCTCCTTCAAGTTCGACGCCGACGACACACGCGCGACCTGCTGATTCGCGTCATCATAGAGGTACATGCCCACGAAGTTTTCGGTGCGCACGTCGTTGCCGCCCTTCGAGTCCTGGTTCCACTGCGACAGCAGAATGTGTGCGTCGGTCGGCACATCCACGAGGAAGTCCACGCGATCTTTGCCTTGTGGCTGCATCGTGACGTGCTTCACCGCGGGCAGGCCATGCGCGACGTCCGTCTTGAGCCGGGCGATGCTCACCGCGCGTGCATCCGCAGGCTTCTTGTACCAGTACGACAGCATGAAGATGCTCTTCTCGTGGTACATCGCGGTGGGCACAAGGTAGCAGAGAGAGTGCGCCGGGATGGCAATGAAGTTGGCGACCTCGCGGTAGTTCAAGAAGACGCCTTTATGCGCGATGCGGTGGTTGTTGTGCGTGACGAGGTACGTGGGGATGGAGCTGTTCTCCATGCTCTGCGCCAGTAGCAGGTCGCAGCGTACGTAGTTCAGCTCCGCCAGTAGGTGGAACTGGTGGCGCTTGTCGGGCTGCCGTATCATGCCCACAATCTCCACCGGCGCCTCGCTCGCGTTGCGCACCACGTAAAGCGGGTTCTGCCGCCACGTCAGCAGCGACGGGTTGCCGCCGTTCGTGCCCTCCCCCCACTCGCTGTTGAAGTTCCAACACGGCTCCACAAGCCCGCTCAGATGCGCCTGGGAAAGGGTGAAAAAGTTGGCGGCAAAGACGTCGGCCGGGACGTAGATCGTGCTGTTCGAGGGTTGATGGCCCTGCAGCTGCGGCGCGGCCCACCGGCGATCCCCTCTATTCGCCATCGGACCCGAGTAGGTGTTCGCGGCGTAGGGGTTGTGCAGCTGGACGACGACGTCTGCGAGGGACTGCGGCTGCGCGGTTGTCGGAATGATGTCGAGGACGCCGTAGAACTGCTGTGCGTTGACGCCGAGACGGTCCGCCTCATCGGAGCTCTGCGCGGACATGGCGGTGTTCGGCAGCTCGTCGCGCAACTGCATCCAGAAGGCGGGCGAAGCCACGTCGAAGCCGGCCGACCGCGCCGTCACCGGATCCAGTGGGACGTTAATGACGGGGCAGCCAGAGAAGTCGTGGTAGACCTCTGCGAGGGAGCAGCCCTCCAGGTTGTCATACAACTTGTAGAACTTCGCATAGGCCTTCTCCAGCAGCAGCGGCCACCAGTGGTGCGTCGGGGAGCGGCAGAAGAGGGTGTCACCCTTGATCATCGGAATGCGGTCGTCGATCTCCACCTTCACCCACTGGCCGTAGCGGTGGAACTGGAAGGTGTAGCGGCCGTCCTTGCGCGGCTTCTTCGAGATGAAGCAGTTGCGAATGACGTCGGGGTGCTTTGCAATCAGGGTGGCAAAGCCAATGAGAGTCCTGCACTCCGGGACAGTGCCCTGCTCGAACTGATCGCGGCTCAGCACATCCGGCAGCAGCGGCTTTGTCTTGCCTTTGGGGTAGAGGTCGCCGATGTGCACCCACGGCTCGGACGTGAGGTCGCGGTTGTCCAGCATGAAAGCGCGATCCTCGAAGGGTACGCTGCTGTCCGGCACCTCGTGCACATCGCTCGCCGGCGTCGTGAAAGGGAAGTAGTCGATGCGGGCAGCCTTAGTGTTCTCCGAGTCTTCCTCCACCACCTCCAGCTCATCGGGCAGCATCCCCGCATCCGCCGGCGTCTCCACACGGCGGACGTGCGAGGTAGCGGATGAGACGATTGTCACGACGGCCGGTACGCTGCCTTTGCCACGCGGGCAGGTGAGGGAGAGAGCGTAGCGGCCGCTGCGGGGAAGGTGGTGAATGATGCTCGTTTCACGGAAGTTGGTGGCGGCGTGCACGCCGGCGATCTTGCGGTCCGTGTCGTCGTAGAGGTACATGCCCATGTAGTCTTGTGCCATGGCGTCGCCGCCCGTCTTGGGGCTGATGTAGGGCTTCGTCTGGTGCATGAGGATGTGCACGTCGGTCTCCTCGTCCACGTAGAAGTCGAGCCGATCCTTGGTGCGCATCTGCAGCTCCACGTTTCCGTACGCCGGGTTCCGCCAGTCCATCTTGGGAATGTCTAGCTTCCTCATCGTGATTTGGCTGTAGTTTTCGTGCGCCATGCGGTACACGGCGAGCAGGAAAGGTGCCTCCTCGCCCTTGTGCATGCACGAGGGGACGAGGTAGCAGAGAGACTGAGGGGGAATGGTGACGCTGTTCGCCACCTCACGCGAGTTGAGGAAGAGACTCTTGTGAATGGGCTTGTGGTTGTTGCCGGTGACCCAGAAGGTGGGGATGGGGTACAGATAGGAGTACTGCGAGAGAATCATGCCGCACTGCATGTAGGTCGTTTCCTCCTCCGGGCCCTTCAGGTGGCGCTGGTCCTTCTGCTTCACGACAAAGGAAAGCGTGACCGCCTCGGTGCCGTGGTTGCTTATGTAGTACAGTGGGTTCTTGCGCCACGTGACGAAGGTGGGATTGCCGCCGGCGCTCTCGCCCTTCCACTCGTCCTCAAAGTACGTCGCGTCAGCTTCGAAGGTGCTGACGTAGCACAGTTGCATGGAGTTGACGATCCTAAGAAAGGTGTTGAGCGGCAGGAATATGGAGCGAGGGTTGTCCACATCATACTTCGCGCGCTGCTTCGCCGTCCATGCCACATCATTCCGGTTGAGGGGGCCGGTGTAGATGAACTCGTCGTCCTCCAAAGGGTTGTGCATGTGCACTACGATATCGTCTACCGCAGAGGTACCGCTGAGGGAAAATACATCCAGTATGCCGTACTGCTGCTCCCGCTGCAGGCCCATGTTCTCTACCTCCACGTCTTTTGTAAGAGCAGACGCGACGAACTGTCCAGACTGGATGCGCTGGGCGAGGTCCAGCCAGTAGCGGCCCTCCAGGATGTTGCAGCTCGCTGCCTTGGCCAGCTTCGGATCCATGGGGATGTTCAGAACCGGGTTGCCGGTCAAATCATGGAAAGTTTCTTGTAGCGTGCAGCCTTCAAGGTGATCGTAGGCGGTGTAGAACTTCGCGTAGGCCTTCTCCAGCAGCAACGGCCACCAGTGCTCCGTGGGGGAGCGGCAGTAGAGCACCTCGCCTTCCTCCATCGCGATTTTGTCATCGATTTCCACCTTTACCCACTCTTTCCCGCGGAAGAACTGGAAGGTGTAGCGGCCGTCCTCGCGCACCTTCTTCGACACAAAGCAGCTACGAATCACATCGGGGAAACGGATCAGCGTCGACAACGCCGAGAGCATGAAGCACTCATAGTGGTTACCCTGACCGAACTGTTCGCGCGAGAAGGTCTCAGGCAGCAGCGGCTGATTGACCCCGCTCGGGTAGATGTCTTTGATGCGCTTCCACTGATCAGCGATGTCCCCGTTGTTCTTTGTAAACTCCGTGTCCACAAACACATGTCCGCTGTCGGGGACTTCACTAAATGAGGACGGCATTTTCAGACACCGATTTGGCAGAGCGTTCCTGTACGTTTCACGCCCAAATCACCGTGAGCGCGGCTTCGTCTATGCACGGAAATGCGTGATGGTCCTCGCGCTTCGGACACAGCAAGGGAGAGCACGCAACGAAGATGGATGTAGATTTAAGAAATGAGGCCGAGAGATGCCCCTCTAATGAACCTTTCTTTTGAACAGTGAAGAAACAAACAAAAAAAAAGAGAGGTAACGTGAAAGAAAGAAAGAGAAAATAACAATGCTGAGATACGCCGTGGACGAAGAACAAAAGAGGCCGACACAGTTACAAGAAGGACAACCAAATTCAACGTAGTAACACGCCTAAAAAAAATGCCACTTCTAGTAGAAACGCGGTAAAACGAGGGAACACCGCGCGTGTACAAAATAAATAAATAGCGCCTGCTCGGTGCTGCCGTTGCGGTGGCCAATCGACGCGCTCTACCTGTCTCGCTGAGGGATGAGAAACAGGAGGTGGAGTGAGGAGCTCCAAAGACGCGGTCACGGCAACCAAAAGCAGGCGAAAACTATAAACAACGAGAGTGCGTGTGAGGGAAAGGAAAGCACTACGATGAAGCAGAAGAGCGCGATTGTGGAATCCAAACGTGGAACACCTCGACTTCAGGAAGAGGAACGAAGAAAAAAACTATGGAGGAAAGAGTGAAGATGAAAAGCGAAAAGAGAAGACGGGAGTCGCTCTTTTCAGGCTTCTTTCTCGATCACTCAATTTCCTTCTCTCCTCCTCTGCGCGCTTGCCTTTTGGCGCTTCTTCTGCAATACACTTCTGTACTGCACAAGGGGAAAAACAAAAACCTGTAATGCGCGCGTGTGTGTGTGTGGATGCCTGATGGTGATGGGAGCAAGGGAAACTCCATTAACAACCGAAGCAGCAGAAGACAAAAAAACAACGAGGGGCCGGCAAGCTGTGAGATCGGCAGAGGTGCGGAGGAAGGGTGTGAGACGAAGAGGAGAAGCGCTGCAAAGAAGCGAAGAGCGGTGGTGGGGGAATCTTCAGGAGTTGGCGGAGCAAATCGCCAAAACGATGCCCGAACAGTTGAACGCCTCGCAAAAAAAAAAAGGCGCGGCAACACCCACAATGCGGCGAATCTCAACTCTGCTATTCGACCGGTCTTCTCTTCAAAATGCTACGGAAAGAAAAAAGGAAGACGTTCAGCGAAGTACGTTAGCGTCGCTGTCTACGTACTTTGCGAAGATTTTCCACGATGTGCTTTCGCTGGTGTGATGATGACAGTCGATGTTGTTGTTGTTTTGCAGATCTTTGGGTGCGTTCTAAACGACTTCCTCGTCTAACCATCATTGGGTTTTTTTCCAGTCCACAAATTCAACACCGCGTCCCCGCGCAGGTGAGGTGAAGAAAGAACGAGAAAGAGAGAGAGAAAGAAAATAAGACAATAAACGAAAGCGTCATTCAAAGAGGAGATCAGCGTTGAACCTACGCATGGCACTCCACTTCTCCCGTCGTGTGGAAAGTTGATTCTGCGGAGGATATCAAAACAGCGCACAAAACGCGGCAGCCCGGCTTCAAAATGGGGGGCGGACGAAGCAATCTTCACGTGGTGAGTTGATCAGAAGCTTAAGAACTGCTCAATAAAATGCTTCGTCGCCACAGCAAGGAGAGCAGTAAAGAGGGAGTGTTGTCTTTCGATGCGGAGATGCCATCCAATATGAATTGATAACCTTTTTTTTTTTCTTCGGAGGAGGGTTGGGAGTTGGCTGCTTTGTATTTCAGTTCTGGCTTCAGCTTACACGTGTTTTAATTACAGTGTCCTTCATTCACACGATGAAAGGCGCATTTGATTTATTTAACCGATTGGTTTTGTTGCCCATTTTTTGGTTGTCAAGCCCAACGACGTAGAAACAGGAGACGCACGAAGATGACGACGCGTTTAAAGCTCGCACGCCCAACGTGCCAGTAGGAACCGCCGTGGGACCCGCATCACGCCTCGCTGGAAGAAGCATCACTGTCGTCTGTTTCTGCTTCCTCGCCCTCATCCTCGTCGTCGTTGAAGTGGCGGAGGGGAGGGAGGTCCTCGAGTCGCACAACGCCTTTCCGCAGGCCCTCCTGCAGCGCTGCCGGAAGCGAGTAAGGACTGAGCAGGGAGTCCTCGGATGCAGCAGCCGTTGCAGCGGTGTGCTTCCCTTTGTGCACCATCGCCTCTAGCTCCGCTCCCGAGTCGTCGTCCTCAGAAGAGTCAATGTGACGCCCCCGCTTGCGTGCGCGCTGCCGGCACAGGTCAATCACCTCCTGCGACGCCTCGTCATCGTCAATGCCGCTGCAGCTACGCGTGCGGATTGGAAAGCGCCGCGGCACACGCGACAGCACCACCGGCACCAAAAAGCACTCCACCGCATTCCGCAGCAGCGAGTAGCCGCCCTGCAGCCACTGCACAAAAACGTGTGGAGTGGCCGGGCCAGCTGGGTCGGAGGGGAGGCGAATGAGAACGGTGAGGAGCGCGTCGGCGGCCCGCACCTCGTTCGTCTCCATCTCTCGCAGCGTCGCTGCCGTCAGCGTGGGTCGCTTGCGGATGCGCACGGCGCGACCCTCCCGTACAGGTGTGTAGAAGGTCCCCTCTGGCAGCGGCATCACTGCTGCTTTGCTGCCTGCCTCCTGCGCATTGGTACGTGAGGTAGAGGTGGGCAACTCACTACTACTAGCAGTGGTGGTCGTTGCGTTCATAGGTGAAGCCCCCGTCATAAGTCTACCATTGCTCGTTGCTCCGTCGACCTGCCGCTCCACCAGCAGCGGGAGTCCACTGCTGCCAGCCAGCTTGGACCACCCCCACACATACCGGCCCTCTTCCACAAAGATGAGATCGTAGGTGGCGATGTGAGGCGCAAAAGCCTCTGCGGCCGGCAGGTACAGGAGAACGTACTGCTCCTGCGTGAACGGGTCGGTTGCCCGGCCAAATGCCTCGACACACTGCCCAAAAGGAATCTCACCGACTACGTCCGCGTAGCGGTGCGGAAAGCGACGCACACGTATCGTCTTCTCCTGCCGCGCCGGATGGTAGACGCGGTAGAAGGGCTTCACCTCGTCATAGAGGCCCACACCGCCATCCGCCCAGCGCACGTACTGCCGGTTCATTGAAATCGCATCTGCTTCTCTCACATCACCCGCGTACATGGGCGGCGCCTCCTCTCCCTCCTCATCGCTGTCGCTCGTCACATTATCGGCACGACGTGTGTGGTGGAAGCTCGGAAAGTACGTCACAGCCGTGCCTTGACGCACGTAGCCCTTCAGCTCATGCCAGCGCCGGTGAAGAAGGGGCTGCCACTCCGCCTCGTCGGCGGCCGCGGCGGGCGTCGCTGCGAAGCTGCCGCACAGCCGCCAGTGCGCCGCCGGCAGAACGGGCAGTGCGCGCGGCTCCGCCTCAGCAGTCAGCGGTAACGCCCGCCGCTTTGGGTGCAGTGCCGTCGTCAGAGTTTGACGCACGACATCGACGGCGCACTCCGGCGGTGCGAGCAGCAGCGCCACGTGCGTGTCGCGAGACAGTTCCCACCTCCCCAGCGACAGCACAGCTGTGCGCGAGGGACACCTTCGCGGCGGCAGCGGCGACGGCTGGGTAGATGTGCAGGAGACGAAACCCAGTGGCACCGGCACCGCGACGGCGTAGAAGTCGTCCGCGAAGCTGCGCCCGTGCCGTGGCACCGTGAGCGCCCACACCACAAAAGTGGACACCTTCTCTGGGGAAGACGGAGGGGGTAGCAGCTTCACCTCGATCGAGGCGACGATCGTGCGGTGGCGCAGTGCAAGCAGGACGCACACGCCGGTCTCCTCGACCATAAACGAAGAGGAGGTTGTGGCCATTTCCGTGATGATGGTGTGTGCGTGTAACGGTGTGTGCTGCGCACGTCGTTGAATGGCCTTATCCGTTAATTATAAACACCCACAAATTGGTACTGGCGTAGACAGAAAAAAACGAAACAGTACTCCGCTGCTTTTGCAGCCGACACGTCACGGCAGCTCCGGCAAAGACTTTTCTGCACCCGATGGGCAGCGGGGGACCGGCCGAAGGGAGCAAACGAGAGGGGAGAGAAAAGGGTGTGTGTGAATTGGGGAAGATAAGGAGGGGGAAAAACACTGCAACAAGACCGCAACGGCGTCGCAGGACAGTATCACGGTGGAGAGGGTTTTCCACACACACACACGCACATGCATACCTACGGGCACCGTGTACCTCCACCGCCGGTGCATCGAGGGCTACGTGGGTGCGTTTGAGAATTGTGCACGAGGAAAGAGTCGTGATCACGTGAAGGACTCCAGCATAGGAGAAGGCAAGCTGCAGTCGGCTGCCGCGATGATCGTACTCTTCAACACTCAGCCCGCGCAGCGTCTGACGGAAAAGCTTCAATTCTCATCCTCTCGCTCATCAACGACTCGAATGCATGAAGGTGCTTCTTTTCGTCGTTGTTACCAAAGCGATTAACCTCAATGCAAAAGCATTCAAAGAGTAGTACATTTTCCTGCTGCCTCTTCCCTCACCGAGTGGGGAGCGTATCCTTTTCTATTTTGCAGCGGAGTACAGCACAGCCTGCGCTGGCGTACTTTAAGAACAATAGCTATTAAATATATATATATAAAGAAGAAAAGGAGCTTTCGCGTTGCTGTTTTGTTTTTGAGATGCACACCGCAAACTGAGATGGAAGGACGTTAGTGGCAGCGTGTGTTGAATTAGCGGGGCCGCAACACTTGCGGTCACAAAAGCTAACAGAATTGATTGAGAAAAAAAGAAAAAAACGCTCAGCTTTGTCCTCCTGCCGCTCCAAGTTGGTCCTCGGACAAACAACTGCCATCGCAGTAACTGTGGTAAGGGGTACTGTTTCCTCCTCTTTCTTGGATGAGGAAATAGAAATCTTTTTGTCCTCTTGAAGAGAGAACGTGGATCCAGCAGAGCAAGCACAGCGTCCTTCCTCTGTTCATCGTGCAGGACATCACCTCCCATCTGACTTATTTTACTTCCGAATTCTTATCGCCGTAAGCTGCAGCCCTTGCCTGCGCACGCGTCAACTGGACGGCTGCGAAGCTTCTTTTTTTATATTACCGTTCGCGTGCCCTTTGGGTCGCCTGAGACGCAGAGCAAGACGTTGATAGCGGAGCAACGCTACTCAACACAGAACGCAATGGCCGATAGCGGTGCCCACGGCTATACCTTTTCTATTGAATAGATGACGCAGAAAGTCGCCCACGCATCCACAGCGCAAAGAAAAGAAACAGGCGAGCAAAACGGTCTTGGTGTCCCGTCGACGGCAAAAAGCGAAATGCGGTCACGGTGCGCGGAGGTGTCCGCAACGACCGAGAGAGCAACGCAATAAAGGCAGAGAGCTGCGAAAGCAAGAGTGCACGAACAACAGAAGAACTCCGACGAAGACACCTGCAGCAGACTCGAAACGCGGATCGCCGCACACGCATGTAAAAATACAGACAAGCCCACAACCGCTTCATGCACATAGCAAACACTTTAGAAACAGTGTTCATCATGGTGACTCATTACAGACCCCCGAGTGCGACAGCCCAGTCGTTTTTTTTTCTTCTTCTTTTGGCGCGATCCTTCGTTGTCGTTGTGACAACTACCAAGAAGAGGGAATTACGGAAAAGTGGCTCAAGAAAAATGCCAGACGGCAACTAATAATGACTAAGTTCAAAGTAAACGTTTTGGTGTGCAGAATGGTCCTCCCTGCGCACGGAGTGAACTGCAACTCAAACACACCCACGGTTTTCAGCAGACGGGACGCAAGTACGCCACAGCAGAAGCACTAGAAAACTAATTAAAAATTACCTAAGTTAGTCACGTAGACATAATGAAAAATAACAAAAGAGAGGGTTTTGACAAGGGTAACCAAAAGTACTCGAGGTGTACACGCCACAGAAGGGAGACAAAAACAAACAACACCCACGGAATGTGTGCTTCACTTTCGCACAAGGAAAGGTAGAGGCATAGGCGTTCAACAAAACAAAAAGATAGTGAGCAGCAGAAAGAAGACGATAGAGTGACTAGGGACGGCTGTGCATCACACACGTTCACGCAGTCGGCGCAGTCCACTCACGCAAACAGACCTTCATCGATGACAAAATGAATCATTTATATAATGATGGCCTTGCGCAAAGACACACGTGACGAAATGCGGGTTATTCGTGGAAAAAAAAAGGGTTAAAAGACTCAGCAAAGTAAGAAGGTAGATTTAAGGTACTAAAATTACACTTAAACCGTCTTATCATCCGTCTCGACGCGCTCGCCAATTTTGACGGTGTTGGTCACCTTCTCGACGGACCACTTGCCGCCGTGGGAGATCTTGAGGATGTTCGTGTGGTGCCGAATGACGACGTCGCGGTGGGTGACGGAGATCATGCGCACCTTAAGACGGCGCAGGTGGTTGAGGACGTCCTGCTCCGTGTCGTCCATCATCGACGTCGCCTCGTCGAGAATCGCGACCGGCGTCTCGCGGCTGCGATCCATGCATAAGATGTGAAAGAACACGCGTGCCATGCTGATGCGCTCTTTCTGGCCACCGCTGAGGCTAGACCAGTCGTAGGACTCGTCGACGTCGTCGAGGTCTAGGCCCATGACGGGGCTCTCGTATCCCCGAATCACGTTCACCACCGTCTGCGCACCGGCCAGCTCGATCGCCTCCACCACCGCCTTCCGAATCCGCTGGGTGGGCACCTTCACTGGCTTCGGGAAGGCGAGCTGCTCATACAAGGTGCATTGCGGCGCCATGTAACTGTGCTGCGGCGCTAAGAGAAAGCGCACCGAGTCGTCCTGTGCGAGCAGACCCGTCTTGGGCATCCACAAGCCGCACAGCATGCGCAGCAGCGACGTCTTACCGCAGCCATTCTCGCCGATGAGAACCCAATCCTCGTCGCTCATGAAGTTCACGCTCATGCCCTCGAAGAGAGGTTGGCCCGTAGGGGACTCCAGCACGACGTTCTCCATCTTGACGAGGGGAAAGACCTCGGCGCCCTTAACGTGGGTGATGCGCTCGACCGGTGTGTACTCGATGGGCGTGTTGGGCCGCGGCTCGTCCCCGATCGTCGGGGCCTCGCGAATGAAGGTGCCCGCGGCGATGCTCTGCAGCGTCGTGTCGAACGCGGCCATCTTGGTGGCGAACTCGGTCAGATGAGACAGCTCGCGGAAGTTCACGACGAAGTCCTTCACGCTCGAGTTGAGGTCCTCGATGAGCTGAATCTCGAGGTACACGTCGTTGACGGAGCGGTGGAAGTAGGTCTTGCGGGAGCTGCCAAAGGTGACGATGTGCGCCATGACGGTCATGAAGGTGGAGAAGGTTGTCTCCAGCATCTCAAAGTTGCCTTTGGCGAGGGCCATGTGGTCTAGCGTGTACTTCAGCTTCGCCAGCGACACGTCGAGGCGCCTACGAGTGTAGAGGCCCGCGTTGTGCATCGCGATGTTCTCCACGTCGTTCATGTCGTTCGTCAGCATGCGGCGGTAGTCGTCCTCGAGGGAGAGCAGTCGGGAATGAATCCGGCCAAACGCCGGGGAGAGGGCGCGCAGGACCAGCACGGCCACCGTGGTGATGCCGCTCATAATGAGCGCGGGGCGCAGGCCTGCCTGCTGCACCAGCGCCGTCATGGAGGTCGCGCATTCCAAACCAGGAAGGACAAAGTAATACGGCAGCTCCGCAAAGTGCTCCGCAAACTCACCGCAGTAGGTCGCAATGACCGTGTCGGCCGCCTCTAGTCGGTTGTCCAGCACCGTCGCTTGGTAGTAGACGAGGTGCTTGTAGAAGCGTCGCTGGAAAGTGTGGCAAAGGCGCTCACGGTAGCATCCAATGAGCCACGGGCGAAGGCCCTCGATGACGCCGCTCGTCATGGCAGACGCAAGACCCACAGCTGTGCGAATGAGGATCTTGTGCACGAAGCGGTAGAGCCGCTGCGAGATGGCGCCGTGCAGCATTGTGGCGAGTACCTCGCCGTTCGCCTTCGACACCCACACCCGTAGCACCGCCTTCACAACGAAGAGCAGAATGAAGATGGTCGTGCCGGCAAACTCGCGGCAGCGCCACGTCGGGAGGGCGATGCGGGCAATTTGAAAAAAGTTGCCAAACAGCGACCATGTCACCCGCGTGTCGTCCTCGGTGTGCACCTGGCGAATGGACTTGCCAAAGATGCGGAGGTAGTAACGCTGCGCTAAGAAGGACAGCAAAAATGCGGCGGACGTCCCAAGCACACCGAAGCGCTCCATCAGTGGCACGCTGCTGAGTGCCACGGACACGGAACTCATCGTCCGCTGACGGCTACGAATGTACGGCATTTGTGAGGAGTGCCGCTACACTGGACAAGATACAGACAATGCTTGAAAAAAAAAAAGGGACGGAGAGGCGTCGATGGCTGTTTCTTTGTATCGTTCTTTTGAAATACAACAATTAAAGAGCTATTTGAAAGGGTAGTTCTTTCCCCGCACTTCAGCAACGGACTTTGCAAACGCCGCAAAAAATACAGAAAGAAAGAGAGAAGCGGGAGAGAAACTGACAGACAAATACAAACGCCAGGTCAGTGGCCGCGTGAACGTGTGCGTAGCTTTATTGTCTCGAAAGGCAACTATCAATGCTGTGCAACGAGTTGCTGCAAACCGAGGAAGAGAACGGGAAAAAGAAAGAGTTCAGTTAACTTAAGTGAGTTTTTGTCTAAGAATGCTTAAAAGAAAAAAAGAACGACGACGAAGAGGAAAGAAGCCCACGGGTGACGCTAAATCGGCAGTTCGTTTGATTCTTCTGCTTTTCTCCCCCCTCCGTGAAGGCGTTCGTCAGTTGTGTCGCCGGTGCACTGGCAGACCCACACAGACGCAAACAAGCAGATCAACACCAATCCAAAAAGAGACAGAAAAGGGGCAGCGGCAAAAGTACCATTGACGCAAAGCACATCGTGGCACAGGAGAGAGAGAGAGAACATTTGTATTAGTTTTTCCTCTTCGTCGAAAGGAGCTTTCACTTGTCGAAAACTGCAGTCTTCTTATCTGAACCTGAGGAGTTGGACCGACTATCGTTGTCGCACCCATTGCTGAAGTGGGTCGTTCATCGTTGGCGTCCAGCGCACAGGGAGCGAAAAGGACGCGCGACAATAACATCAATTACGTGGTAATTCCTCTCAGCTGTTGTTCTTGTTGTTGTTGTTGTTTTGCTAGTTTTGGTAAGGCAATGCTCTTCACATGGGCTTCAGCGCAACGCAGGTTCTCTCCGTCCTCACGGCGAGAGCTCGAGCGGTGCCGATATCGTGTTGTTCAACGGCGCCGGGCTCGAAAAAAGATCACTCGACGACGACGGGGTGCGGAGGAAGGCGTCGTACGGCGTCGTCGGTTTTGTGGCATCGTAGTTGCGTGGAGTGAGCGGGGGAGCGCCGGGCTCCTCCTCATCCTCCTCCGTGCTGTGGCGGCCATCCAGCGGCGTCGCGTAGCCCTCCGTGCTCGCCTGATCCGCCGAGATGGAGCTGCAGATGCTGTGCGCATCCACCGTCGTTCCTTCAAAGGCGAGCGGATTGCGCAGGCTGTGACCGGACTCCGCCAATGCGGCCGCCAGCGTCGTGGTGGTTGACGGAACAGGAACCGCTGCAAACGACGTCATCGGCAATGGAGGCGGTGCTGCCATAACGCCGGTGTGATTGGACGTCGTAGTGGTAGTCGCTCTCGGAGCGGCCGGCGCAGGACGTGTGCGCGGCGAGCGATTCTGCCGAGGCGTAGGCGACGCAGCGGTCGCAGCGGGCACTGCGTTCTTCTTGGGGTCACCGCTGGAGAGGCCAGGCGACGCGGGCGATCGGCGCTTTGCGGGACGGCCGTCGTTGCTGCTGAGCTCTCGCTGCTTGGCGCTGCTGACGTCACCACTGCCGCCCCGGTTGGCGGCCGGCTTCTTCGAGCTTGTGTGCTCCTTCTTTGCGGAGCGCAGCTGCCGGTTGGCGGCCACCCGCCGCGCCTCCGGGCTGAGGGGAGACTGCATCTCTGCAATGCACTGCAGCCGGCGCTGGTTCTCAATGCCGGCGTCCTTCTCCGCCGTATCGAGGTCCATGTAGCACAGCTTCGTCGCGCGGCTCGCGGACTCGATGGTGCCGACGGTTTTGTAGTACTGCTCGCAAATGGTGGGGAGGAGTCGGGTGTAGTTGGACAGCAAGCTGGCCAGCGGTGTGTACTTCTCCAGTGACGGGTCCGGCACGCGCGACGCAGCACCTGTGGCGGCGGCGGCGATGGAGGAGTAGGGGACGCTCGGGGAAGGCGCAGACGTGGAGGCCCCGAGCGATGGCGTACAACACGGGTGATGGGGCGGGCTGCTGCTCTGCGTGTCGCACAGCACACCGTTGTGCGACCGCTCCAGATGGCCCTCTCCGCGCGTGAAAGGAGTGTGAAGTTCACCTTGAGGCGGAGAGCGGAGCTTCAAGGGAGACGACGCCGATCCTGTGCCGCTGCCGTTAGGCGTGCGAGAAAACGGTTCACCGCCGTGTCCACCGCTCTTGCGGGTCAGCGGGGAGCCGGGTGAAGCGTACTCGCGGTGTGCGCTGCTGGACGGTGCGGCCTCGTGCGCTTCTGCCACTGCGGCGCCAGCACCATTGGCGTTTCCGCAGTAGCGGCTCAGCTTCAGTGCAATGAACCGCCAGCACGGATTCCATCGGCTGTGCTCGTCGTGCGTGATGGCGATGCCAAGTTTGATGTCCGCCAGCTCGTGGCCCAGCACCTCGTACTCGTGTCTGTAGTTCATCACGAGATCAAAGAGGGAGTGGAAGGTTACGGGCTTGTACATGAGAGTGCTTTTGCGGCTCAGGCCCAGGGCACCGTACAGCGAGGGCGTAGAGCGGGTGCGTAAAACGAGCACAATGTGGCGGTAGGTGTTGCCGTTCGCTTCTGACTTGAAAGAGAGCGGAATGCGGTCGATGTCGCGGAGGCACTGGGTGAAGTGCAGAGCTAAAAATGTTGCCTCCAGGCAGCGGATCGGCAGCGCCTCTGCGAGTGCCTCCTTCGCCGTCATCAAAATGCTCTGCAGCGACCGATGCTTCTCCAGGGAGAAGAAAGTGCGAGGAAGGTGGTTGTAGGTAAGGATGTTGATCTGCTGCTGAATGTACGGTATCTGCTCTAATGAGGGCCGATCGCGAGGGATGGCAGCCGCGCTCGGCCGCGGCGGGTCTGCTAAGCCTTCAGTGCCATTAAAAGGATTTTGTTGGCTCAGTTGTTCGACAAGGACCGCCACCTTATCAGCCATCTCTGCGTGCACGAACTGGCGTATAGAAGAAAAAAAGAGGATGGTAGCGGATGAGGATGGAGACGAGCCCGCGCCCGCAGGAAGAAAACAGAAAATTACGTGCTCCCAACTCGTCTAGATGATCAACGGTCCAAGTATAAATCTCGTTGGTGGACGCCCACGTACACACTCTAGCTCCACGCTGACGTACTCATGTACTTCTCAGCATTCGGGGGCGTGTGTGTGTGCGTATGTGCCTATGAACGAGCGACCGTGCTCCTGCACTTTCGGCGTTCAGTAAACGAGTGTCAGTTTTTTCAAGGGGCCCAACAGCAACGGAACAAAAAAAAAGGTAGAGCACAGATGCGGTGCAGACTGCACAATGATGTGTGTCGCCGGAAATGGAAAGAAAGAAGGACAACACGACACGCCGCAGTAAACGACAATTGGAGAAGCAATTCAATACGTAGCGGCTCTTACAAAGCGATGTGGCACAAACAGATCTCTTTTCGGACACAACAGAACGTCCTCCGGGGTAGAAATTGCAAATGAGCAGGCGCACGTCCGGTGTTCTCCGTTGCTATTTTTTCTTTTTTAAGCTACAACAACACGCGACGTGTTCTTCGCCGTCACACCTCAGTGTGCGAAACCGTCTTTCAAAGGGAGGGCATACAAATACCTTTCTTAAATCCTCCAGTGATCAGGCTTCTGTTTTTGCATTTGTCGCTGCTCGTTCTTTATGGAATGATAATAATAATAAAGGGTGTTACTCGGGTTAATTATCACAGAGCTGCTCATAGTCCAACGACGACGAAGGACGAAGAAGCAGAAGCTTGAAAGAAGAGACGATCAGCATCGTCCAAGAAGGAAAACCACAAACTACACACACACACACACACACATATCACAAAGGCAGACACGACAACAACACGCAAACGGAGTAAAGGATAGAAGCAGACGTCGAAATGAATTGCAGCGGCGCTTACATGTACCACTCCAGCGTGTCTGCGTCGTGCTCCTTCTTGCGGAACCACTCGTACTCACCGAACTGGCGATCAAAGGTGCCGGACTGCAGCGACAGGAGACGCAACGTAAAGCGCGGCCCCATCTCCTGCAGCCGCACCGCCTCCAAGCTGTCAAAGATGTAGCGGTGGGTGCGGAGAAAAATGTAGTCGCGCTGGTTGTGGAAGGTCGCCACCGCGCGGCCGGCGTAGTCGCGTGTGGCGGGGAAGAGGCACTCCAGCATCCGGGAAATACGCCGGCCGAGTCGCGTGTCGAAGTTCTTGAAGATCAGCTCGGGGTAGTGCTCCGTGCGCGGCGCCGCGTCCTCCAGCTGGGCGTAGGTGAGGAAGTTGGACACGCGGAAGGTCGCGGTGGGGCCCTCTGGCAGGTGCGATACTATGAGGTTGAACGGCTCCTTTAGGCGGTCCGTCACGACCAGCAGGTCGGTGAACGAACGGTTGGAGCAGTACTGCGTAATTTCCTTCAGCGTGTACGACTTGCGGGGCCGGTAAATGCTGTTCGGGACCAGCCACAACAGCTCCTTCACCATCTGCTTCGTGCGGAAGCACGGGTGCTCGCCTGTGGTGATTAGCGCCTTTGGGTTCTGTCGATCGCGAAAAAAAGCCGCGAACTCGTCGTCCGCCTCGTCGTTGATGATCTCCGCATCGTCTTTGTTTTCAATAATCGTGACATCCTCTTTGCGCAAGCGTTCCTTTGTCTTGGGGGTGGCCTTCACCGGGGCCTTGTCCTTGAGGTGACGGCGCTGGTTCTCACGCGACTCGCGACGCGCGCGCTTCGTGTCTTTCTTTTGCTTCAAGATCTCCGTGAACAGCTGCGATTTTCGAATTGGCTGCCGTGTGTTGCGGAAGCGCTCCATAAGCTCCGGATCGACCTCCTGCGCCTTGCTCTCCAGCTTGTGCTGGCGCTTCGCGTAGGGCCGCGTGCTACGCTTCGAACGTGCGCCTTTGCCCATGTCTAGAAACGAAGAAGTGCAACAAATTTGCTGGTCCGCTTGCCTTGTGGAGGCGCAACACCAGCAGTAGTACCAAAAGCTTTCTTTTCCCTACGCAGTGTTCTGTGCCTGCATGTGTGTATGGCGTCTCTTCTTGTTGTTGCGTGCACGCTCCTTCTCCAGTACGACGTGAGCAGCGGTACCGTGGCTGCGTGCGGCATGAAAGGCACGGTGTGAGACGAGAAAACGGAACGAAAGCCAAAGAAGATCGAAAGAAGACATACGTTTGATGGACGGGCATTACCGATCGCGATGTAGTGACATCACCTGCACACGCACAAGATAATTCCTTGTTATGCTTCTTAGTTTTGCTTTTTGTTTTTGAATTAGAAAAGTTTGTGCATCCACCACGACGTCGATGTCGCCTTCACTTCACCTGGTCGTCAGCGTCTACCGTTGCCCTGCACGCATCCGACACGCCTATCAACAAAAACCTTTGCAAATGGTACCGCCTTCAGCGTTCCCTGGTCGCCTTTTCACGTGCCTCTGGCAGATTCGATGCTGCGTTGTGCCGAAGAAGAAGAGCCGTGCACTCAAATAAAAGGAAAAAAAAACTCAACTACGCAGCTGGTATTTTCGTCCTTTAAACTCGGCCACTTCCTTGAGCTTCGCATTGAGCAACGCGTCGAAGTTGGCCTCGCTCTTGAACTGCTGCATGGACGGGTGCTGCTGGATTTCCGCCTTCGACGACGGCGCGATCGCGAGCACCGAAACGAGAGACCGCTTGAAGAGGTAGTTTGTCGCGTCGCTTGCCGCAGTGGACACAGGTTGCCGCTTTTGCGGAGCTGTCGAATTCGAAGAGGCAGCCTTCACACTGCTGCCACTCGTGCCAGCGCTGGCAGTACCACGAGGAGAGGGCTCGGCGCTGCCGCGGCGCAACTGCTCGTTGGTCCGCTCCTCCACGAGACGATCGCGCTCCCGCTGCAGGCTTTGGTAGTACGGCATATCCCCCGCAAACCCGCCGTCCACGCGGCTGCCGTGCACGACAACGTAGGGGTTAAACGACGAGGACAGTTTCACCAGCTGCATGTCCGCACCTACCGAAATAAGGTCCGAGACAGCGCAGCACTCGCCGAGAGGAACCGCACTCAGCGTCGGACTCAGAAAGAGTTGACGGATGGTGGGCTCCAAGGCAGCCGGCACGACGCCGTTAGTGGGAGTCGGAACAACACGCACGAGGCCCTCGTCAAGGCATTGAACCCACGTGTGCGGCGACACCGCGGCTTCCACGGCGTGTTGCTCCGCCGCTGTAACGCTCTCCAACTTCCGCGGACGGGCACTGAGGAGGAGAAAAAGATTTCGCCTGTGAAGGACACTCATGTACACGCCGGTGCGAAGGTGCACGCAGCATCCGGCTCCGATCGCCGCGTCCACCTCCCGGGCGACGCAGGTCTCCGACATCCCCCAGCTTCGGCAGATCTCGGCAACGTCCGCAAAGAGCGACTGATACTCGGCCCACGCACGGTGCTGATCCACCAACGCCTTCCACCGCTGCCGCACGGCAAGAGTGGAAGAGGGGGAAGAGGATGGCACAGCAGATGGCTTTTGCAAAAGCTCCACCAGACGCCTCAACGGAGCTGCGGCGAGCTGCAGCTGAAGCACCGCAGAGACGGCGTGCGAAAGCTGGTTTACCTCTGCGATCCACGCCGCCGCCTCCACCGCCTCGCCATCTACGCGTGACAGCACCGAGGGCATGGACGGCGCAGAAGCGTCGCGCTCCCGCTTGCGTGTCTGCTCCACTTTGTAGAGGACGGCCTGTCCGGGCAGCGTGGAGTCCCTCAGCAGGTGCAGCCCAGGCTGCGCGGCCTCCCTCGCCAGAATCTCCGACGCACGCGCAATGTCATTCGCGCGCTTCAACGCCGCGGCACCGCCGTCCTCGTCGCACACGATCAGCTGACGCACCACCGCGGCAACCTTGTCCACGTGCTCCTGTGCCGGCCAGACGAGGTGGTTCCCGTGGCGCACAAAACGGCGAAGGCGGTGGTCGTCCCACAGCACCGCGCGTGCCCAACGAAGTTCTTCCAGCCACCGTTCGTGTGCGCGGCGCACCACGTCGTTCGGATCCGTCGATGATTCCACGGCGGTGACGCGCTCTTCTTCGCTGTGGATGTGCAGGAAGCAGCGGCGGCGTGCGCCGTTCTCAACCACGATTTCGGCCGCCCCATTCAAGACACTGTCGCGCAGCTCGGCTGGGATGAGCAGTGGAACCTGCACGTGCGAAGAGGAGAGGGACGCAACAGGACTGGACATAATTTGTGGAGACGTGACGCGTGGAAGCGCCAACGCAAATACATATATATGCGTCTTCTATATTTTGTTGTTTCGAAGGAGCAGTTTCCTGTCCATCGTCACATCAAACACGTAAACGGGAAGAAAAGGAGGTGGCTTAGAACGAGAAGAACAAGAATCGTGTTTACCGCGGCGGCGTCTTTCAGAAAGCCAGATAAAGTGCTGTTCCTCAACACAATCTCATTGCTCAAGCATCAAGACGGTTGCATCGGATCAACCGAATAAGACCTGGAATTCATGCTTCTCAACATGTGTGAGGCACCGCGCACGGGCTCCCTCATCCACAGTAACGCGATTGTCCGAAGAGGACACGTCACCATTAGCCGCTGACAGCATAGAAACGGCAACAGTCTCCAGTCTCCAGTCCTCGCAAGGTAACTATCGAAGCGAAAATGCTTGCAACAGGGATTCACTCCTCTTTCAGAGCCACGTTTGTCTCACGTTTATGGGCAGTATTGGACGGTCTATCTAACGTATATGGCGTTACAGAAATCATGACAGGCAGCGTTGAGAGAGAAAGGAAAACACCTCAGCAAACACACGAAGATAAATGAAAAAGGTGAGCATCTATAGGAGTGGAACAGAAAACAGAAAGCGCGAAACTCCGCCTCAACGAGGGCAACGTCAACGATCTAAAGAAAAAAGAATAATAGTGCAACGACGCGAGAGTGCGTTCAGACAGGCTGCATTTGCAGGCAAGAGAAATATAAAAGAAGAGCTACGTGCGCCGTTGCACTGGCTTGTTGGTGATTCCTGTATGTGTGTGTGTGTGGTTAACGGCGTCGCCCGATGGAGCTGGGCAAGACTAAGTTCGGTTGTCGGCCAGGCCCGCGACCGCCAGCGCCGCCGCCACCACCACCCCGCCGAGTCTCCGGCAGACCGCCCGCCTGCATCATCATTTCATCGAACTTCGAAGGACTCGGGAAGGCTGCTTCGAAGAAGACGGCCATCGGGTCGTTCGGGTCTGCACGCAGCGCTGCCGCACGACGCGGAGGCGGAGCCGGTGCCGGCGTGGTGGCCTCCTCCGTCTCCTCCACCGCCTGCGCACGCCGGCCGCGACCAGCAGCAGCACTAACGAAAGAAGCCGCTGCGTTGCCTCGGCCGGCGACAGCAGGTCCACGGCGCTGTCGCGTCGCTGGGGCGCGTGTGGCACGCGGTGCTCGCCGCACGATGCGCTCCACGCTGGCCTCGTCGTGGTCCAGCACGTCATCGTCGTCCTCCTCCATGTCGATGTGCGAAATGGAGCGGGTCGGTGCGGGGCGCTGGTGCTGGCGGCGTGGCAGCAGAATGGGCTGCTCCTCCGCCTCAAAGAGAAGGGAGTCGCCGAGGTCCGGCACGACGCTGGCGGTACGCTTGTTTGCGGAGGCGGCGCGGCGTGCGGAGGGCTTGCGAGGCGCCTTGTTGGGCGGCACGAGAGTCGCCTCAGGAACAAGGCCAGCACTGCGGCTCTTGGCCTGACGACTGCGCTGGCGTTTGTTGCCGATGGGTCTAGCCTGCTCTTCCTCCTCCTCCTCCTCCTCCTGGCTCTCTGCCCCTCCGATATCTTCGTTGTGGTCGTCGTCGGAGTCGATGTCCGACCAGTCAATCACCATCACGCTGCGCTTGCTCTTGCTCTTGCCCTTCCGGGACAACAGACTCGACACGATCTTCTCCAAGCGAGCGCGCTTGCGAGCCTCATTGCTGCCCTCTTCCTCCCCCGCTCCCTCCTCGACGTCGTTTCCAGCCAGTGCGTCCTCGGAGACGATGGGCATGGAGCGCCGGCGGTGCTGCTGCGGTGGTCCTTGCTGCCGCTGCTGTTTCAAGGTAGACTGGCGAGAGAGCTCCTTCAGCGCCTCCTGCACCGCCGGGTCGGGGTCGTCTTCGAGCTCGCGCAAGAGGCTGGAGTTGCGCTTCGATTTATCGGCGCGTGCGCGAGGCGGCGACGGCGTGACCGAGGCGTGACGACGCACCGTGGCTGCCATCAACACCTCCTTCGCGTGCTGGAGGGCGTTGATCTTCTCCGTGGCCTCCGAGACACGCCGCTCCGCCCGCTTTGCCTTCTCCTGCTCCGCCCGAAGCTGCTCTTCCACGCGGCGCTGCTCCGCCTCCTCCTTCTCTAGTTCCGTCTTGGCGCTCAGCACGAACTCCTCGACGAAGCTGTCGTCGTAGAAGCTGTGGTGCAGCTGCGCCTCGCGACGACGCGCCGCCAGCCGCTGACGGCTGTTGGAGCGGCCACGTGTCGGTGGCACCGGGGAGCGGCGCAGCGGGTCCTTGTGCCGCGGGACCGCCGACACCGTCGCCGCCGCCACCTGTGCCGCCGGGGCCGCCCCGCTGTCATCCTCGTCTGGAAACGACGAGTTCGTCTTCAAGATCGACACCGGCGGAGGGGAGAGCTGCCGCACCGGGGAGACGAGGGCGGAGGCGGAGTAGGTGCCGTTGTAGTTTGGCCGCTCCTCCCGCGCCCCGCTGCGTCCCTCCGCAAATGTGACGCTGCGATGCCGCGGGTAGTACGGCAGCGGGGACATGAGCGGCGAGTCGTCGCCGAAGACGCCTTTGGAGCTCATGCGCGAGTAAGAGCGCTGGTTGACGGAGAGGGTGCCGAGTTGACGGTGCGGCACCGGGGAGCCCTGCCGAGACGAGGGTCGATGTGCGATTGCGTTTTCCGTCATTGTGCTGTTACTGGCTGAACAAGAGAAGAACAGAATCAAACAAAGAAAATCTATCGAGGGTATCTACGTATGTGTGCGTGGCGCAGTCTAAGTCCTCACCAAACAGGAAAAAAAAGAGGTGGAGTGTCTAAAAAGAAAAGCACCAAAAAAAGATAACAAGCAGAAGCGAAAGCGGCAACAGTTCTCGTGGAAATACGAAAATCAAGCGGCGCAATCGCGTGAGCTACTGCGATTCAGTTGCGAAGCGGCTCTCCTGCTACCAATGGGGCCCTCTACTCTGATTTCTTTGTCAGGTCCGTGCTGCGTTGTCGGCTGTCTGCCTTTCTCTTCGAACAAAAGTGCTGCGCTTCAATTGAGGTCGTCCTTTTCCGCTTAACAAAACTTTGGGTGAGGACGTGTGTGTGTCAGAATGCAGTTCTCGTTTGCTTTACTTCACCCTTCCGTTCTGTTCCTATGACGCAGTATATTATTATCTTTGCAACACAGAGAGCATAAGAGTTCTCAGCCGCCCGTCAAACTAGTAAAAGAGTGAAGCGGGGAAGAAGGAAAGAAAAGAAAGAATATGAACACGACTTCCAATGGCAGAACGATCTTTAAAGCGTCCACGGATCAGCAAGGTGAGTGAATTGCTTCGTGGTTACGTTTCGGTGACGCGGTGGAGCCGTGCCCTCTCACGCCATCCAATACGAAAGAGGATTGATTGCAGCATTCCACCGCACAAGCAAACAGTGAAGGGACTTGCTATATTTTTTAATTTCATGGCGGCTGCGTCATCACACACGTGTGCCCTTTCCGCTATTCGTTCGTCGATCTTTGCTGATGAGCTCTTCCTTTATGTTCTACTCTCTGTGTCTCGTGGGGGAGACGGCGATGCCGATTATTATTTTGTTTTTGAGTGAGCACAGCATGGATGCGGCGATGCAGCTGCTCGAGGTGGAGGAGTTCGCCTTTACGATTTAACATGCTAAACAAAGAAAGATAGTTTACGTGCGCCAAGTGATTTCTGCACCTCTTTCTTTCTCCATTTTTGTTGTTGCCAAAAAGGTTCGCCGTGCTTTTCAGCCGCGGTGATCATTCACAACGGGAAGGAGGAGGTAATAACAATAATAATAATAAGAGATGAAAGCACGCGCTTGACAATCCAAGAGAGACAGAGAGAAAAGAAATCTGTCTCTACAGCGCCGGCGACGACGCGAAAAGGACAGCCTCAAGCATCGTGCTCCACGTAGCGCGCGTCGCTAGCCCTCACCGCGTGCACCAATTCCTTCACATCAAAGCCGACAAATACCAATACAAATGCGCTCACGCGATGCTGAACAACGTCAAAAAGAAAAAGGCAAGAGGGTGGCCATCCACCTGGAAGATCGAAAGAACAAAACCAAAAAGGAACGCACGAGACGACGTGCATTGAGATGCGGCGGTAATGAAGAACAGCGTACCAACACCGATCTGTCTTGCGACCTAAAAGAAACACCTCTCTTATATTTTATTTTCGTAAACTCACTTTGTCTCGTTTTTCTTCTTTCTTAGAAGAAGTGGACAGAGAAAAAAGGTGCGGCCATGCACCCATAAATAACAAGAAAAATAAGAAGAACTCGACAGTATTCATCAGCACGGCGAGGAGAAAACTCGTGCACCTCCGCATACAAAAATGTTTAAAACACGTAAGACAAACAAATAAGGCGCTTGATGAAAGCAAAAATATATTTCGTTTTGAGGTGGATTAGAGGGAAGTGGATGGCGAAGTTTTCGTTGTGATGCCCGCAACACCAGAGAGGAAAAGTGGCGCTGCCAACCATGCGCGACGAGAAAGAGAAGCACCCAGCTGCAACACCCTTGCATGCGGTACACCGGCTTTGGTCCACTGCGTTACCCCGTTTCCTTCGTTGCCGGTCATCCATGAAGGAGGGAAAGCAACGCGTCTGTGGAAAAGCGATGTAATTGCCTTTTCTTCTCCTTTTTTGCTGATCCTCTTACGCCGCATACAACATCAACGCCTTCCTCCTCTCTGCTGCTTTGGCTGCCTTCACGTGAATCGCCTCATCTTAAGGAGAGAAGGTGTGGTTACAGTTCGTTCCGCAATGTGTCGCCTTTTGAAAGAAAGAAGCCAATAAACTCAAAGAAGACGAGGGGAAAGTGCAAAGAAGGCAAACCAACAGCCCTGCGTTGGCGCGCTTTCTTGAAGGGTTCTCCCTGTCGAAGCTGCCAGCGCACACCCGTCGGCGTGTGCATGTGGCTCCTTCTTTTAGGAGGGGCCCTACATCACGCCAGCCGGGAGCTCGCTCGGCGTCGGGTACGACTTTTGCGTGCCCTTGCGCGTGACGCTGATCGCGGCACACTCGTTGGCGCGCTTGCACGCGTCCAGCAGGTTGTGACCGCGATTCAGGAAGAACACCATGGAGCCGACGAAGCAGTCGCCCGCGCCGGTGGTGTCCACCGCCTTCACGCGCTTGCCCTTGACGTGGACCGGCGTGGCGCCCTTCTCCGACAGCGCGAAGCCGGCCGCGCCGAGGGTGATGACGACGTCGCGCACGCCCAGCGCGTTGAGGGCCTTGATGGCGCGGAAGGCCGACTCAGTGTCCGTCACCTTCACGCCGGTCATCAGCGCCGCCTCCACCTCGTTCGGACAGAAGAGGGAGACGCAAGGCAGGAAGGGCTTAATCTGCACCACCTCCTTCGGCGTAGGCGCGGGCGCGGTGTTGAAGACGGTGTAGACGCCGCGGCTGTGGGCCTCCTTAATCACCTCCAGCGTTGTGGCGAGCGGGATTTCGTTCTGGCAGATGAGGTACTTCAGTCCTTTGTGGAGAATCTTCGACCAGTTCGCCGTCTGCGCCCGCGCCAGCTCGGGGGTGAAGTGGTGAGTGGCGTTGGGGTTGATGACGATCTCGTTGTGCGAGGTCTTGTCCACGAAGATCATCGCCAGGCCGGTGGTGCTCTTGCCGGTGCGGAGCATGTGCGATGTGTTCACGCCGTTCTTCTCCAGCTCCTTGATGTAGTCAGAGCCGTCGCCATCCGTGCCCACCATGCTCATCATGGCTACCTTCGCCCCGAGTCGGCCCGCCGCCACTGCTTGGTTGCCACCCTTGCCGCCGAAGTTCTTCTGGAACGAGTCGGAGTGCATCGTCTCGCCGACCTGCGGCATGTGGTCGACGTAGCCGACGTAGTCGAGGAAGCACGAGCCCACCACCAGGATATCCGGGGCAAACGCCTCCGTGTGCGACTGAGCGTTCTGCACGCGATGCATGATGCTGATACGAGGGGGAGTTAAAACTAAAAAGTGTATAGAAAAATATAATATAAAAAGAGATGAAAAACGTATGAATTGAGAGCTTTTGAAGAGCACGTGGCCGCGTGATGATGAAACTTGAAGGGTGGGCAAATCAGCGAAGACGTAGCAGGCGCCAGGTAAACAAGGCAAGAGGGAAACAAGGGATGTGTACATCAAGGAGAAACACGCAGAGGAACATGACCTGAGCGTCAATGGGTATTTTTCTTTCTAACTTAACTTGACGATCGGACGCACGTTTGCTTCTGAGAGTGGTCAGCATCAGCGAGCAACGCGCATCCGAGAGCAGCCCAGTGTCGCGGCGCCCCACAACGCAGCGATCCTTGCCTGCGCAAACGCATTCCTATGAAGCGGAAAGCACGCCTTTAAATACACATGAAGACAATGGACCCTTTCCAGGTGCGAGGAGAAAAAACTCACCGGCTATTTCCCCGCTTCTGAGCTTCGTGGAAAAGAAAATGCATGTTATTAACTTTTACACTTCCGATCATCATGGATTGTTGTGGTCGGTGTTTTTGCTGTACTTTCCAGCTGTGAATAGTCCCACTGTTGAAATAAATCGTCAACACGCACAAGCTGCTGTCGCCGCCTGCACCCACACAGGCCGGAGCCTCGTCCCCTCTGTCGGGCAGCGGCCTTCATCCAAGGAGAAAAAAAAGGAAGCGACAAATCCAACGGCAACCCATACCGCAAAGAACGCAGCAAACGCACATGGTGAAAGAAACAACCAGAGAGGAAGAGGGCAGCACAGCACACATTGGTCGCACCAGCGCCTAGCGCATCCGCCGCTTAGCCCCTCGCAACCGCTTTCCACTCCTCCATTACTTTGGAGTTTTCATGCATTACAGAACGAAGTGGTTCTGCTTTCTGACACGGCTCACCTGAGTGCTACGTCTTCCCGAAAAGGGCGGAAAGCGTCGCACAGCGCAAAAACCAAAGACTTGATGGCCACGACCACGCTCAGCGTGCATTAGAAAGGGCGTCGTGCGGCACGACCGAGGAGGTTGAGCATGAGCACGGAGGCAGTGAAGAAAGGGTGCCGGGCGAAGAAGCCGATGCAGCAGAAGAGCAGCGTGCCCAAGACAACCGTCCACGCACCAAGAATCAGGAAGGACACAAGTGGGCTGCGGCCATGGGAGCGAACGCCAAACATGCTCTGCGTGAAGTCCTCGGACGGTTTCTCGAACTGTGCCGAGACGTTCCCGAAGTGGTGGCGGCCATCCTTTCCCACGAAGCGGCTGCGGTAGAAGTCCTCGCCGGTTTGGTTCGTGCTCGCGTTCGGGTCGCTGCTCGACGACTGCCGCACCGTGAAGCGCGTCCCACGTGGGTCGGTGTAGGTCGTCTCCTCCATGCGATTCCCGTGTTCGTCGGTGAAGATGCGGGTGGAGCTGCTCTCGGTGCGGAAGAAGGGGCGAAAGGCCTGCTCTGAACCAGGGAAGCTTCGCCCCACGTGTCCGCCTAACCCGCTGCCGGGCATGCCGCCCCGCCGCATCTCCTCCTCCAAATTCCTGAAAATCTGGTCCACGCGCATGCCACCAAACAACTCGCGAAAGAGGCGATCCGCCTCCTCCTTCGACATCTGTTGGTACTGATAGTTGCCACGGCCCATGCCTCCAGGGAAGCCGCCAGGGCCGGAGGTGGAATAGCCGCTGCCGCTGCTCGACGGGTCGCCGCCCATGCCACGGTACATGGCCCGCTGTGCGTCGTACTCACGCCGCTTGTCCTTGCTACCAACAACACTGTAAGCGGCAGAGATTGTTTTGAACTTCTCCTCTGCTCCGGGGGCGTGATTGCGATCGGGGTGGAACTCGAGCGCGAGCTTTTTGTAGGCGCTCTTGATCTCATCCTGTGTGGCATCCGGCTTAACGCCCAGCACGGCGTAGAGGTCTTGTTGATCGGTGCTGCTTTGCATGCGGTAGCTCGCGGTGAAGGGCGGCGACGACCCCAGAAAAAAGGCCCGCTTGGACGCGGACTGCCATCGTCGCACGGATGTCGTGGGAATCGAAGAGAGCGGCCCAGTATTGAGCAAGAGAGGCACGCAAACGCTACGCATGGTCTTTGCGGCGGCCGGCGATGGCCACGCGATGCGACGGATCAAACGACGCATGCTAGCCAGAAAACAAAAAGAGGAGGGGGGAAAGAGAATAAAGAAGCTCGAAGGACTACAGCGATACTAAGCGTTTAACTTGCTGAAGATGAATTGGTAAACGAGAGAGGACACGCTGCGTAAATGGGTCTGCACAGAACTCCTTGAACACGCAGAATAAGAAGACACGCAGCGATGACGCGAAGACAGGAAGGTGAGAGCAATCTTCTTTCTGCTTGCTGCTGCCTCCTTTCACCGCTGCACCGGTAGCTGTCGTTCGTGATTGCGGAGTTGAACGCGGTGTTGGGATCACCTTGGCGGCAGCGGAGATAGGAACGAAAGAATTTCAGGAAGGACGTAGTAGTGTGAGGAATGAGAAGACTACAAGAAGATGCTGTCTGTGCACTATTATTATCGTGGGAGCAGCAAAAAAATAATACGCATCGACGCCGCTGCCTTCACAGCTTTAATTGTCTCTTTTTTTTTTAAGCGATGAGAACAGCAAAGTGGGGCATCGTTTGGCTTGCTTCTATCGGTGAGGCGCCTCACCGACGATTTAGGCCATAAACGGTCTTCTTACGTTTTTGAATGTTTGTAGGTGGGACTCTAGAGGAAAGTCTCTTGGCACAGTAGCTGTCTATAGGAGTAGATGCACAACCTTGTGTGGATGCTCCACATTCGCCAGTGCATTGGCGCCCTCTCCTTTTTTGGAGAAAACGGAATGCAAGGGCTTGGCATGATATATATCTGTCAGCAGGAAGATAACTGCGTAAGAAGCGGTGACACGTTCTTCGCGCGACTCTGTCGGAACAGATTCCTGTCACCAGTGTCACAAACAGGCTCTAAATAAAGAAGTACGTAATTCGGAGGACATTCCACAAATGCGTACGTGCATGTCGGGCCGATTACGCGCTACCCAGGCTAGCCGAGGACAAGATTAGATGGCACTTCTGCTCCGTCTCCGCGGCGCGTCTTTGGAGACGATCGATCGCGTCTCGCCGCAGCGCCGCAGCGCGTATGGACGTCTCTTCAACCAGGATCGCAAAGCTGCGCTGCTTCTCCTCGATCATCTTAATGGAGCTCTTTGCCTTGAGCTGCCACAAGTCGACGCCTTCGCGGAACTGCTCGACCATGCGAATGAGCTTGTCGAACTCCCCCTGGATGTCGCGCTGATCCTCCGTGAGCGACTCCCGCACCCCGGAAAGGAGGAGGGCGAGCTCCTTGTCGACGTCTTGCTCCAACAGCTGCGCTTTCTGTGATATCTGCGCCTTTTGCTGCCGCTCCACCTCACCCCACGCGGCGTCAAACTGCGCCTCTGTTGTGCCGTTCATTGAGTCTTGCAGCAACTAAAAGGGAAAAAAAAGGTAAGGGGGAGAGAGTGAATGCGATCGGCAGCACTTCTAAGCCCCCGCAAAGGTTTCCGCCTTAATGGGGTTGCGTTTCGGAAAGGGTGTGTCAAGGTACTCTTCAAACTAAGCTTGTTGAGCCTTCAAGAAGGAGCAGAGAGAAAGGAACGGAGAGCACTGTGGGAACCGCCGTTCGACAACAACGCTGGGTGTCTCAAAGAGCGAATACCAAAATCAAAGGGCGGAAGCCTTTCCTGCATTTCGAAAGGTCATTTTCACATAAGTCCGCTTCCTCATAAACCTTCGACAGTCTCGCGACCTCGCGAGAAGGCTGGACCTCCAGGTGTTTGCAGCCGTGGCTCCAAATGCGTTTCTCGTGAGCAGCCGCAGCGGGCTCTCTCGTCGAAGAGAACATGCAAGGCGGGTGAGATTTCGAAATCTCCAGGCATCCGTGAGAAAAGCCGGCATCGCGCCGTGTGCTCTTTGGTTCAAGTTTTACGTGGAACAGAAAGGAAGCGCCCAAAGGAATCTTGAAGGCCAGAAAACGATCATAAAGCGTATTCACGGGCGCGAAGGAGCAGAGTGGGCAACACGAAGTTTGGGAAGATGTGGGCGCGAACGGCCACATGTTCAATAAAGCAGCAGCAAATATGCAAAACAGGAGGAAAAATAGAACTTCTGCTGACCAAGACGGCGAAACAAAGTCCGGTGGTGGGGAAAAGAAAGGAAAGAACTCTGACGAGCGGTGAGAGAAGAGAAAGGTGGTCTGCACCCACTCCGCGTTGCGTTCCCGCGCTACGCCACTTCATCCCTCCCTGTTCCGTAGTTGCTGCTGTTGGTGATGGTGTCACGGTGACGCTGGCCGGTGTGGGAGCCGCGGGTGCTGCGGTAGTGAGGGGAGAGCACCTGTGACACAAAGAGCTGCTCCCGCTCGTGGGCGGTGGTGCTGCCAGCTGTAAACGGCAGCACGCCCCCTGCCGTCCCTCCCTCGTCGTTGTTCGCCTCCTCGACGGCCGTCTCGCGAGGACCTGCGCGGCTGGGCTCCGTCCGGGCAGAAACGGGTGGCATAAAAGAATTCGCCGACGCCGAAAGATTTTCCGCCGCCCCTCCCTTGCTCGACTCGCACACGCGCTGGCTCAAGTCGCGCAGGAAAAGCTGAAGAGACGCGTCGTGCACGTTGGTGGCGAGGGGGGCTTCACCGGTCGTTCCGTCGATGTGACGCAGATTCCACCCCGAGTAGACGGCCGCGAAGCTGGCGACGGACTGCTGCACCTTCCGCGCACGACTGTGCGCCGTGCCGGTCGGGGCCGTCGCCGCCCCCAGCAGCGTGGCGGAGGACGCAGAATCCTTGCCGTGTGCGGATCGCGTCGCGCCGTCCGTGTCGCTCAGCTCGCGCTCCCCCTCCTCGCCGCCCTCGGTGGACCCGGTGAGGGAGGAGGAGGTCCAGTCGGAGCCCACCGCGATGGAGCCGATGCCGTCGACGGTGGTGGAGTGCTGCACGACGAACTCGACCAGCGCCTCCACGCTGCCATCGTACAGGGCGTACAGCAGCAAAGCCGGCAGTGCCAAATTCTCTATCAGGCTGGTCAGAACGGTTTGCAAGCGGTTCTTGAAAAAGTGCTTGGTGAGGTGCTCATAGAAAATATCCGCAGACTCGAACCACTCCCGGGTGTCGAAGTGCAGGTGGCTAACGAGCTTCTCCAAGTCGGCCGCGTACGCGTACTCGCGCTCGCGCGGGTCGACCTCCGGTACGCAGGCGTACAGCGTGAGGGTCAGCGTCAGCCACCACACCAGCGTCAGCCCCCCAATGAAGCCGCCGATGAGCAGGCCGGGGTTGAGGAAGGTCAGAAGCGCCGTGACGAGCACACAGGTGCCGCACACCCGCCGCACCAGGCGAGACACGCTGTTCGAGATGCGCAGCCGGGCCACCATCGACTCCGCCACTTCGGCCCCGGCGCGGAGGCGACTGGCGTGCAGGTGTTCCACCTCGTTGTACAGCCGGAAGCGCCACGCCGCCGCCGATGTCCACGTCCGCTGCGACAGAGCCCAGTAATTCACCTTCACCTGCGCTGCGTTCTTCACCAGCACCTTCAGCACGGCATAGAGGCAGAAGAAGGGATAGCCGGCCCCGTAGAGGACGGCGTAGAGCACCATGGTGGAGCGCACCGCCCACATCGCCTTGTGCCGGCTCTCCACGGTGCGGAAGGCGTCGAACATGGAGGCCAGCAGCATTGTCAAGACGCTCGAGCTGACGTAGCGCAGCGCCGTGCCTCGAAACGCGTCGCCCTCGTGGAAAGCAATGAGGTAGTTCTCGAGCTGCATGAGAGCCTGCACGGCACGCAGGGGGTCGAGGGGCTCGCCCGGGGCGCCGAACTTCACGCTGCCGCTGCGGCCCACCGCGGCGCAAATCGCCTCGAGAAAATCGCCCCACCCAGCAGTGCTGAGGGCGATGCTGTTACCAACGCGCAGTCCAATAGACTCGTGCCCGTCGCGGCCGTTCAACCCGCGCTGCCAGTGATAGCGCCAGCGGTGCAGCGGGGTAAGGAAGCCGGTATCGATGCCGGCCTCGCGTGCCACCTCCTCAATCTCGCTCTGCAGGTAGTACGTCTCCACGAAGTGGGTCAGCTCGTACGCGCAGGCGCCGCACGTGGCGCTCAGAAACACAAAACCCCAAATGTGGCCCCACACCGTAGTGTGAAAAAGGTACGGTGCGTGCAGCCCGCTGATGAGGTGATGCGTCGCACACTCCGCCTCCGCGCAGGTCAGCGCGGTCACCCAGTCAAAGCGCATGGTGAACGTGACCGCCACGACGAAGAGGACGAGGGTGTTGAGGAAGTCTACCGCCGAGGCAACGGTGGCCCCCCAGAAGCCTTTGTTGTACCAGTACACGTAGAGGGCTTGCATGAAGGCACGCATGTCCTCTATCTTACCACTTCCGGCAAAGCGCAGGCTGAAGCGCGGGAGGCGCAGCACCGAGGTACGCATCTCCCACGCCATCTATGCGACAACAGCAGCAGAAAAAGGTTCTTGTGGAGAAGCTGTCTCCTTTTTGAGGGTAGGGGTATAGATCGAACGCCGCACACAGCACGCGACGACAGACCCGTCAAACGAACCGCAACGACGCCAGGAAAGAGAGGTAAAATGAACCAGCTCGAGGTGGAGCGGCGGGAGTTGGAGAAGTGTATTGTGGCGGAGAGGACCGCTCCGTACAGATAGGGAAGATCTGTGGTGGAGAACTAAAAAGAAGAGAGCACGGTCACTAAAAAAATAGGGAAGGGAAAATGCGAAGAGCGGAGAGCTTCAGCGCCCATCTGCGCTACCCAACGGATGGATAGTTGTGACGGGTAGAAGCGTGTTTCACCTAAAAAGAGAACCACTCAAAGACAAGAGCACACACACAAACATACAGACACACGCCGCGTTGTGGCACAAGATGGGGAATTAAACACACCGCACCGGTTTTGTGGGTCCGCTGCACTTTTCTTGATCGATATCAAGTCCAGAAAGAAACGGCGAAATAGAAGGAGGGGGAGAAGAGGCAACGATGAAACTGAGATGCTTAGGAAGGACGAGATGTGTTCTGTGCAGCAGGGAAGGCCCGCTGCTAAGAGCTCTTATAATTGATGGGCAAATGAGCAAGGCATAGTGAAGCAGGTCAGCGTAGGAGGAGCTACGCCTTCAACTCGGCGTCCTCGTCAACTGAAATGTAAGAACGTCAACGCAAACGGCTGAGAGTCCTCACTGAGGCACGTCACTCTCAGCCGAAAAGGAAGTGGATTTCCTCTCTCCTTTCTTTTTTAGTGTCTGTTTGTTTAACGCAGAATTTTCTCTGCTGCCTCCGCATTAGGCACCAGCAGTTAGTAGGGCGAACTTGCTGCGTGCACATTTGCGTGTAGTTAGGCACCTTCCTCGATGCCCTTACAAATCACTCAAGCCATTCGAACCAAAACAGCGAAGGCTACGGTCAAAACGGAAAAAAAAGAAGCACCCCGAAATGCACCTCGGGGCAGATGACAGTACAACGCACACAACACAAGCTAATGTGGCGAGCTCTAAGCGGCAAACCTGAAGGACCATACTCCATCGCCAAACGCCAAGAAAGGGAGGAAAAGTGTCTTCAGGCCAAGACAGACACAGAGAAAGGGACGGCGGCTTTACGCTTCGTTCTTCGCTCCTGTAATCAATGGAACACATCCTTCGAATAAATAAATAAAAACACATTACGGGTGCAGGAGAGCAGGGTGAAAATTGAAGAAGGTGTGAATACCTCTATCGCGGCTCTGTTAGGGGGGAAACAGGCGCACACCAACGCTTACACCGGCACGCACCTGCGTCTACATCGCCAGCTTCGCCAGCGCCTTCTCCAAAGCAGCGTGCGTGGCAACGCTGGGGCTGTTCTCCGGCGCCTTTCGCACCTCCTCAGTGGGCGCCACAACGGGCTCTAGCCAGGTCGCATCCACGCGCAGCAGCGTGATCAGACGATCAAATTCGGTCGTGGAGCCGCCTTGCTCCTTCAGCGCGGACGCCCGCATCGCGTTGCGCTTGCAGAAGCTGCGCACGGCATCCATTCGGTCAGGGGCAGACTCAATGAGGTGCAGCGGCATGAGGCCCCAGAGCCACGTCTCCTCGTTGCACTCGAGGGCAGCGGTCATGCCGAGCAGCACTGAAAGCTCCGCGTCCTTGTAGATTTGCTCCCGCGGCAGTTGAATGGCACGGATGGCGACGACGATCAAGAAGGCGGTGAGGTAGTCCGTGCCGTCGTAGCTCGATGCGTGCGGGTGCAGGCAGCTCGCCGGCGGTGCCGACCCATTCGCGAAGCCCTCTAGCAGCAGCAGCGCCGCGTCTTGGAAGGTGTTGCCGCGACGCACCAAGTCCTTGCCGCGCTTTGTGCGCAGCGTCTGCGCGTCCACACGCTCCGCGTACGGAGGCAGCGGGTTCAGCTTGCGTGACGAGGGAGTACGCAGGCGATCTAGGAAGGTGAGGACGATGTCCTCCGCCGGGGTGTCGGGGACGCATCCGTAAAAAGTGAAGATGCCGAGCAGCTGCTTCCACGTAGCCGCGGACGGGACGGGGCGCACCTCCGCCGCCGTGTCGCCCACGCCCTTGTACTCGTCGTCCGCCATGAAAGGCTCCACCTTGCCGGAGAGGAGCCCCACCACGCGCTGCCGCACCTCCTCGCCGTTCTTGAAGCCGCCCTTCGCCATCTCTACGTAGCCGCCGAACTGGTTGCCCTCGCCGCACACACGCACCACACGCGCGAGCTCCTCGTTCGCGATAGAGCGTGCTGATGTGCGGGCCTCGCGCAGCTTGTGGCACAGCATGATCTGCACCAACTCCTCTGCCGGGGAGAGGGCCGCCGTCTTAGTCGTGTCGAGGAAGGTCGCCAGCTCCCGTTTCAGCCACGCGGCAAGGTTGCGGTGGCGCAGCTGGCGCAGGTAGCGCGCCTCCTCGACGGCGTTTGGCAGCGCATCGTCGCCCTCGGGCAGCGCGTAGAGCGCGGCTAGCAGCGACAGGACGGAGGTCGTCTGCCGCGTGGAGAGCGCCTCCACACGGGTCAGCGACGCGGCTCTCGCGGCCACAACATCCTCGATCGCTTTCTGCGCTACCATCAGCTTCTCGGCCGACAGGGTGTTGTGGCTCCTCTCGCGGTGAAGATGAATAGCGGCGTGGGGGCACGCGGCAGCGTCCTGCCCGCCCTCCTCCGTCAAGTCGGTGTACTGCAGGAGCAGACGCAGCAACGTGATGGTGCACTGCGTGAGGACTTTGTTGGCGGGACGGTGCCAGTGGAACGGCGTGGCGACCACCGCGTGCGCACCGAACACCTCCGGCACGGCGCCATCCGCTTCCGCGCCGTCGCGCAACTCCGCGTGGGAGGCAAAGGCGAGCGTTCCGGCGGTGCTAAACCCCGCCCGCGAGCTGCGCGCCAGCATCCCGCGCACCGTCTTCTCCGAGCCCGGCAGCCCGCCCGGGTGGGCCACGTAGGCGCGCTGAATCGCCGACTGCTGTGCGCGGACGTAGAACACGCGTGGCTCCAGCGACGGCCGCGCCGCACCGAGTTGTACCGCAAAGGGTTCGACCTTACTCCTGGTCGACATGTCTGGCAGCTCGTATGGCAGCTCAAAGTCCGCGGCGGCCGCGGTGGCGAGGTGACGCTCTGCCACAGCCGATTGCCGTGTTGCAGCGGGCACTTCGAACCGGCGGATCTCCGCTGTCGGCGGCACTGCAGCCACAAGTTTGTTGTTTGCAGCTCCGCCGTCGTTTTCCTCCAAGGAGCTCGCGTTGTCCCCCACGTCGGCGTCCCTCTCCGACGACTCTTCGCGGGTGTCATTGAGGGTGCGAGAGTACTCGTCGTCGTCGCGCACAATACTCAACGGGTGCAGACCACTCGTCTCCGCAGTTGCAGCAGCAGCGGTTGCCCTCGTCGCCCCATCCACACCGGCTTTGCTGGCGTCGTTCAGACGGTAGACGCACCACCCCTGGCGGTAACCCACGAAGCTACCCTGCACCTCTTCACAATGGCGCAGCAACTCCTCCTTCAGCGTCCCCGCCTCGTCGCGAACGCGCACCTCCGCGCGCACGTTGAGGCCGCCTGACGACGGGAAGGCTGCGCCGCGGGGGTAGAGGACGGCCCGGCCATCGTGGCTGAGGTGCACCACATCCCCCACATCCACCCGCACCAAGTTCACGGGGTCCAGGAAGCGAATCTCGCACGAGCCGTCGCGGAGGCGCACGCAGAAGGAAGCGACACGACGGAGCTCGTCCGCGGTGTAGGCGCTGAGCTCGGCGAGGCTGGGGCTCGTCACAAAGTCGGGGTTGCTGCACTGCGGCGCCACAGCGCTGTTGCCGACAGCATCGGCCGGCGCAGACGACGGGCGAGACGGAGGATAGGACTGTGGCCGTTGCTGTAGTTGCTGTACTCCTGCGAGAGAGGAGGCTGTGTCTGCTTCTTTGGAGCCACCCAGCTGCACCGCGGGCACCAACATTTCTTTCAACGCGAAGGGCGACAGTGCACTGGAGCCGAGGGAAGCGGGCCCCTGGTTCATCAGAGCGTTCTCCTCCGGCACGCGCATCTGCCCAACCAGCCACGTGTGGATGGCGCGGCGCGACGACGGAGCGGCGTTGCTCAAGTCGCTGCCCGGCAATTTCGACCCCTGCTTCGCGGCGAGAGGACGCTCGTACGTGTCAAAGAGCAACACATTGCCGTACGGGCTGGCGTTGTAGTCCGGGAGCGACATGAAGGAGAGATCGGTGGGGCGGCCTAGGTTGAGGAGACCACCCGGCGCTCCCTCCGCTGCGATGGGGGCCTGGCCAGAGACACCCGCTGTAGAAGGCGGTTGACCGAACCCGCCAGTCCCCGCAGCGAGTTGCTGTCCGAACCCTGGCCCTGCAGCTGCTTGTCCATATCCGGTAGTTGCTGTGGGTTGCCCATATCCCGCAACCGCAACGGGCTGCTGACCGAAGCCGCCAACGCCCGCAGCGGGCTGTCCAAAACCTGCGCCTGCAGCAGGTTGTTGAGCAGCACCGAAGCCGCCGGCCGCCGCCGGTTGCCCAAAACCAGACGTCTGCTGTGCAGGGGCTCCGAACCCACCTCCAGCAGCTGCGCCAAAGCCAGTCGTTGCGCCGCGGCCAGCGCCAAATCCGGTGCCTGCAGCTGCTTGTCCAAAACCACCAGCTACAGGCTGCTGTGCGGCACCACCGAAGCCGGATTGCTGTTGCGCGCCAAAACCGCCCTGCTGTACACCAAATCCTCCTGTTGCGGGCTGCTGGCCAAATCCACCGGCACCACGCCCCGCTGCACTGAAGGCACCGCCAGCTGCACCTTGCCCAAAGCCTGCCCCTGCAGCAGGTTGTTGAGCAGCACCGAAGCCGCCGGCCGCCGCCGGTTGCCCAAAACCAGACGTCTGCTGTGCAGGGGCTCCGAACCCACCTCCAGCAGCTGCGCCAAAGCCAGTCGTTGCGCCGCGGCCAGCGCCAAATCCGGTGCCTGCAGCTGCTTGTCCAAAACCACCAGCTACAGGCTGCTGTGCGGCACCACCGAAGCCGGATTGCTGTTGCGCGCCAAAACCGCCCTGCTGTACACCAAATCCTCCTGTTGCGGGCTGCTGACCGAATCCGCCAGCACCACGTCCGGCAGCGCTAAAGCCGCCAGCAGCTGGCTGTTGCGCAGCACCAAATCCACTTTGCTGTTGCGGCTGGCCGAAACCTCCCGGCTGCTGGCCAAAGCCGCCGACTGCGGGTTGCTGACCAAAGCCGCCAGCGCCACGTCCCCCTGCGCCGAAGCCACCGGCAGCGGCCTGGCCGAACCCGCCAGCCTGCGGAGGCTGCTGTGGTTGCCCAAACCCGCCAGCCGGCTGTTGCGGCTGACCAAAGCCTCCCGTCTGTTGACCAAAGCCTCCCGTCTGTTGACCAAAGCCGCCGGCTTGCTGCGCCGGCTGACCATAAGCGCTCGTCTGCTGCTGTGGCTGTCCAAAGCCTCCTGTTGGCTGTTGCGGCTGACCATATGCATTGGGTTGCTGTTGTGGTTGCTGGCCAAATCCGCCAACCGGTTGGCCAAAGCCGCCAGTTTGCGGAGGCTGCTGTCCGAATCCACCGGCCTGCGGTTGCGGCTGACCGAACCCGCCGGTACGCTGACCAAACGCATTCGGTTGCTGTTGCGCTTGCGGCTGCTGTCCGAACCCACCGAATTTCGGTCCTGGCAGACCGCCAAACCCGCCGGCTTGCTGCGGCTGCTGCCCGAAGAGACCTGCTTGCTGCGGTTGCGGCTGGCCAAATCCACCTGTCTGCTGGCCAAATCCACCAGCCTGTCGCTGCTGCTGCGGGGGCTGTCCAAATCCACCTTGCTGCGGGGCACCCATTTGACCAAAGCCGCCAGTAGCGGCTGGCTGGGCGAACCCGCCCGGCTTATTCTGACCAAAGCCACCACTGCCAAACGCGTTCATTAGATTTCCGCTTGATTATACGATTTCGTTTTCTATGCAAAGCGGGCTGGTACACCAACACGCACACACACGCAAGGCGAAGGAGAAAAACCAAGAAGAAGCAGATGACTACTCCTGATAAGAGAGAGGAGTGAAGAGAGAGGGACTGGAATGACGGTGAAGAGCTGGATGAGAGGGGAGGGGGGGGGATGACGACCCTTTGTGCGCCGCCATGTGCAACTGTGCTGGCACAACGAGGAGTTTGATCGACACAAATGAAAGGGAGTTGGCACGCACGAGCCGGTTCTTCCAACACAACCCGCTACAGTTCGTAGGGCTTTTTTGAATGATGTGAGCAATTCGAATCTTGAAACGAAGGACTGGAAACGCTGTTTTGGGTAGCGGCCGATGCGGTTGATAAGGTTATTCCCGTGCTCTTACTCCTACCCTTCACCCGACACAGTTTGCAGTGCGGCAAACGCACGTGGGTGAACGGCAACATGGAATAAAAACGCGTTTCAGCAACTGCAGGAAACCCATCAGCGGCAAACACCGACAAGCCACCCAGAGCCCACCCCACACAAACTTCGACTCTTTCGTCAAACTATCGAAGAAGAGAAATCAACAGCAAAGGCACGTGCCAACAACGGTGACGTTGCAAAAAGCGGTGTTTCTTTTTTTTAACTTCACTGTTGACGAAACAGTGATGCCATGCTCGGCTGCGGCAGCTGCCCAGTCTTCGCCTTGACAAAGTCGTCCCAGTGCTCCATCTCACTGCAGTACGTTTGCTTGTCTCCCCCGTACGAAATCAGCGCCACGCTGTCGCCGCCGTAAAACTTCAGCTTCTGCTCGTTCGTGTCGAGCACCGCAAACTCCTTGCGCTCAAATGAGCGGTAAAGGGCGCGCATGGTAGACGTCCCGGTGGTGATGCCTCGCTGAGCACAGTAGTCGTCCCAGTGCTGCATCTCCGAACAGAACATCTGCACGGGCGACCCGCTTTGCGTCGGGTCCACGCCGATCACCTGCGAGGCGAAGGTGTCGGCGCCGGAGGTGAAGATGTGCAGCGGAACTTCGTCGCGCTCCGACGCGAAGAGCTGCTGCATCGGCGGCTTGCCGTCATTGATGCTGCGGTCTCGTCGGTAGTCGTCCCAGTGAATCATCTCCGTGCACAGAAGTTGGCGCGCCTCGCCGAGATCGACGGACCTGTTCACCAAGGGCAAGGAAACATAGGTGTCGTCCTTCGCTTGAAACCACCGTCCCGTGACCTCTAACTGCATTATCGATAGTATCTGTACTCGCCTAATGACAAGTACTCGCCTTGGTGTTGTGCTTTGTGTTTTTCCTCTTTACTACTCACACCGGTGCGGGTGTTTTGTTGGGTGTTGGTGCACACCGCAGAGAGAAACCTGATGGACAAGGAAGATGTGGTGAGGAGAACACAAGGGAGTAAAGGAGGCGAAAGAAGATCGTTCGACGTCGCGAAAAACCAACGGCGCAAGCAATCCCTTTCCACGCAGAGATCCAGCGCACCGATTCGTCCGCAGCAACCCCGAAATCGCACATTCGCGTCGCCTGCGTGTGTTTTCTTCGTTACGCGCCACAACCCTCTGCTCGGTAGTCGTTTCAGCCGTGCTTTAAAAGCTCCAATCGTCTCACGTTCAGATGAAGCAGCGTGCGTATCTTTAAAAAAAAAGAGAATTAGTTGCTGTGATGGCTGCTGTTGCTACCGCTGTCGGAACACACCTGTGCGCACAGTGTAACGAGCAGGGTCGCAAGAACCAATGTAGCACGCTAAGCAGCCGCGTGCTCACGTCGAAATTGATCCAGCGCCGTGGAGTCGTAGTGAGTGCGCTGGAAGGCGGCTGCCCTCTCCAAGAGGTACGCCGTGACGGTTTCTTCTGCGGCGAGAATTGCAGGCACCTGCGCAGACTCCTTGAACAGCGCCAAAAGCGCCTCCGAGCAAAACACTTTCAGGTCTGCTCCACTAAACCCCGCCGTGCGCTCGGCAATTTGCGCCGCGTTGGCGGCTGTTTTGCGAAGCAGCAACTCGAGAATGGCCACGCGGTCTGCCAGACCAGGCAGCGGCACGTACAACACGTAGTCAAACCGCCCAGGACGCATCAGCGCTGGGTCCAGCAGGTGCGGCACGTTCGTGGCGCCGACAAAGCAAACACCGCACGTGTCGGCGAATCCGTCCATCTCCGTTAACAGGGTCGACAGCAGACGCACGTGTTCGCCGTCGCGTCCGCCCACCGCACGACGCCCGCCCAGCACCTCCACCTCGTCGAAGAAGACGATGCAGGGAGCCTGGCGCCGCGCGCGTGCAAAGACGTCACGCAGGCACCGCTCACTCTCCCCGACGTAGGCGCTCACGACCGTGGCGGAATCGAGGTAGATAAGAGAGAAGTTGCCCTCGGTGCACAAGGCCTTGATAAGGGTCGTCTTAGCGCAGCCGGGCGGACCGTAAAGGAGAATGCCACGCGGGGGCGTGATGTTAAAGCGCCTCATGAGATCGGGCTGCTGCTGCGGCCACACCAACGCACGGTGCAGGCGGCTCTTCACCTCGGCCAGACCACCGATTTGCGCCCACGGCACGGCCTTGAAGGGCAGCGTGGCGGCAATGCTCGGCTGCCGGGCGGCGGCCAGCGTTTCTGCGCTCGTCCGCCCCACCAAGCACTGCGCGGCACCCTGCCAGTCTTCCGCCGCGCCCCCGCGCACGCTGGCCAACAAGAGAGCGCGCTGACGTGCATTGGGGAAGGAGAAGACGATATGGAAGGAGAAGAGCCCGTCGAGCACGTTGCTGGCACAGAGACCGTAGGCGTGGCTGATGCACAGCACCACGACGGAAACACGCTGGCCGTTGCCGACGCCGTCGCGCAGCCCCGCCGCGTCCCTCTGCAGTTTGCAGAGGTGCAACTTGGCCAACTCCAGCTCCGCCTCCGCAAAGACGTGCTCCGCGTGCGGTACCATTAGAACGCACGTCCCTCCCCTTCCGCCGTGCGCTGCCTTGGTTGCAGAGAACTGCGCGGACCACGTCAGCACCTGGTGTCGCACGCAGGACGTGTTCAAGACGTAGTGCACGGTGGACGAGACTCCACATCCGCGAGGGCCGCGCACCACCACGCCTGTGAACGAGCCGGGATTTTGGTCGGCACATGCAATAAATTGCCGGAGCTGGCGGACCTCTTCGTCTAGTCCAATAGGCGAGTTAGGTGCGCACTGGGTTGTATTCGCAGAAATGCGGCCGCTGCTCGTGAGACCGGGCGTGTGACGCTGCACCTCGTTCACGCGTACACGGCAGTCACCACTGACGAGGGCGATGCCGCGGTACCGTTTGTGAAGCGACACGTGCCGCACCGTGTACACGCCCTCTTCGGTGCGAAACTGCGCACCTGCGATGACGTAACGTCCCATGAGGGCGGCGGTGAGGTGGGCGGCGGTGCCCCTCACGTCGCCGCGCGTCCCTTCCACCGTCACCTCCTTTGCCAAATACCGAAAAAGCGGACAGCGCAGCACCAACGCATCACCGTTCGCGCTTCGTTGCGCTTCGTTTTCTTCGTTCCTCACTGCGGTCTCTGACGTTGAAAGGGGCGAGTACACCACGCCGTCGGAGCACGCTGCGATGGTGACGTCGTGCGTCTCGGCAGATGCGAAGTCTTGACTGGCGAAGCGCCGCGCCTCTTCAAGGCCGACACGTACGGCGGTTTCTACCTTGTAGGAGAGCGCTGCGGTAGCAACGGGCACCACGCAGCACACATAGCACCCGCCGCGCAGCTCCACAAAGGCGCACGGATACTGCGCCGCGCGCCAGCTGCTTGGAATACGAATCATCGCTCAGGTCTGCTAGTCGACTACGGGGATGGATGAAAATGCGAGGACAAGGGAGGAGAAAAACGTCGATCACGAACGGCAAAGAGAGGAGAAAAGAGACAAAGATGCGAATTGCAGAGAAAAGTCAAAAAAGCTTTTACAAGAAGGTAGATATGGGGGGAGGGGAGGCAGAGCGCTCCGTCGAGTGAATGCTTCGTTGTTACTTCCATCGGCGATTCCAGTGGGTGACAGCGACAGATGTAGTGAACCGCTTTCACGTGGCAAGTGGTTTAGAGGTTGTCTTTTGAGCCATACGGACTGGCTGTAAGAGCTGCACAAAGGCAGCGCATGTGTTTGCTGCCCTTGGTTGTTTCGCTCACAGCTGAGACAGTTCAACGCCTGCTTCATTTGGCCAACGTGGCAGCAGAAGCAAAGCAACCCGTTAAATCCCCTGTTGTGGATTTTCCATTCCTCTAAAGAATCATTCCAACATTGAGGGGTGCTGCCTTTTCCAGTACCAGTGGAGCTCGCGTGGGAAACGCTTACATAATAAAAATAAAAGAAAAATGGTGAAAAACGCGGTAGAAGAACGAAAAAAAGTTGAAATGAGCAGCACAGAAATTGTGTTTACCAGAAGTGTCTTCAGCATCGACGAACGATGAGGAAAGAACAAAATAGTACGCCAGCAACTCCATGAAGTGCACAGCGTGCCATCGCACCTCCTCTTTCCAAGAAACCCAGTGTGTATATGTATGTATGTGCGCGCGTGTATGTCGACGTGCGGTTTCCCTTCGCGTAAAGCATCGCAGTCGTTCACCGTGTATCAACACCGTTGGTAGACATCGTGCTGCGTGTGAAGTTAACGAGGAAGCGAGAAAAGAAAAAACAAAAGTGATGAACAGAAAAATACCCACTCAGTTCGAGGAACACAAAAGAAAGTGTACTCTCCAATGAAAACAGCGCAGCCAGTACAAAAAAAGGGGAAAGAAGAGGAGTTGGCACAGAAAGCCGGTACGAACGGTTTTTTGCTGTCCGAGGAAAGAAGAAGCACGGAGCGGTTCCGCAATTGAAAGAAGAAAGAAACTAATAAATTACAAAGGGGATGCTTTATGCGTAAAGAAAAAATTCCGAAGCACAAAACTATTTACAACGTCTTCATTCTCGAAAGAAATCAAAAAGTCGGCGTGCATTTTCGGGCGCGGGAGATTTAGAAAAATAGAAAAAAAGAAAAAGAGGAAGAGAGGGATGGTACGACAGCGGATCTATACTTAAAAGCCATCTATTATTTCAATGAAGCGGACCTTTCGCTTGGAATCAACAGAAATGCCGTTCGCGTCGACATTTCCTTCCGCTTTGTCTCCTGTTCACAGGTCTGTAAAGTGAACGAAAGATAAAGTGCTGTTGTTCCGCGATCAGTTTAGCCCCGCGCTCTACGCTCTTGTAGAAGTAAAGCGGACCGTGCAAAAGAGAAGAAAATAATCCCTTAACGCGTCGCCATCGTCTCCTCGTGAAGTGGTGAAAGATTCTATGAAAGCAACAGAAAAGAAGAGGAGAACAACAATACAGCATTTTGTAGAAAAAAAAAAACAACTAGGGGGAAGAGAGAAAGGAAAGCTACAGTCAACTCAACGATTCAAGAAAGAAAAGAACTATAAATGCTCAACGCAGGATCAACTTTTTTGGTTTTCCACAACGTACGCCGTTTAATGAACACGTGAAGAGAAGGCAATCAGAATGGGGTGTTTGTGCGTTGTGAAAACAGAAGAAAAATTAAAATAGTTTAACCTTTGAGAGGCAAAGGTGATAGAAGCACGCTGAAACAGAAAGAAAAGGGTGCGTTATGAAAGACGCAAGCACCGTGAGCGAGCGGAAGCAGAAATTGTCGTAGCTGATCCGTTTTGCCGCAGGTGGACGCTTCTTTGTTGTTGGTGGTGTTCTGATATCTATAGTAGTACAACTGAGTGAATGAACAGTACAAAGTTGGTGTGAAGAGTAGTGGTACGCAGAACATCTGCCGGGGAATCGCCTCCTCACCACCTGTGAAGCTGTCGCTGCTCACTGCCTTCTCTGAGAAAATGCGCAGCAAAAAACGGAAGGCCGCGCACGGAGCTTCACAGCAAACGAGCTGAATCCTCTATGGCACGCAGATGTGTGCGGAAACGTGTTAAAGGGAAAAGAGTGTTCTATGCTGCCCTTTCTGCGTCTTTTTGCTCTTTTACGCAGCGTCGGCGAACGCAAAAACAGAAAAGCTTCGAAAGAGAAAAGAAACGGAGAAGATGGACGTCTTCGCGTGTCTAACTCATCGACGTGAGGCACTGGGACAGGGGAGCCTGCGTCGCGCCAAAGAGGCACGGCTGCAACAGGTTGCCGTCGGAGTCGAAATGCGCATCTTCCTTCACGACGTCCTGCACGGCGTTCCGCGCCGTTTGCACGCGGATGGCAAAGCCCATCAGCTGTAGCCCGTTCATGCTCATGGCCCGCTGCGCGCCTTCCAGCGTCCGCATCTCGACGAAGGCGAACAGCGTGCAGTAGCCGGTGCCGGCGCAGATGCGGATCTTGTTCACTGCGCCAGCCGCCGTGAGGAGCTCCAGAAGCATGTTCTGCGGCAACAGGCCGGGCAGGTGCGAGACGTAAATGGTGCGCCGCTTTACCTCGTCCTGCCGCGAGTGCTGCGCAAACGTGCGTGGCGCGGACAGCGGCACAAAGGGCTGCGTGTGGTGCGGCAGCGACGTCGTCGGAGGGGGACACGGCATGGTGGAGAAGGGGTGCGGGAGGGACGCCCGCGCCGGCTGCAGCGACGCAGCGGCGGACTGCGGAGTCGCTGACTTCGTGTAGCGCCGCAGGTGGCCAAGGAGGACCTCGCTCGTCTCAGCGTCGGCCGCCATCGTCGCCATCTCCGTCACCTGGGCCCAGAAGGCGGCTCGCGAGATGTGGTAGGTGGTGAGGGGGGTGCAGGTGTGGGCAAGCGCACAGACGCCCTCCAGCTGCGCCAGCTGCTGACTCCCGCGCTGCAACAGGCGGGTGGCGAGGTAGTAAGGGTCGCCGGTGATCATGTTCAACATGAACAGGTTGCCCACCACCGCACCGCAGTTGATGGACTGCGCGGGGTTCAGCTCATTCGCCTCCAGCAACGAGCGCAGCAGCAGCTTCAGCAGCTCCTCGTTGAAGGCAACAAAGCCGGCCCACTGCGTGGACAGACCGGCCAGGGCGGACACGAGGCGCTGCAAGACGACAGGGGAGGCCCGAGCCACCTCCGTCGCCACCTCACCGGCCATCGCGGCTGGGAGCTTACTGTGCTGAATGAGCGCACTGATCGCCTGTGGCGCTGACTCGCTGTACAGCACCGCCAACAGCGACTTGAGTGAGCGGCTGCGTGCCTGCGCGACGTCGTCCAAAGAGACAGGGTGCACCACCAGCGCCTGTGACTGACGGCGTGGAATGAAGGCGTGCATCTTCTGCGCCGCCAGATCCGCCATTTCCGGAGAGGTAAAGCCCACAAACCCCGACATCTGCGGACCCTCCCACGCCGTGAAGGCCTCGTCGGCCCCGTAGGGGTAGAAGAGAGACTTCAGCTCAGCGTCCGTCGTGCCCAGGCTGAGATGACCGACGCACAGCCAAAACTTGCACGGCGACTTCACAAGTGAGGCATCGTCGCGGCAGTCGTCGAAGAGGAAGGAGGAGACGTCGTTGCCGGCGGTGGCCTCGGCGGTGGAGGCGGAGCTGCTGATGGTGGAGACAGAGCGGCAGAGGGAGAGGTCCTCCCACGTCTTTGTCGTCTTCACATCCATCATGGTTACGGAAAAGGAAAATGGAACAGCAATGGAAACGAAAATCCAAGAAAAAAAAAGGACAGATCGGGTGAATGTATGGAGTGAAAGCGTCTATAATAAAATCTTCTTTGTTAAGGATGTATGAAAGTTTATGGTCGGGGAGTGTGGGGAGAACAACAAGGGGAAAAGTGACTGCTCTTCCGCTTTTCTATCGGTGCTTCCGCGGTGCAGCGGCAACGGTTCTGCGCAGTGGCTGCGTGCAATGGAATGGTGACGCGTACCTTGTGTGAAAAAGAAGGGGGGCAACAAAAAGACGCAGATGGGCTTTAAAGACTCAGCTGTCGGAAGGGGGGAATGAACACAGCCTTGAGAGAGAACGAAGGATGCTTTATAAACTGTTCAAGGAGACGCAGAAAGGAGAGGAGGGAGGAAAGAAAAGACAAGAAACACAAGTAGAAGCGCGAGACGCGGAGACACAGACTAGTAAACACATGAAGTAACTAGATCCAACGAGAAGACGATCTTGACAAGCGCCACAGGCGGTTGTGCGGCGCGATAAAGCAGCCAATTGAATGGTGCATCTCCGCAGTATCCTCCGCGGAAAAACACAGGCTTTGCTTCAAGGTTGTTTAGTCTTTTCGGAGTTTTCTCTTCCTAATATTGAAGTTGTGGGCAAGACTCAATTGAACACGGCGACCAAGATTACTGAAAAAAGGCGCTCAGGTGCACGCAAATACACTTACCCGGCGCCACACCCCCGCGTACAAGTGTAGATTATCTGCAAAGGGGAACACCAATTACGTCTGCACTGCCAGCTTTGCGAGCTCCATGGCACGAGCGATGTTTGCTGCCTCGCTGTCAAACGTCCTCCTGCCGTCTTGGGATCGTTGCCGCGGCGTGGTGGACAGCACACACTTCTCCATCACGTCGTCCTTCTCCAGAATTTGGTAATGCGGACTGTCAAAATTGCGGTGGTTGCACGTTGGCTGCATGAAGGACTTCACGAATGTCGTCTCGGGAGCACTCGTCAGCGCTCGTCGTACCGACTGAGCTTCCTTGTGCCTCACGTTAAGAAAGGCAGTGTCCCTCGCCTCAGCTGCGAAGGAGGTGGAGGAGGGGTTGGGAACAGGTACGGTGTTGAGAGAAAGAGTGCCGATGGTGCGCGGGACCAGCCGCAGCTGTGACGGCAGTGACATCGGCTCATTCACCCACACACGCTTCATGTCTGCGATGACGGGCTCCAACAGGCGGTAGATCAACTCTGCCGGTATGCACTCCAACAGGTGAGAGCAGAGTACATGGAGGATGAGGACATCAGAGGGCGGGAAGAGGGCGTTGTTGTGCGTGCGGTCCGTCGGTCGGGTGCGCGCCACGAACCAGTACATCTCGCCAATCACGGCGCAGAACATGTGGCACTGCTGCTCTGCTGTGAATTTGCCGCGTCGTTGCTTCTCCTGCGGCTTTGCGCCGACGATCGCTTTCAGGTCGTAGCGATCAAACGCAAAGCACAGGCCCTCCTCTCCCACGATGGCGGGTAACGCCTGCACCAACACCGAGTAGGGGATGTCGGGGAAAAGCTTCAGCAGACGTCCACGCACCTCGGCAGCCAATATGGACTCGCCAAAGAGCGCCAGCCGCTGAAACTCGCTCGTCGTGTTCCACGTCTGCGTGTTCTCCGAAAAGAAGAGAAGACTGTGCAGCAGCACGTTGTACCGCCGGAGAAAAGCCAAGGCGAGGCACTGGTGGGAGATGCGCCGGTTTGTCTTGGAGAAGTGGAACTCCTCGACAACGCGAGATCGGTTGGCCAGCTCGTCGTACACGTTGCGAGCCGGCAGTGGGTGTGCAGGGTTGCATAAGCGCTGTCGAAGCAAGGTGAAGAATGCCCGCTGCACGTCCGAGGACGCGGGCATCGACACGTACGGCTCCTTGCTGCGAGGCTTCTGTGGCAGGGAGGTCGAGCTAGTACTCAGCGACGCGCCACCCACACCCAGCGAAGCCCCGACGGCGAGAAAGGCATGCGATTCACTGCTGCGCGATGTCCGGTCACCACGCGCCATCGGAAACCGCCGCAGCGCCTGTGCAGCTCGCTTCATTTGCGTAACTTCGGCAAAGGAGATCCGCTGCTGGAGTCTATCACGAGGTAAGTGATTCAACTTGATTGGAGAACAGCCCTTAGAATGTTCCGTTGCTTTCCTTCTGCCTCTTTCATTAAACTCAGAGCAGCACGTGATTCAAAAAAAAAAGTTAGCGTACGAAAGCAACCAAAAAGCAAGACGGCAAATTGTGTTGAAGAGGAACAATGGAAGAGACGAAGAAGAGGCAGTTGAAGTGGGTCAGTGAGCCAACACGCAGAAAACCGGTATAACTTTTCGAGCGACCGTACGCATTCAACCCATGAATGCAACAGCGCCAGGACAGTTTGCAGTAGAGCGTGAAAAGGCGCGTTCTCACGTGTTGTTCGTCGTCCGTAAATCGGTTTTCCATGGTGAATGAACGCAACGAAGAGAGAGAGAGAGAGGCGGAAATCATTTCTGAAAGGACAAGGAAATGAATGAAAAAAGAAGAACATATTACATCGGTTCGACGTTCACCTGGCTCATCCTCGCAGCCACCATCGGGAAAGAGAAGCAGAGTTCGAAAAGAAAACAAAAGAAAAGGCGCAAGTTCCATAGCGCCGTAGCGGCGCACTCTATATAAAAAATACAAAAAATACAACAAAAGGCTGGTACATGTTTTATAAGAATCATACATAAATGCGTCATTAAGCGACTGCGTCTTCAGGACTGCAGCGTCGCAGCAACACGGTTGAGCGGAACCGCGCAAGCATCTCGTTGAGATGCACCATCGTTCCCTCGTCTGCGGTAGCCACATCAATGACCGGTTTTTGGCAGCCCTGCGAAATGTACTTGTGCACCACCTCGTCGCCCAACGCAGGGTCGAGGCGGCGCATGACGTTCATCGCCTTCACGAGAGACACAACGTTGCGCTTCTCATCCGCCACCTCGCGGATGCCTTCGATGGCCAGCAGCGTAAACGCCTCCACCTCCTGCAGCCACTGCAGCTTTAGAAGCCTCACAAAGTACGAGTCATCCTGGAAAACCTCCGACAGCGTCACTTGGAAGTCGGTGCTGTCGCAGTGGCGGTACAGAGTGAAGCGCAGCTGCAGCATATTGGCAATCGACTTCTCCGGGCAGACGGCCCGCACGTGTGCGAAGAAGTCCTCGTAAGGCATCTTGTCCAACAACGTTGTCGGTGACACCTGGGCGGGCAGCTGCAGCTGAGTCAGTCGGCGACGCCACACGTGAACAATTTCCTCTGGCACATATCCCCGTAGAATCAGCAGCAGCGCACGGCACTCGGGGTGGTGCAGGTTCAGCTGGCACGTGTCTAATATGTTGACGCCCAGCGCCTTGGCCTCTGCAACGTCCGCTGCCTGTGTACGCAGCCATTCAAAAAAGAACTGCCGCAGGCGCGTCTTCTCCGCGGTAGTCCGCTCCCGCGCCACCCACATGGCCTCCAGCAGGCGCAGCGTGACGCTGAGAGAGAGGTGCCTGTGCTTGACCGGGTGCGCAACGCCCAGGAAACCCATGTCTTCCGACGTGCAGTGACCAGGCGGCACAATAACATCGGTGGGCGCGATCTCCGCCTCACCAACCCCTTCCATTCGCAGTCACTGCCGCACAACCGGGAAAAGCGCATCGACGCTCGCGGTGGCGCCGGCGGGACTCTTCGCGGCAGCGGCACGAATACCGATGGATGTCGAAACGGCGCTTTCCTCTTCTGTTTTCGAAGGTTGCAGGGCCTTGGCTTTTGTTTCCTTCGATTCCGCCGCTCCATCTTGCTGTGTCATCAGCTGCACCTTCATCTCCAGAGCGTCAATTCGGCTCAACAGGTGCGACACGTACTCTGAGGGGGCGTCGGCCTCCGCAACGTCGCCGCTGGCAGAACACGCGGCGGCAGACCCGTGTGGTGCGGCGCTGCGCCGAAGAGCTGACCCCGTGAACTTGCCCGAACGACTGCGGGGGTCTTGCGCTTCGCTGTGGAGAGAGACTTGCTGCCGCAAACACTCCTCCAGCTCCGTCACGTTGCCTTGGAGGACCATGATGCGGGACATCTGAAGATTTGATTCCTTTTGTAGCTTTTGAGCCCGCTCCCGCTCCGCCGCTGTGCGCGCGGTTTCCGCGATCATTGCTCGTGAGAGCAGCTTCGCCTGCTGCTGCGCCTCCACGTACGTCTTCTTCTTCTGCTCCATTTCCACAGTGAGCATGCTGTTGGCGTGCTCTGCGGCAGTCAGCTGATCCCGCAAGGCATGCACAAGTCCCTGTAGCACCCCCAACTGCGCTTGTTGGTTACTGATGGTGGCGTTCGTCGACTCCTTCAACTGCATGAGCTCCATCGCATGCAGGCCGCGATCGCTCTGGCTCTCCAGGTACTCCACCTGCATCTGCTTCGCCTTCTCCGTCATCTCGTTGAGCGCCGCGTCGTACTCGTCGCGGATGAGGTACAGCACGCCGCGGTACTCGGCGAAGTGGTTCACAAAGGTGGCGAGGGCCTCGCGAAAGATAAAAAGAGTATCGGTGCGAGAGCAGGACGGGTGCTCCCGGATGTACTGCTGATGCTCCCGACGGATAAAGCCCTCCAGCTGCAGAGACAACGGAGACTTCGACTCGAGTGCCTTTTGACGCCGTCGCTGTCGAGTGGACGTCACCGCAGGCCACATCTGCACCGAACCTGCCAGTGCACTGCTCGACGCCAAAGTATCGTGGTTAGGGGCGGCTACCGCAACAGCAGCAGAGGACGAAGTGACCGTCAGCTGCAGGTCCTTTGTCGTGTCCAAGTTCGAGGCACGCCTCGGCGAGGCCGCAGAGGGCGCGGGCGGCGCAGGGGAACTGAGTGGGGGGAGGTGGTAGGCGCCACGACCGACGGAGGGGACATTGCGGAAGGGTTTCTGTAGGCCGCGACGGGCCATGACGGGTGCCCCGGCACGTCCCGCCGCCCCATTGCGGATGAAGGCGGTGGGCTCTGCTCGACCGTTGAGCATCGTTGACTGGGAAGAATAATTAGTGCTCGCAGTGCTCGAACGCAGTGAAGTACGTGCTGTCGAAAGCGAGCGGGATGCCACGTGATGGTGGTTTCACCGCCTTCAATAGGTGCCGCACGTACGTCTTATACAAATTCACACGCGATAACGCGCAAAGGTGACGATGATGAACGTTTCCGCAGCAGTGACGCAAAACCTTTGAAAGGAAAGGTAAAACGAAAAATGGAAAAAAAGGGGAGAGAATCAGGAAGAGAAGAGCACAGTTTCAGAAGACGGGAGAAAATAAGGCGTAAAAGAAGTCGATGCGAACACCAGCAATGGCTTGAGCTTGCAACATCGCATTGGCGCACATAAGTATAAAAGTATGTATGATGTGTCAAGAAAAAGTGCCTGTCTTGCCCTTCTCCACCACTACACCGCTGACGAGTGTAGCAGATGAGAGAAGGAAGAATGGGCTCTTTTGTTTTGTTGTCGTCTTTCACCGTCGCGTATTACCTGTGGCACGATCAACAACACGCATTATTAGAAAGGTTTAAGAAAGAAGCAGATGAAGTTGAATACAAAAGCGTAGCCGACGCTGTCAGCGAAAACCCATGCTAAAATGCGCTCCGTTACGTACCTCGGAGCTCAGGGCACGATGATACTCGTTTGTCTGTTTGCTCCATTAAAAAACAGCAGGGCAAAATTTTTTCCGCTTGTCCTTGATGTAGTTCTTCGAGATGCGCCGCGTGCCGAACGCCATGCGCCGTGGTGCTCGTCCGTTACGGGGGTGTTCGCGACGCGGCGTTGCAGCGGGGCTGCGCCACGTCTTGAACTCCGGCGGTACGAATCGCTCCGTCTCGGAGTTGTCGACGGAGATGGGCTTCACCTTGATGGCGTACTTCTTGTCAAAGAGCTTCCCAGTAGGTCGCGAGCTCCGCTGCGACTCGGCCACGGTGTGGCGGTGTGCAACGCGGATGGTGCGCACGGTATCCCACAGCTCGGGCGAAAGTGCGGCACTGACCGCCTCCCGCTCGAAAAGCCGCCGCAGGAGCAGCAACTCGCTGGGGTTGTGCCGCAGGTACCCGGCAGCTCCGGGCATCTGTTGGATTTCCTCGCTGAGGCGCTGCGTGAGGTGCCGCCGCGCGTCCTGCACGCTAGCGGTCTCCTCGTACGCGAGAGGGTCGGCCACCCGCTCGTCGATTTGTGCGGCGTGGTGGAGGGCATGGATAAAGAAGCCGGAAGAAGTGCTGGACCGATAACGGGGAACGAGAGAGGCCAAACAGTCCAGCGTGCTGGCGTGCTGCACCCCCACCACGGCGAGAGAGTCGAGCACGTCGAGAAAGCACCGTGGCTCCCCCAACGCCACACTAGAGGGAGAGGAAGGGGGAGAAATGGAAGTCTGCGCAGCGTCTGAAGAAAGGACGAGCTGTGTGTGGTCACCCCCCGCAAGGTCACTGCTCGTCCCTAAAACGCAAGCGCAGCGGTGCAGCTGCATCTCCAGCTCACCACACAACACATCGATCAGGTTTGGCTGATTGCGCAGCGTCCTCGCATCCGGTGCATCCTCATTTTGGTAGAACTCCTTCATCGTCATGTTCTCCGCTAACTCACTGTCGTGGTGGGCCGCGTCTGCGGTGCTGAAAAACATGTGGCTCACGGCCCGCAAACCTTTGTAGGCGTCGCACACGCCACGCATCGTCAGATGTGTTGCCAGCTCCACGCAGCGTCCGAGTGCGATCGCCGTCATTTGCGGGTCGTTCAAGAATTGCTGCTCCGCCATCAGTCGGAAAGCACGACTTGTGTACGCCGACAACTCCATCAAGGAGAGACTTTCGTTTTCTGGAGCGAAGGCGGTGGTGCTGCTGCAAGGCAATGGAGCCTTGAAAACATCCCATAGGCACTTCTGGATAACGCCTTCGTGGCGTACAGATCGAGTGGCCAGCGCGTTCAGCAGCTGCATTTGCTGGCGCAGCTCTATTGAACCGTCTGCGATGAAAGGGAGAAGCGCACTGGAGAAGCGCACCAAATCGCTTGGAGGTACCTGAGGGTCCAAGCACTTCTGATGCATCCGCGTAGCTTGGTCTTCGCGTGTGCCGACGACAGCCGGGACAGAGGTTGCCGCGGCGACGAAGAGGTTGCGGGCGCAAAGGCGCTGAAAAGAGTGCCGCATTACAAAAACAGAGCAACGTGGTCAAAACTTGGTCCAACGACGCTCCTTCCTTGAACGCGAGGTTTGGTGTGACGATTGGAAGGAAAGAGAAAAATGAAAGCGGAAGAAGCAGCAGCAGGAGGGAATAAGAAAAGGGAGATAAAAGGAAAGCGGCAAGAGGGCAGAAAGTCGAAAATCCGCATGAGCCGGCGCATGGTGGCGCAGGAGAGAGAAGAAAACAAACCCGCTGACTGTACGCAGAGTTCAACGAGTCGAAAACAGCCTGAATGTGGTAGGCGGCACTTGGGTGATGTGCTTTTCATAAAGGCCCAGATGGGAACGAGAAGTCCACCTTGTCAATGGCTAGCCAGCTGTTTTCGCTCAAAGTAGGTATGCGTGTGTGCGTGTTGTCATTGTTTAGGGATGTTTGTATTAGACGGTACGCATGCAAAGACGCAAAAACAAAAGCAATCTGAATAGAAGTCGAGGAATAGAGAGCTTGTCCAAGATCAACCGCAAGTAGTGCGGGGAGCGAAAAGACCCCACGCAGCTCACCGGACTGACCCTTTCTCTTCGAATTTCATTCGACGCCTCTTTGGCTGCAGAAACAAACCTGGCCGATGAAAAGAGAAAACGGAGTACGATACAATGTGGCAGAAGTGGCAGGACAACACGCAGCCACCTACCGCATTTGGTTGTTGCTGTGGCAGTGCGCCTACTCAGCAATATGCGGGAATTCACCGACGAAGTGGCTGCTCGCCAGAGTTTCGAAAAAGAAGAAGAGAGCACCGGGGAACGAAGCAGGCGCCACGACGCAGTCCGATGTAAACGCAAAAAAGGGCAGAAAAAGCGAAACAACGCAAATTCCCCCTCTTCTACATTTTGAGACTCTGCGTGAGCAACCCAGACGTTCGCGCGACCTCCGCAACCTCCTGAAAGCCTTTGTGATACGCAACGGCAGAAATGCCGCTCAACCGCATCACGCACTTCACCGTCAAAAGCATCGTCGTCTTCTGCGCGTCGTTCGACGAAGCTCCTGATTTGATATCGTGTGACAGCTTATCAACCAGCGCGTCCAGCTGCGCTTCGGTAAACGCGTAGTTGGCGTTGCTTTCCACGAAGCGCATCAGCAGCTCCTTTGCCGTTTCATTGATGAAGGAGTCGTGGTCGCCTTTGTTGTGCGGGCTACACGCCACGATGAGGGCGTCCACCACGTCACTCTTCGCGTTGCAGAAAGACACCAAGTCGACGTTGTGCTGCCGATCAGCCCAGAAAACGGTGGAGAGCGTCTCGAAGGCCAACTTGCGGCACTCGAGTCCTTTGTCCACGCGGTGGGTGTACCCGCTGAGGTCGATGGTGCCCTGCAGCGTACCGTCCTCGCGGAGCTCGGCCAACAAATTGGGGAAGACAGTCGCGCGTGTTTCGTCGCAGAGGAGCCACTGCGGGCGGTGCTGGAGTACGGACATCAGCAGCCGCAGCGCCATAGTGCGGAGCGGCAGCGAAGGGGCAGTGCTTTCTTTCGGGTTGGCAGGCCGCTTCAGCTGCAGCAGCGCTTGAATGACAGCAGCGCGGTACGCCTCCACACTCACACCACGCTCCTCCAGAGCGCTGATAAAGTACCGCAACGCGACCACACACGTCACCCGCGTGTCAAGCGAGGCGTCCTCACGAAAGAGGATGTTGGCGATGCGAGGCGTTGATGCGGCTTCAATCAGGAACGCGCTGAGCACGCCGATACAGGCGTCGTACAGCTCCTCCAAGTCGGTGCCCGCCGCGGCGCCAAGGAAGATGGTGAGCAGCTTCTCGCAGATCGCAGGTTCGTGGAAGGCGGTGGCACGGCGAGTCAGCGCCAGGGTAGCTGCCTCCTTCACTGCCTTCACGTAGTAATAGCGCCCCGTCGCGTTACCGTCCGCCGCACGTTCGCCGCAGGGGAGGAGGATGGTCGAAGCGTTCGCGGGGTGGAGCATGCTGTACGATAGGGCAACCTCGCCGCAGGTGCGCATCTCCTCGCCCTGTTTGCTCGTAACGCTGTCCAGCAGCAGCGAGCACCACTGCGGGTCTAACGCGCTCTCTCTGCCAGCCGCGCCCACGCATAGCAGGAAATGGCCATTGTCCGGGATGCGAATCGCGAGTCTCGCTAAAAAGCCGTTGACAGAGTTGGCAGCAATGCAGCGTACCAGTGTGTACGAGCATGTTAGGTGGGCCTGGTCGCGAGTGAGGAAGTCGGCCAGGTCTTGCTCCATCGCTGCGCGCGCCGACATCTCTTGCGCGTACACGGCGGCGAGCAGCGCCGTAACGCCATCGAGAGCCCCGTCCAGGAGACTTCGGCTAAACGCCACCGCGCTGGCGAGCTGCGTGAAGTGGGACCACATGGAGGCGATGTATGGCGCGTAAAACGGGGCGGTGCTGCCGCCGTCGCAGGTGTGCAGGAAGAGCTGTCGCAGCTGCCTCGCCAGCGACTGCATCTCGCCCAGCTCGCAAGACGCCAGCGAGAGAGGACCGCCCGGCGCGTACAGCTGTATCAGCCGCTGTAGGTGAGCGGCGTCCCGCGGCGCAACAGACGGCACGGAGAGGCGGCCCAGCAGCACGTCCATTGCGGCCGCTCGCACGCTTGAGGGCTGCGACGAGTTCAAGAGCGCCTCCACGGACTGCAGAACAGAAGAGGGCACTGCGGCAGCAGAAACAGCACTGCTGGTGATGGTGTGTAGGGCACGGAGCACCGGCAGTCGCAGGGCGTCGGTGTCTAGGGCAGTCCATAAAGCTGCGGCTACCGACTTGTCAAAGTGTGCAACGCCGCACGCGGCGATCCACTTGGCCACGCTCTCCATCGCCGCCGCGCGACACCCGATTGGGATCGCTGTGTTGCTCATCACGGCGGCGTATTCGCTGCCCAACGCGGCAAGGACGGCGGCGTCGTGTGTGGCGGCGTACACGTTGGCTAGCGTCTGGCTGACCCTCGTAATACCCGCCGCGGCGGTTTCCGAGCGAGCGCCGGCGGTGCATAGCGCTGGCAGCTGTGTGCTCAGCTCCACGACAGAACCGCAGAGCTGCTGGCCGCCAGCAGCGCTCACAACACTCTCAACGATACTTCGGAGCCCGTCCACGGCCGCTGCGTTGTTCGCCAGACGCGCCGCGTTCGCCCGCACCTGCGCCAACAAAAGCGGCACGATCTCCTCCGTTAGGGCACGGACATCAGCGAAAGCTCCAAACACCTCCTCCAAGGCCTTCGTGACAGCTGTCAACGCCTTTTCCCCCTCGTCCTCGAGGAGACCGCAGAGCTCCTCGCAGCGACTCGTGATGAGGCCGAAGCAGTTCGCATCGCGTGCGTAGGCACGCCGCACCACGGCACGGAACAGCTTCACGCCCTCCAGCCGCACTAACTCCACGCGGTCTCCCAACGTGCCCGCCAACATCGAGAGTGCCTCCATCCCAAGGGTCTTGTCGTCGTGCTGGGCAACCAGTGTCTGCAGAACGCGCACCGCCTGCGTGCGCAGCTTCCACGTCGCGTCGGCCATTTCGTTGTTGTAGTCGTAGTATTCGTCGTACTCGTCGTCGTAGCCGTCGTCACCGGCAGGTTCGGCCTCGGCACCGGTGCAGTAGGGATCAAAGCTGATCAAGTCCTTGATCGCTGCGAAACTGGTCTGCCAGCCTAAGCTGCAACCGTCACCTGGAATGAGATGCAGAAGTGAGTCGAGCACCTCCAAGAGTATCTCGCTGTTGTCCTCCGCCCCGTCAAACTGCTCCGTAGCATGCCGCAGGCGCTCGCAGACGGAATCAAACACCCTCTGTACCACCTGCTGAGGGGGCCTCCGAAGTGCCTTCAGCTCCACCTCGCACAGCTGCAGATACGAAACGTAAAGCTCGCTCGTTTTGGCGCCAAGGAGCAGCGCTACTGAGTCGTTCAGCACCTTTTCCCGCGTCGCTGCGTCAACAGACGCGATCAGCGACTCCACCAGGGTGAGGCTTGCGTGGCGAATGGAGGCGGCAGACTGAAAGTCTTCCACCGCCTGCGTGATCAGCGCAGCGCGGTCGTCTAGAGCGTTTCTGTAGGCGGAGACGAGGGCATTCACGGCGCTGTACATAACTTCCCGCGTCGCCTCATCTAAGTTGCTCGAGGCAAGGTTTTCAGCACATCCAGTGCAGAGCGCACGTGCGACGTTCAGCTGCTTCTGCCAGAAAACAACGTTTCGGCGTGCCTCCTCAGCGAACTCGATGCAGCACTTCTTGAACGCCATTCTACACAAATAGTGCAGATTCATCGCCTCGCTGCCGCTGGATAGGGGCTTCAGAGCAACAATCAGTAAAAGGCGTTTCAGTATAGTTTCCCGCTGCTGACACTTGACGACCATGGCAGGGAGGACGTTCGCAGCTTCGTTTTGCACCTCCTCACATCTCTCATCAGGTGAGAGACAGACCAGCGTTTTCTCCATCACCTCGTTAGGAATGCTGCCTTCTTCTGCGCTTGGCAGAAAGCGGCGGAGATCAAACAAAGCCATCAACCGCAGGTCTTTGTCGACATGCTTGATGTCCTTGAGAAAACGCTCCGTCTGAAAAGGAACCATTGTTGTATCGATTCAGATGTCCAAAGAAAGAGTCGCCTGCCACGTGAGGAAACAGCTGCCCGAGGGGTAGACGTGGTTGGTCGTCTTCTTTGTTTTTCCCCTTTCGTTGCTTATTGTCGTCTGCCGCTGCTTTTACGATTTCTGCTGTGGAAAAGAAGAAGCACTTTCTCTATTTTATGTGTTCGTTTCGGTGTTTGATTGTTTTTTTGCTTTACTTGCCAGTTTTGATGAAAATGCACAACAAGAGGGACACTTTCGCTGGTGCGAGTGCTTCCCTTCGCAAAGGAATTTGAACCGCCTGACTGTTTATCATACACTTCTAGAAGAGAAACGAGGGAAAGGGAAATGACGACTGCGAAAAACGTGAGAGCAGCATGCCCCAAATATCACAATACGTGTTTCTCTCTCTCGCTGATGTGCATTTGTATGTGCGTGCATGTTTCCCCCTCCTAAAAAACGGGTTAGGAAAGGGAGGCACAGAAGCCCTGCGCTAACGTCAACCGTCTCATGTAGAGAAAGACGACGCGTGACACACGGCGCGGGTTGCATTAGACAGCCTCCGCAAATTCCGTGAAACCCACCACTTCCTATGGTCATGAGGCGTAGAGTGACATGCAGGCCACGACAACCATTGCGCGTGTGACCTTTTTTTCTTTTCTTTCCGACGGCCATCGCGTCGGATAATTAAAAAAACAGATTCCCGAAAGCAATATGAAAACATTTTTCTCCTGATATGTAATTAAAAGAAAAATACGGTTATCGTTTGTATATGTCCTATTAAAAGAATTGCACTTATCGTGTTCTTTTTCTTCCTTCTACCAGAAAAGATGGCAGTAACAGAAACCGTTGACGCTGTTTCAACTCATACCTCTGCTTGTTAGATATGCTCAAAATGTTGAAAAGTCAAAAGTGAAGGGAGAGCAGCAGCGTGAGGAGTCTGTTGTTATTTTGGTTTTGCGTTTTTTTCTTTCTTCTGCCGGGACAATACAGCAGCCGGATTTGATGTCTCTATGTTTCTACTCCCAAGCAAAACATCTCAAAAGCGCCGTTGTCTTGCTCGCTTTCTCCCTGCCTGGGAGCACAAACGAGTAGCCTAACTCGATAGCATTGTTGAGCGTTATGCCGGCGTGTGAAAAAAAAAGTTTCCCCGTCACGCACCACCGGCAGCAATTCCCAACAGAGAGAAAAAAAAATAACAACATCGCTGAGGGGAAAGAGGGTCATTTTGATTGCTTGCTTTTTTTTTTAGGGTTTTCAAGCATGTTATTTGAAAGAGAGAAGGAACGGAAAGAAAAGGGAAGTAAAAGAACGTTCACTTAGTAAAGAATGAAACGAAGAGTTGTCGAGCGCACTGGTGTGCAGTAAAAGTGGAAGTTAGAACAAGTGGAAGAACAAGAGCCATGGCTGTCTGGACGGCTTCTTGTGAGAACACGCATCGGGGTCAGCACGTAACACGTGGTGCCTACTTCTGGCGAGCCTCCAAAGCCGTAATCATTTCGTCCGCGCACTTCGGGATCGGTGTACCAGGGCCAAAGATCATCTTCACGCCCGCGTCGTACAGTTCCTGGTAGTCGCCCGGGGGAATCACACCACCGGCGGTGACAATGATATCATCCGCACCGAGCTTCTTCAGCTCCTGGATGAGCTGCGGAATTAGAGTACGGTGACCGGCAGCCAAAGAGCTGGCGCCGACAATATGCACATCGTTTTCGACGGCATGGCGAGCAACCTCCTCGGGGGTCTGGAACAGCGGGCCAATATCCACATCGTAACCCATGTCGGCCAAGCCAGTGGCGACCACCTTGGCACCACGGTCGTGACCATCCTGACCCATCTTGGCAACCATGATACGCGGACGACGACCTTCCTTGGCGGCGTAGGCGTCAATGCGGGCCTTGATCTTCCCAACATAGTCTTGCTCCTCCTTGCTGCCGTCTTTCACGTAGGTGCTGTAGTACACGCCCTGCACCACCTGGTTCTTGGCCACGTAGCGGCCGTAGACCTCCTCCATTGCGAACGTGATCTCGCCAAGCGTTGCACGCTCGCGGGCGGCGACGATGGCGACATCCAGAATGTTAATACTGTTGTCCTTGCAGGCCGCCGTCACTTGCTTGAGGGCGGCCTCGCACTTGGCGGTGTCACGAGCGGCCTTGACGCGTTGGATGCCGGCAATCTGGCCTGCGCGCACCTTCTCGTTATCAATGCGCAGCGTCTCCGGAGCCTTGTCATCAGGGTTGACGTACTTGTTCACACCAACGATGGTCTCGGCACCAGAGTCGATGGCGGCCTGCCGGCGAGCGGCGCTCTCCTCTACCTTCAGCTTCGGGAAGCCCTCCTCGATGCACTTGGTCATACCACCCTTCGACTCCACATCCTCGATGATGGCGGTGGCTCTGTCAATCATCTCTTGCGTGAGCGCCTCCATCATGTACGAGCCACCCCACGGGTCGACGACGCCGCAAATGTGGGTCTCCTCCTGGATAATAATCTGCGTGTTACGCGCGGTACGTGAACTCTGCTTGGACGGCAGCGCAACGGCCTCATCAAAGGCGTTGGTATGCAGACTCTGCACGCCGCCCATGACGGCGGCCATGGCCTCAATCGTCGTACGGATAATGTTGTTCTGCATATCCTGCTCCGTCAGCGACCACCCGGAGGTCTGCGAGTGCGTACGCAGCAGCAAACTCTTCGAATTCTTGGGGTTAAACTTCTTCTTCACGTACGTCGCCCAGAGTGTACGGGCGGCGCGCAGCTTCGCGATTTCGCAGTAGAAGTTCATGCCGATACCAAAGAAGAAAGATAGACGCGGCGCCACATCATCCACTGTCAGCCCACGAGCCTCGGCGCAGCGAATGTACTCAAGTCCATCGGCAATGGTGAAGGCCAGCTCAAGCGCGCCATCGGCGCCAGCCTCTTGAATGTGGTAACCACTGATACTGATACTATTGAACTTCGGCTGGTTCTTGTTGAGATATGCCATAATGTCGCCAATAATGCGCATGGACGGTGTTGGAGGGAAAATGTACGTGTTACGCACCATGAACTCTTTGAGAATATCGTTTTGGATGGTACCACGCAGCTTCGCCTGCGGTACGCCGCTCTCTTCCGCCGCCACGGCGAAGAAGGCAAGGATGGGAATCACACCGCCGTTCATGGTCATAGACACACTGACCTTATCGAGAGGAATGTCCTTGAACAGCAACTTCATGTCCTCAACGGTGTCCACGGCCACACCAGCCATACCCACATCGCCAGTCACACGAGGGTGATCTGAGTCGTAGCCGCGGTGAGTTGCCAAATCGAAGGCGACGGAAAGACCTTGCTGACCGCTCTTCAGGGCAGCCTTGTAGAAGTTGTTCGACTCCTCGGCAGTTGAGAAACCGGCGTACTGACGAATTGTCCACGGACGGCCGGTGTACATGGTGGCGTGCACACCGCGAGTGAAGGGAAAGAAACCGGGGAGGTTTGGGACCTTCTTCACATCCTCAGGCAGGTACAGAGGTTTAATGTCGAACCCGTTAATGGAGTGACGGACCAATGTGGAAGGGTCGCGCTTCAGCTCTTTCTTCGCTGTTGCGATCCACTCAGGGGGATAGCCCCCACCTGCAGCAGCCGCATCAGCGAGCAAAATGCAGCAACGACGCATCATTTTTCTTTTTTCTTGCCAGTAAAAAAAGTTTTGATTGTATACAAAAAGTTAAATAGAAGTTTTGATGTTGCTTTTGGCCATAAAGCAAAACAAATAAACGATGCTATGTGTGTGTGTGTTTCCTTATAGATCTTTGCGGCAGAAAAAAGAAAAATAGAAGTCCCTTTTGACGAAGTATCGACAAATAAAATGACGACTCAACTGTCGATTACGGATATTTTTAAGCATGACGATTGTTTGTTAAGCATCAATTCAAGGGGTGAAGATAATAATCAGAAAAAAAAAAGATTGTAGAGGATAAAGAGGAGGAGGGCAATCATGCATGCGTGCGGCACGAGATTCGAAGAAAAAAAAAGAGAGAAAACGTTGCGGTTGATGAAATAGTCAGATAACCTGCTTTTCTCTGGTTGATATCATGCGCAACGTGTTGTTTTGCTGTCGTTTAGCTCAATGCCACGTAAACACGAGCTTGATATTCCTTCTCATTTTTCTCTGCACAGAACACGCTTTGAGTTCTCTTTTTGGTCTCAAAGTGAGGGAGAGCAACATTCATTTCACCTACTTTTGGCGTATCGACAGCGGGATTCGTCCGTACAGTTAAAATAGTTCATGGAAGACGTTTCCTTCACAGCGAATTCCACGCGCACCGTTAAAAAAGAGAAAGGTATATGGAAAGAAGATGCAGTCATTCCAGTAACACCAGCGTCGAAGTCCATCAACACGAAAAATCTACCATTATGAGCAATTCAGGAGGCGAAACAAACGATCATCGCACGAAAGAGAAAAGAAAGAACAAGAAGAAAAAAGGGCAACACACATCGTTATATGAATACAATATGAGATACAAATAGACTTCACTCTTCTTTGTAGGCTGAAGAATGAAACGGAAACAAGGAAAAAGAAACGCTGTGACAAGAATACAACGTAACAAAAAGGTACTAATACCATATGCGACGTCCCGTCTCATTTTTCCCCTTCTTTTGCAGGAAAAAAGACAAATTACGCAGAAAAAGAGATCGATCCACCTCCGGTTCTAGAAAAATACGGGACCTGAAATTCCTTGCCCAACATGAAATTTGTTCGAGCACATTGTCTACGTTGGTAAGGAGCCGGTAAACAAAGACCTTGCCAAGGCAAGAAGTGCTGCTATCAGCCACAAAGCAGTACTGCACATATAGAAAGCATTTGCTGTTAAGGGGGAAAAAAAAATGTGATCAGGCATGCGTGAGAATTGTGTAGAAGGCTTCCACAAACGAACGAGTATTTCGAGCGGGATGCAATGAGAAACGTTCGGTTTTTAGCACCCCAAAAGCTTTAAAACCCAAAAGCGCCTGTTGTCCTTCTGAACACGAAAAGAGGTAGAACTGCCTTCTTAAGAGAGTCGTTTCACAAAACTCTACTTTCGTGTAAAGAAAAAGGGCATAAACGCTCATTAGGAATCGTAAAAATCATGTTTCTGCTTATCCAATGCGGCATATATGGAAGGTTTGAAAACCGTTGCAACACTTCTCCGTTATATCTACACATTACAGAGAAGAATAAAAAGCGGAAAAGGGAAAGAAGTCTAGATTGCAGGGCTGTGATTCCAGCATGGAGGTAAGCAAATGCCAACCCACACACTTTTCTCTCACTTCTACGTTCTTCCAAGCTAAAAGAAGGCAAAGCGTGCATATCCGGACTACCACTGGAACGACATCACACATAGTCAACACCAGCAAAAAGGAAAATGAATTCTCCCAACGAGCGTTGTATTTGAGAACCTTCGACCACTGAACTAACACGACAGCTGTTATTAAGTTACTACACGTCGCGGTCTCGAAAGCAAATATTTCTGATGAAAAAGTGCCATCACGAGCTGTCAATCCGCAGAGCCACAAACGGAGTTTTGACGACGAGCAAAGTAGAGACCAATACCAACACAAACGTACAACTATTACATGAGAAGATGCATCTTAAAGTAATCTACAGTTCCGCTGGAACTCAAACACACACAGCCACACAACGTAACGCTTTGCAAGAGCCATGGGATGCACCGACGCTATGTATAACATCAAACCGTGGTGTAGTGTCAGCGACAGTTAGACAACAGTGAAGCAAACTGTCCTGTTAGAACAACCTGAATACGAGAAGGTGCGGCGACGACGTTAGTAGGGACCCTTTTTGTGATTCAGCAGTAGATCATGAAAACTGTGTTGCGGGGTATCGGTTGTGCCGTCAGTGAAGCACGTCGAACAGTTATATGCAGTTAATGATTGATATGGTACCTCACACAATGGTCTTCGATGTATTACGAAAAACACCTTTATAGTACTGAGTCAGAATAAAAGGATTAGATACATAACTATTACATAATACTTCAATAAGCACAGAAACCTTCTTTCTTTAATAGTAACAAAGAACAAGAAACAACTGTTTAGCAGACTCGTCTGCCCTTCATTTTCTCAAAGCTAACACTCTCGAAAAAGATGGTGCTCTACATGCCCGCATCACAGAAACCAACGGCACTGAATTGTAGTGAACTGTCAAATGCCAGGATACAAGGCATATACAATGAGCGGATGTGCGCCAGTTCACGTAAACAGGAACAGAGGCAGTTCCTAAAAAAAAAAACAGAAGTATTCCCCTCAGAAACACAGTAATAAAACAACGGAAAATATAAAAAGAACTCTTCAATCTGTCAGTTAGTCTTAGAACGTAACTGGGTAAAAAACCGCAAAGATAAGATCTGGCTTTCATCAAGGTCAAGGTTTTGCGATACGAGAGTACATGTCACGCGACGGTTAAGAATTCCTAAACAACAAAAAAGAGAACGCAAAGTAATACCAGACTGTTGCTACGAATAGCAGCACACGAACAAGGCCTAGATATCGTTTAAAAAAAAAGCTTCCGTCTAATGATTTGTAAGATACCGAAAGCAAATGCATAAATGAAATTATCCAAATCGTACTTCTTCCCGTTACAAGAGAAGGAAAACACTCGTAAAGGAGAAATAGAGCACCCTCGCGGCGAGCATTTACATGACATTGAATGCAGCGATCCACATTTACCTTCCATGTTTTCTCGACAGCGGGTGAAACGGGATTATCGTCACCAGCTCACATCAAAGAACCATTCAAGTGTCAAATTGTCAGGTTAAAACTCGCACATCGATCCTCACGCGCTTCTCAAACTCAAACTGTCGTTGCCGGGGAATTCAGTAGGAAGTGCGAGGACAAATTACGAAATCTGCCGGCTGACAGCTTGTGGCAAGCAATGCATCGATAGAGCCTCAATTGAATGGTGATTCAAAGTTAATGCAGACAACCAACAGCGTTCATCACACAAAAAAGGAAGATTGCGGTTGAACTTCCACGCGGGCAAAAAAAAGAAAGAGGGCCTGCCATCGGGGGAAATAACCAAACAGGAGACTTGCTATGAAAGAAAGGGGTGCTGTGACGCGGGTTCGCTGTAGTGGAAGAAGAAAGTGCGTGTGTGTGACAGTGTGGGAATGGTGATGAGAAGGTGGGGGGGGGTGTAGATACGAAATTGCTGGCCACCTGTGTCATTCTTTTGTTTGCACCTTCAGTGCTCGCTGCTCCATTGCCGTTTCTGTAAGCTGTTTTTTTTCAAACATGAACAGGGAAACAGCGAAAGAGGAAGGGTCAGTAAAAGCAGCTAAAATGCAGTTCACTTCCAGTAACATGGAGACAAAATTATGTGTTGTGTTGAACTGACCGGAAGGCAGATTGTTCGGGAAGCGCACTGATGGTCAACAGAAAAGAGACAAGAAGGTGGTCCCTACGTTCTTCAAAAGGCACGAACAAGCTATGCCTTTTATCAATCTTCTTTCCTGTGTTCTTTTTCGGAGGGATAAGTTCATTCTTTTCAGCTGCTCTTACCAATTCAACTGACTATTCCCTACAGTAGTCCTGCACTACAGGCAGCAGGCAAGATGTCATTTGTGTTCTTTTCCTAACCCAATAATCCTCACGATATGCTGGGTTTCAGGAACAGCACGTTGATCCAAGTACGGATGAGCAAGTAGCAAGTGAGCTCACCTGCACTTTAACGAAAGGTGGCTGGTGGACTTTCAGAATACAGTAACGCTCCAGGTGCGCATTGCCTTCCCAGGTTTTTTTTAAATGAAATAGCGGTATCTTTTCTTTTAACTCGTTTTAGAGCAGAATTATTATTCAGTGCCTAAAGGAATACTGCACGTTTTCATAGTTCTCCACAACCGGTTTTCACCCTCTTTTTATTCTTCCTGATATAAAACTGGTTATTGGGTAACTGACTTTTCGCCAGATGTCGGAGAAGCGCTAAGCCACTTTGCTGTTCAATGTGTTGTTGGAGAGCAAAAGCAACTATTTATTTTTTGTGCTTGAAAACGGTGACTCGAAAACGGTAGTGTACTGCTCGAAGGGACATGATGTTGAGGTGCAGGCAGCGGGCGTCACGTGGAAATGCTGTTTTATTATTTTTCTTATGCGATCGTTTGTTGATATGCTCTCGTTTGTTGTGTTTGTACGTACTTCTTGTTTACGTCTGACAGCTTCAAAGGCTTGTAGTCACGGTACGGTAGGCGTTGAAGTATGCTGAAGTGTCTCTACTTCTTTTGTTTCCAAATGCTTGTCCTTGTCTTGTGCTTTTCGCGCAACGCAGTCAATCCACACGAACTCTTTTTTTTTGTTCTCTTGTTTTCTTTTCATTCTGCCTTCTGGATGGTAAAAGCGGACGTCTTCGGTGTATTTCAGGCCAACTGACTCTACGCGAAACGAAGAAAACTTTCACTTGTAGTGCCGTTAATGATGATAAACAGTCTATTTGGTTGTATTGGTTTTGAATGCAAACATAATGCATTAAAATACTCATAACAGCACGAGCGCACGAACACCTTGCTGCTGCCAAGTTGCACTTCTGGTTCGCGACGGCCTCATCTGTAAGAATAATAGCATTGGCGTCAAGATAGAAAATACTGGACGTTGTTTTTCCCGCGCTAACGGTCGCAACTATTAAAGTCTCGTAAAGGAGGATACTAAAAGTGGTTCTGCTTTTGTATTTTGACTATTATTGGCGTTAGAAAAATGTATGTTTTCTATGATGCTATCAAGCCAAGATCTTGTTACAGAAAGCTTTTTTTTCCTTTTGGAAGAACTGCGCCACTTTTCTCTGGTACAGTTGAAAACAGTTCTAAAGCAGTTAAGTATGAGCGGATATCTTTCTGCTGTTCTAAAATTCTCTCTTGTGCTTTCTGCTCTTCTGGTTTGGAAAACTATTGCATACATTCACGTAGCTCTACTCCCATTATTATCGTTTTCTGTGATCTTTTCTACATACTGTGCTTCAAAAGAAAAAGGAAAATGCAGCGTGCGTTCCTTCGTCGTCTCAGCAAGCGTGCCGTCGTTCCTGCAACTGCGGCGCTGCTTCGGTTTTCTCAGACGCAGTGCGCTGGTCGTGCCCCTGTTACCGCGTGCGCAGGCGCTGTTCTTGCCTACCAGTGCTCTATCCGAGCCTACTCCGATGCCCACCACGAGGAGAGCGCTACTCGCAGCGGCCAATACCTCCTCGACAAGAACGACGTGCTGACGCGTGTGCTCGAGGTAGTGAAGAACTTCGAGAAGGTTGATGCCTCTAAGGTGACGCCTGAGTCTCACTTCGTGAACGATCTCGGCCTCAACTCTCTCGACGTTGTGGAGGTCGTTTTTGCCATCGAGCAGGAGTTCATCTTAGATATCCCTGATCACGATGCCGAAAAGATCCAGTCCATTCCTGATGCTGTGGAGTACATTGCGCAGAATCCAATGGCCAAGTAAGCAGTGCGGGGTTTACAGAAGAGTTTTACATACCGGGTCGGGCTTTTTTTTCTCGTGTTGGAGAAAACACTGCGCCGTTAATGGGAAGCAGAGGAAAATAACGTCCTATTCGGCTTTCTGAAGGCGGAATAATATGCTTGCTAGCTCGCAACTACTCATTGAAAGCTTTTGTATGCACTCGTGTTTCTTAGGATATTTTAACTTTTTTTTTTAGCTGAGGAGAGCGATTATTTTAGTCGGTTTGCTGAAGGATGTTCTTAACGTTTTGGGCGAGGCCAGTGTGGTGGGAGTAGAAATGTTTTCCATGTGCCGTCAATTCGAGTTCATTTGTAACTGAAGATAAACTGCTCAATTGGTGTGCAGAAGCGTTTTGATAGCCACAGTGGAGCTTTGAGTACGTTAAAAAAAAAAGAAATGCTGGCGCAGGTTTTCTTTTGCTGTCTCTTTCCAGCTTAATAGATCGTTATTTGCGCGAGTAAGCAAAGGGACAGCAGAGTGCTTGGCCTATGGACCTTTTGAAGCAGTATTCACCGAAGCGTACAAAGTATTAGTCTTCTACTTTTAGCTGTTACAGATAGCTTATTGCCATACGAGAGCAAAAAAAAGAAAAATATTCGATAAAATGAAACCGGGCAGTTCGTGCGATTGATGTAGCCTGGCAGATTTGCCTTGGCGGCATTTCTTGTGATTGGTGACCTAGAGGCTGAAGTACTCGAAACTAATTGCATAGTCGTAGAATACTTAAAAAGGAATAGGGAAAGAAATGGTCATAAGAAAGTGGTGGCGTTTACGTTGTCTTTTTCTTTCTAGAGCTTTGGACCTTGACTTCATCGGCGTAAAATAGATTAAACAGCAGTACCAAAAAAAGGAAAAGATTTAGCGAAAAACAAAGGTTTGAATAAACGCAAGAAACTAAATCTTATGAGACTATTTTGCTTTCGTTTCACTGTGTTTTCTATTCCTTTATTTTTCTCTTGTTCTACTTTTCATGTCCGGATCGTCTCTTTGTTTTCTCTGATATCTGCCACATATATATGCTATCTTGTTCTCGATGTCTTTCATTAAAATTGGCGTTTTCACCTGAATGCTGACAGATTTAGCCTCTAGAATTAGTTGTAGTGCGCCAAGATGGTTATGGGAGCTACAGATCCTGTTAGAGCGCGGTATAGTGGTAAGGCCGCGGCTGTTCGGACTTCTTCCTCGTCTTCTTCTAGTGATAACGTCGCTTTACCCACCAGAATAGTGTCGGGGGGAGCCACTCGCTGCGTGGGGCGCGTTTCCAACGACGACTTTGAAACTTCTTCCTATGAGGAGACTTCTGATAGCTCATTCTCGGACAACAGTGGCGAGGAATTCGTCCCGCTAGCCTTTGGCTACATTAACGGCAATCCAAGGCGGCGCGCTGGTGCACCTGCTCGCACGCAGGACCCCACAGGCGCGTCGGAGGAAGTCGGCTCGCAAAGCTCCTTCTCCGATGCCGGACCTCTGGAGGTCTTCTTCGAGCGTACGAATGCAAAACGCACGTACGGCAAAGGTGCGCGCAACGTAGAGGAAGATGAGATTACCACGTCTCTGAGTAGCTTTGACGATGATACCTCTACGACTTCCGACGCCCTTCCAGTAGAGTTTGAGCGGAAGAAGAGGACACGAGGCGTGGGGATGGTTCACAGCCCAACTTACGAGGTCTCAGACTCAGAGTCCACCATCAGCCTTGACGACGAGGATGAGGCGCCGCTCAACGCGCAACTCATTTACACGCTTGTCAAGCGTCTCCGCAACCCGTTTGACGAGGTGACGCCGGAGGCGTTCGACTACGTAAATTTCAACGACGAAAATTTTAAGGAGGTGCTGGAACCTTTGAAGCAAATTAAGGTCTGCCTTGAGCGCCGCGCTAGTTACCCCATGAAGCAAAACGCGGAAATTGAAAAGAAGATCGAAGCTGCTGTTCAGTCGCTCCCGTCGCAAAAAGCGATTGCCGCCAAGGTGCTGTCAGTTAAGAGCCGTCAATTGCGGCCAGCGCAGCCGACAAGCCGCCTTTACCGCGGCAGCGAAAGTGGACCGCAGAACACTGAAAATCTTCCGAAGCTTGTCGCACGTCTTCAGGATCCAAAGGACGAGGTTCCACTGAGCGAGTTTGAGAAGATAGACTGGACGGACCCCAACTTCGAGCCGGTGTTGCTCCCCCTGCGCCAGATCCGAGCGTATATGGAGGCAAAGCAAGTCGTCAAGGCAAAACCGATTGAGGGTGCGATGAAACGTTCCACCGCCCTGGACGACAAGATCAAAATTGCCGTTCTCTCCCTGCCCGCTGACAAGGAGATGGAGACGAAGGTGAATTCACTCGCCAGCCGCCCGATGACGCAAAACATGGGAAACGGTGAGGCGATTCGCGAACTCATAATGCGGTTGAAAGACCCGGAGCAGCGCGTGCCGGTAAGCGCGTTTCAGAAGCTGGACTGGAACGATAGGCAGTTTAGCTCGGAGTTGAAGCCGTTGATGCAGATTCGTGCCTTTTTGGAGGCGAAGGAGTGCACTCAAAAGAAAGCTGGTGAGGCCGTGATGGGGGGCGACACTAGGGCGTTAGACGACAGGATCCGGACTGCTACCTTGTGCCTGCCCGCACAAAAGGAGATGGCGGCCAAGGTGCAGGCTGTGAAAAATCGTCAACTGAAAGCGGCGGACGGCCGGAACGGCACTCGCCTCGGTGGCGAGTCGAGCCCGGCGACAGCCGACAAGGCCAAATCGGCAGTGGCTTCCGCACCTCCAGAGAGTCCCAAGGTCCCAACTGTGCGCGCAGTGCGGAGTCGTCCCATCTCACGCGGTGTGACAAACGGTGAGGAAATTCTGAACCTGATCAAGCGGCTGAAAGACACGGAGACAAAAGTTCCGCTTTGTGCGTTTGATGAGCTGGAGTGGAACGATCGCAACTTCGCGCGTGAATTGGAACCGCTACAGCAGATCCGCATGTACATGGAGGCGAGGGAGGCACTCAAAAAGGTTCCAGGGGAAAAGAGCATGTCGAGTGTCCCTGAACTCGACAACAAAATCAAAACAGCCATTCTCTCGTTGCCACCCGAGAAGGCGGTGGCGGTGAAGATGCAGATGCTCAGGGCGCGTGACATGGCCCCTGTTGCGGACGAAGCAAAACCGCAAAAGGAAAAGGTCGGCAAGCTGTCCGCTCCTGCTGGAACGGTGCGGAGGATGAAGGATACCTCTCTCGCTGCAGGACAAGCAACGAAGAAGAAGTCAAAAGAAGGCAAGCTCTCTGCCTCCACGAGCCAGGTGATGCAGGTGGGTGCTAGGGCCATATCATCGCACCATCACCAATACAAGGCAAAGGAGAGCAATGCGCTCTCAGAGCCGACAAAGAAAATGCGACGCCCTCGCAACACGGCGAACCGCAGCGTGTCGTTCCTGAAAGTAGAGGATCCCACGCCAGAGGAGATTGAAGACCAAGATGAGGCACTCGCCGAGGTCAGCAAGCCACAGCGTCAACAGGGCAAGGCGCGTCCGTCACCGATGACCGCAGCACCGCGCGGCACCGCTGAGGCACAATCGCGGCTAACGAAAAGAGCAGGGCGCCGGCCACGCAACCGGCGCCCCGGCAACAACGCCGTCTCGTTTAGCGATCTGCACGAGGAGGAAGCCGGCGTCATCAACGAGGATGACGGGGACCTCACGGCAACGACGAAGCGCAAGTCACAGCGGCGCCGCGCTGCACATAAGCCGGGCCGCAGCCTCTCCATCAGCAGCCTTCCAGACATGGAGGCAGGCGAGTTGAAGGAGGAACCGGTGCTACCGGACAAGCCCAGAGCAAGGGAAGCCGCGACAACCGCCGCTGCAAAGTCGTTGGCGAAGCCCAGTGGCTCGAAGATGAAGAAGCGACGCGTGCGTGTGAACAACAACAACCGCTCGTGCAGCTTCTCGGATGTCGCGATGGACGAAGCTGCCGAGATGCCGGACGCGAATGCTGGCGCTCTGAAGGGCGCGGTAGGGGAACCCGCAGTGGCGAGGACCGGAAGGGGAATGGACGCTGCACCGCCGAAGATGACGCGCAAGCTAGTGCGTCGACGAAAACTAGGCGAGGAAGGTGGGACTCCGGCTCTGGAGAGGAACGGCGCCAGGACGGAGAAGGAGGGTGAGTCAGAAGCGAAGCCGCCATCTCGCGGGAAGGGACGGCGCGCCAACGTGCATCGCTCGCGCAGCGCCAACACCTCCATGATCATAGACGAGGCCGGCGGCGAAATTGTGGAGCTGCTAGACGAAACCCAAACCCTCTACTCTTCATCCGGGAAGCCCACCCCTGCTCCGGAGAAGGTGTCAATCATGCCTGTCGGCGACCGAGAGTTGCCTGCGACTGCCCGCGCACCGAAAGCGAAGCAAAAGTTGTCCGAAACCGCATCAGCGCAGCGCAAACGTCGGCAGCGCCTGCACGCCAGCAAGGAGTTGAGCATCTCGGCCATTCCCGAAGACGCGCCAGGCGAAATTGTCGAAGACGAACGTGACACTCTCGTGGACACCGCGACCCCGGAAAGTGTCGTCTCCACGATGCGACGCTCGCTGCCGCCCAGCGGCGGGGACAGGACTTTTCCGGCGGTGGTCGGCGGCTCGGGGCGGGGGTCCATGCGGTACGGCGACCGCCCCAATTCCTCCGTTCGTTCTTCCGTAGCTGGAAGTATCAAGGTGGGCGTGCCGCCGAGTGCGGAGCCCAGCTTCATGCCAGACGTCGCTGACGTGTCCCGCTTGCCTCCCCCGCGCAGTCTCCGTCGTTCCGCCGAACCTACACCGCGCACTACGACACCATCGGTGAAGAATACGAACAGTGGAGCGCACATTCCTGCCCTGCATGCTTCACGATAGCGGTAGACACCGTTGCGCTGCAAAGCTGTTGTTGATGCGGCGGATTGCGTTGTGGTTGCAGCAGTCGCTACTGTTTCGTTGTTGACTGCTGCGTTTTTTTTCTCTTTTCTCTTGTCGCCGTTCTCTTTTCTATGTTTTTATTATTATTAAAATTTATATATATTTATGTGTATTGTGAATAGCCAATATCAACGTTGGTTGAGAGTCGTGATTTTGTTTCTGATCAAATGCTTTCTATACAGACGAGAAGGCTTAAGCGAGCACGCACTTGTGAACACACATTCGTTTTTCTCTATTTTTCTACGTTGTTTTTTTGTGCTTCTTTTTCTTTCTTAAATTTCTGTTGTCGTTCACTTGTGCGCTCCGCCCCAGAACGTCTTTGTTTAGCTCGGTGCAGCTCAAACCAGCTGACCTTTTCGTTCTTTCTTCTCTGCTTCGTTCCTTTTCTTCTGTACGCAACTCAGCTTCTCTTTTTTTCGTAATGACTTACATCCCGGAGCCGTAGATATGACGTGGTGGAGGCGTCTATGTGACTTTTCCTTTTCAATTTCACTCCCGCTAGAAAAGGCCTCGCTTCCGTGGCAAAATGGGCGAAAATGTCAATAGTCGCATACGTGTGTCACTTATTGGTCAAAACAACGTTTAGCTAATCGAAACAGTTATCTTCTGTGAAGGCACTAGGTGCTCGCTTTTGCTGCCGTGACGCATGGGATTTACTCGTCCACGTATATATATTTCTCCCTCCTGTTAAACGCGAATTAAGAAAAGTCTGGTGAAATGAGGATCAGCTAGATGGACTTCATGAGCTACATAGTTATTTTGAGCTGCAAAAGAAACCCTTTTCTTGCCCAGGCATCACTACGTCGTCTTCGATTGTGCCGTCGTACAAATGAGCGTGCGCATTTCGCACTTTTTTTTTTACCACCCGGCTGTAACGCTGACGAACACCCTTTTTCCCCCTCATGCACCGATCCACGTTTTCCAAATAAAATCGATGCTTTTTTTTTTCTTCCAGTGGGATTTGCGGTGGCGACGACGGCGCTATCTTATCGTTTTCTTTCCTTTGTGGAGCCGCTGCCCCACATCCTCTTTTCTTTTTTATTTGCTATCTCCGCTTACTCTCTCCTTCTCGTTGCTGATGACCTGAATAGAGGCGGCTGACGGCGTAGGTGGACGTCGCGTGTGAAACTCCTTTGGTTTTCTGTTCCACCTTTTCTCTCCTGAGCTCAGGAAACGAACATAAGTACTCCCACTTTTTTCCGTCTCCTTATTGATCTCGAATATCTTAAAAAATATATACTTTCTTCCTGCAACAGCGCGACTTTTCTTTTGCATTCAATCAGTCGAAACAAGAACTTCACTGTAACGTGTAACGTACATGCTCAAGAATAAATAGAGGCTGGATGTTTTATTTAGAGGAAGGCTAGCAAAATGCGCCTTTATTTGCTTGGCTCACGCATGCGATGCCTTTGTCGGAGTCGCGCAACGGTTCGCCAGAAAATGAAAAGAAGATGAACTGCACCCCCTTCCCAGAATCTCTCACGGCTTTTCATTCATGTTTCTCATTTGTTTCTGCTTGATCGTATCTCTCACATCCACTCCTGTTCTCGTCGGCGCTCGCATTAAACGCCTCTGCGTATGTTGTGCAAGTGCGTCTAGATGGCGGTTATGAAACGTGGTGAGCCGGTCATATTTTTTTCTGGTTGCTCATTACGATCGTGCATTGAACCGCTTGCCGATACTATGTGATCACCGTTACTCCACTAACCTCCCCCTTTTTTTGTGTATTTTCAGCAACCACGTATCATGAGGCGTCTGTACCTTTCGCAGCCCACTGAGAGTACGCGTGTCGACGTGGGTCCTTCGATTCTTGTGGGACAGCGCAGCCTTGTCTCTTTTTCTGTTTCTGTAGATGCGGAACCAGATGCCGCCTACGTGGTGGCCGAATGCGTACCTTGCGAAGATGCAAACGTTGTGGAGGAGCAAATGGAATGCCTAGAACGCGTCCTGCCCTTCGGCATTGAAGTGCTTGGCGTGTCTGGAAGCGCCAGCGAAGTGGCGGACCTGGTCGCCCAACTCCACGATGTCGCGTCAAAGGAGCTAGTTAGTGTGGTGCACGGAGACGGCCACGGCAAGCCCCCCTCGTGCTGCCTTGTCAGCGCGCCCTTCAACGCGGTTGAAGTCGTCGTGTCGAATGTGTCGTTTGTGGAGGTTCGTTGTGCTCTGCACTCGTGCGAGCACCTCCTCCCCCTCCTCGTCTCACCGCAGGGCGGGTTACCCACCGTCATCGACGGCGAAAGCTACCTGCCTTTGCAGAACTGTGTGCCGTCTCTGACGACTGGAGCAAAACTTGTTCAACTCGGTGTGACGACCAGCACGCTTCGCATCCACGTGGTGCTGGCTCCAGCCTTTGTTAGCGCAAAAGGTCTGTACGGCATTCTTAAGCGTCAAATTGTCGACGCCGTTTCCGCTGGCACCACCCGCCTCGTGGAAGTGCAGTCGCACAACGCACACATCTCGTACTGTTGTCGAGTAGAACCCGCTGGCGCGGCGGAGGCGTCGGACTTTTCTCCTCAACCATTGGATGAGGTTTTTGAGATGATTGAGGATGCCACCGGAGCAGCAGCGAAGCACAGCGACATGAGAGGATGCATACCCGTCGCTTCAGACAAGAGGAATTCTGCCGGTCTAAGCGGAGGCGCAGCACCATCAACGCCGACGGTAACGCAGGGTGTGTCTGCAACGAAGCAGAAATATGGAAGTGAAACGCTGCTGCTCGTTGTCGGTGTAACCATCGTGTTGATCGGTGTGCTCGTTGTTATGGTACATTGAAGAACAACGAGGCCGCTTTGTCAACGCGGTGTTTTCTGCGATAGAAGAAGGTTTCTGCTCTTTTCTTTCGGTTTCTGTTGACGTTTCATTCTGCCTCGAGTACCGCATTACTCCTGCTTTTCTTGACAACAGTCCGAGTATGCAGTGTAAATAACGACTAAAAGAAATCAAGGAAATATGAGGAAATTTGAAAAATAAATGGTAACGCTCTTTTGTTCATTGTAACAGAGCGACAGCTATCCGTGTGTATCCTCTAAGTTCCTAAAGCGATGGGCGTGCTTATTGCTTTCCACAGCGAAGAAGCATCACACGGCTTGAAGGTCGCTGTCTTCCGACGAGGGAGACCAACTTCATCGTTGAATTGTGTAGCTTCTTTTTTTTAAAACTCCTCCTCTTTTTATCGTCGCCTTTTCTATTTGCTGTCATCAAGAACTCTCACGTCAACGGTTTATCTTTGCATTGGGCAGGGTTTTTTTACTGGACGCATCGTGCTTTCAGCCACACTGGCATCCTGATGCGATTTCATCGATAGCCAAACACGACACACCTTTCTGCGGACTGAATCTCTCCATACGCTTCTCCGTTACGAGCGCACGCAGCACCTCCCCCCACACACTTTTGGGCACCAGAGCTTCTCTTTGCCCTCTCGCTTCGTTTCTTTCTGTACGTTCACGATCTGTTCTTCGTGGGCACCGGCGATGGGGATTCTCGGATTGTCAAAGCTGCTCTACGAGAAGGCGCCCAATGCCATCAAGGAGCAGGAGCTGAAAAACTTCTTTGGTCGCCGGGTGGCGATTGACGCGTCCATGAGCATCTACCAGTTTATTATCGCTATGAAAGGCTTCCAAGACGGACAAGGGATGGAGCTGACAAACGAACAAGGCGAGGTGACGTCGCACCTCAACGGCTTGTTTGCGCGGACGCTCCGCATGATTGACGAGGGCATAAAGCCCATTTACGTCTTCGACGGCAAGCCACCCCAGCTGAAGGCCGAGGAGCTGGAGACGCGCCGGCAGAAGGCGGCAGAGGCGGAGAAGGAGTTTGAGAAGGCGAAGGATGCTGGCGATGACGAGATGATGGAAAAGATGAGCAAGCGAACCGTCCGCGTGAGTCGGGAGCAGATTGAAGAGTGCAAGAGGCTGCTGCTGCTGATGGGTGTGCCGGTGGTTCAGGCCCCGTCGGAAGCGGAGGCGCAGTGCGCGGAGCTTGTGAAGAAGGGCAAGGCGTGGGGCGTGGGCACAGAGGACATGGATGCCTTGACGTTTGGCTCGACTATCATGCTCCGGCACCTGAACATTAGTGAGGCCAAAAAGCGCCCCATTGCGGAGATCCACCTTGACGACGTCCTGCAGACCACCGGGTTTTCCATGAACCAGTTCATTGACCTCTGCATCCTTCTGGGCTGCGACTACGTGCCTAAGGTGCCGGGAATCGGCCCGCAGAAGGCGTGGGAGGGAATTCAGCGCTACGGCTCTATCGACGCTTTTCTCGAGTCCCTCGACACCACCAAGCACACCATCCCCCCTGACTTCTACTACAAGGAGGCGAGGGCCTTTTTCCAAAACCCCGAAGTGACGCCGGCGGAGGAGGTGGACATTCAGTTCACGGAGCCAGACGAAGAGGGACTCGTTCAGTTTCTTGTGAAGGAGAAACTTTTCAACCCGGAACGCGTTCGCAAAGGTGTTGCCCGCCTCCGTGCCGCGCTCACAAAGAAGACGCAGGGCCGGCTAGATAGCTTCTTCACCATCACTAGGGCCGCGCCGGCAGCCAAGGAACGCACCCCGCTCGCGGGGACGAAGCGTCCACGCGACGGTAAAACCGTGCATGTTTCCGGTACCCTGCAGAAGTCAACGAGCGGTCACAAAAAGGCAGTGAGGAAGTGAGGCTTTAACGACACTTTTTAAATATTTGTGGCACATAGAAGCGGCACGAATCATAGAATCGCTGAGTTAACTCATCAGGATGCATCTTTCAACGTGCGAAGGTTTTGCTTACCAAGCCGCAAGGATTTCTGGCTTTTCTTCATTTCCATTTCCTGCTGCCTTTTTAAATGGCGCTTAAGACGAAGAGAACTACTTGATGTGATGCTATGCTATTGTGCTACCTCTATTTAATGCCTTTTTAGAAGTGAGCGGCTCTGCATGAGGAACCACTTCACGCGGTGCTGCTGCGAATCTTTTCACGTCTGTGGATCGGCTTCGTTGTGGCGCGCTCAAGAACGACGACACAATATTCGTTTTCCTTTCATCTCCCTTTACATTCTTCTCAAATTAGACCTCCTCAAATTCACGGCACCTGGGCCGCTGGCAGAGCAGAAACATGAAAGCACACACACGGACTTTCATCGCCTTTCTGCCGTTCCCTCAGCTTCTTTCTCCCTTTTTGTCGGCACGGGGTAGCGGTCATCGTTGACGCAAGAAGTGAACACCACCGGACAGTCACTACGGCAAAAATGTTTGACGCCGGCGTGACTCCACAAAGTCGATACGCATCCGAAATGGACCGCAGCACGTCGGGCTGTGCGCAGGCTCCGGCCACACACGAGAAGGAAGAGGAGGAACGACAGTGGAGACGTCGGGAGCTCGAAGACTGCGTAGACGGGCGCCTCGGCCGTCTCCGGAGCTTTGATGCGTCCGCGATGTTGGGCAGCCATGACTTCTTCCGCATTTCGATGTCAAACAGCCTCAGCATTTCGCCAACACCGATCAAGAGCGACATCAATGTTTGGCAGCTGCCCTCCTCAGCAGAAGCGCCGGGCTCTCTGTGTGAGACCGAGGTAGCTGCTGTTCACAAGAGGGCGGGTGCGGAAGCTGCTCGCCACGCCGTAGCGCCTCCCAACCACGATGAGAACGGCGCGCGTGGTGCGGTGATGCGCATCAAGAATTGTCGCGAGATCGACTTTACCGTCGACTTTTCAGATAGGAAGGGTAAACGAGCGTTAGGGAGCACGATCGCAACGTGCAGCGCATCTGATATTGTTGAGCACACAGCTGTCTGCAAAGCGAGGACAAAGCGCAGAACGTCATGGAGGAAGAAGATGTGGAAGCTCAAGAGTGTTCCGGCTGCTTGAAACTACCTCGGAGACAAAAGGAAAGGGGCTCGTCTCGACTCCATACCTGCTTCTCCGTCACCAACTTTGTATCTGCTCTTTAAGAAAACGCTTCGCTCTCAAAGTTGGCGCGGTATTAAATTTGAAGAATATAAAATACGCGTTGCCAGCGAGGCCTTAAAAGGGACGCTTTTTCTTCTTTATGTGGTGAAAGTGGTGGAGTTGCCGTCTCAGATCAGCAAAACGCATACACACATATAAATATCTAGGTATGGAAGTCTGACACTTGGTTTGCTAAAAAGTTGTATCTACAGTCGTTGTTGGGGTTCCAGCCTTTGCGCGGGTCGGCATCTTGGTTTCCTTCTGGATCGATTCAAAATCGTCGTCTTCATCTCTTCTTGCATCTGATCTCTTCAGACTCTCTGCCCAGTTACCTACATCTCTCACATCAAATCTTTTAACGAAGAAACCATTACCATTCACTGTCTAACTTGTTTTCCGGCTCGTGCTCCCGCGCTGGACAACACGACAAAACAACCACTGCAGCAAAAGAAAAACCTTAAAGACCGTTCACATCAATGATGCATCCGCGTCCCATGAAAGCTGAGCGCAGCAGCGTGCAGCGCGAGCGGTCTCCGGCTGCACAAGGCGAAATCCATGGTGACCAGCGGAAGAGAGGCGTGGGGCTTGCGGAACGCCAGAGCAAGTCCGTGCGCCGTTCTGGCAGCCCCACTCCGACTTCGACTCCGCAGAGCACCAACCTCTCGCGGGGTTCCGCCTCAAACAGCGTCAGCAGCGCCATCGAGCCCGAAAAGCACGAGAGCAAATTCTCGAAGCTGCCCTCACTGAGGGAAGTGACCGCCGCTTCAACAAAGGGAGGAAGCGTGCCGCGCCGTAAGGAACCGAGCACCACCTCCGTCGCAACTGAAGAAAAGAACGCCAACAAGAAAAAGCTTCAGGAAACAGGACCGGCGAAGCACGCGGCAAACCCTCCCAAAACAGCCATCATCGAAAAAGACGGACCGAATCCAACCCAGAACGGTACGAAGAAGAAGCGTGTTATTGATTTCAGCGTCAAGTTCGTGGAGAAGAAACCCAAAACACCCAAGGCTAAAAGGGCCTCCATGTCGGAGGCAGGCAGCGTTCAAGAGAAGGCCCCTACCCACAAGAAGGCCGAGGAAGAAGCCGCCGCCCGCAAGAAGGCTGAGGAGGAAGCTGCCGCCCGC